TGTGTTTTTTCTCTCGTTTTCATAATTTTCATTGTTTTTTTTTCTCTTGTTCATCATGTTTCATTGTTTTTCCTCTCTTTTTCATCATTTTTCATTGTTGTTTCCTCTATTTTTCATCATGTTTCCTTGTTTTTTTCTTTCTTTTTCATCATGTTTCATTGTTTTTTTTCACTCTTTGTCATCATTTTTTCGTGTTTTCTTCTCTCTTTTTCATCATGTTTCATTGTTTTTTTTCACTCTTTGTCATCATTTTTTCGTGTTTTCTTCTCTCTTTTTCATCATGTTTCATTGTTTTTTTCACTCTTTTTCATCATTTTTCTTGTTGTTTTTTCTCTTTTGTTCATCATTGTTCATTGTTTTTTCCTCTATGTTTCATCATGTTTCCGTATTTTCCCACTATTTTTCATCATTGTTCATTGTTTTTTCCTCTCTTTTTCATCATTTTTCATGGTTTTTTCTCTCTTTTTCATCATTTTTCATTTGTGCTTCTCTATTTTTCATCATTTTTCATTGTGGTTTTTCTCTTTTTTTCTTCATTTTTTCATTGTTTTTTTTCTCTGCTTCATCATTTTTCATTGTTTTTTTCCATATTTTTATATAATCGGTTTTCATTGTTTTTTCTCTCTTGTTCATCATTTTTCATTGTTTTTTTCTCTCGTTTTCATCATGTTTCATTGTTTATTCTCTCTTTTTCATAATGTTTCCTTGTTTTTTTCTCTTGTTCATCATTTTTCATTGTTTTTTCTCTCTTTTTTCATCATTTTTCCTTGTTTTTGTTGTATCTGTTTCATAATTTTTAATTGTTTATTTTTCATTTTTTTAATATGTTTTTTTCATTGTTTTTCAATTGTTTAATGTTTTTTTTGAGCTTTGATAAGGCTCAAAAATACGAAAACGGACAAGATAGAATATTTCGAGACCCTGGCGTGACATGGCTCCAAATTATATATTTGGAAGCCTTCCATTGCGTGGATTTTTGCCCGTATGTTTCATTGTTTTTGTTGTATTTTTTTTTCATTGGTTTTCACTATTTTTCATTATTTTTCATTGTTCTTCATTGGTTTTCAATTGTTTAATCTTATTCTTTGAGCTTTGATAAGGCTCAAAAATATGAAAACGGACAAGATAGAATATTTCGAGACCCTGGCGTGAAATTGCTCCAAATTTATGTACATATATATATATATATATTTGGAAGCCTTCTATTAAATTGCGTGGATTTTTTCCGTATGTTTCATTGTTTTTGCTGTTTTTTTCATATTCCTGGCGTATCAGATAAAACCAGCAATTTTGCTAGGTAAATCCCAAAATATTCAGACTTGTTTCCACCACGTTTTGCGTTAAAACCGCAAATTGAGGGTATGAGGTGCGACCACGCGGTGGACCGGCAACAGCTGTGAATTGCGGGTAGGCATGGCTCCAACTGACTTAAACCCAATAAAACCTATACAACCGCTATATATATATATTCACATACGTATTGTGAAAATCAACAAGAGCATTTCCACACACAATGGAAAAAATCCAAGTAATTTGGAGCCATGTCACTCTAGGGTCTCGAAAATATTCTATCTTGTCCGTTTTCATATTTTTGAGCCTTATCAAAGCTCAAAGCATAACATTAAACAATTGAAAAACAATGAAGAACAATGAAAAATAATGAACAATAGTGAAAACCAATGAAAAAAAAAAGAAAAATACAACAAAAACAATGAAACATACGGAAAAAAATCCACGCAATGGAAGGCTTCCAAATATATAATTTGGAGCCATGTCACGCCAGGGTCTCGAAAATATTCTATCTTGTCCGTTTTCGTATTTTTGAGCCTTATCAAAGCTCAAAGAATAACATTAAACAATTGAAAAGCATTGAAAAACAATGAAACATAATGAAAAAGAGAGAAAAAAACAAGGAAGCATGATGAAAAATAGAGAAACAACAGTGAACAATGATGAAAAAGAGAGAAACAAACAATGAAAAATGATGAAAAAGAGAGGAACAAACAATGAAATATGATGAAAAAGAGAGGAAAAAAACAATGAAAAAATGAAGAAAAAAAGAGAAAAACCGCAATGAAAAATGATGAAAAAGAGAGTGAAAACAATGAAAAATGATGAACAAGAGAGAAAAAAAAACAAGAATAAATGATAAAAAAGAGTGAACAAAAACAATGAAACATGATGAAAAAGAGAGAAAAAAACAAGGAAGCATGATGAAAAATAGAGAAACAACAATGAACAATGATGAAAAAGAGAGAAAAAAACAATGAAAACTGATCAAAAATATGGAAAAAGCAATGAAAATGATGAAAAAAGATACAAAACAATGAAAACTGATGAAAAATAGAGGAAAAACAATGAAACATGATGAAAAAGAGAGAAAAAACACAATGAAACATGATGAAAAATGGAGAAGCACAAATGAAAAATTATGAAAAAGAGAGAAAAGACAATGAACAATGATGAAAAAGAAAGGGGAAAACAATGAACAATAATGAAAAATAGAGAAGCAACAATGAAAAATAATGAAATTCAAAAAAACAATGACAAATTATGAAAAATAGAGAAAAAACAATGAAACATTATGAACAATAGAGAAACGAGAATGAACAATGATGAAAAAAGAGAGAAAAAACGATGAGAAATTATGAAAAAGATAGAAACAAATGAAAAATGATGAAACATAGAGAAAAAACAATGAAAAATGATGAAAAATACAGAGCCAACAATGAAAAATGATGGAAAAATCATTGTTTTTTCTCTATTTTTCATAATTGTTCATTGGTGTTTCTTTATTTTTTTTCATCATTTTTCATTGTTTTTTCCCTCCATTTTTCATCATGTTTCATTGTTGTTTCTCTATTTTTCATCATGTTTCATTGTTTTTTTCTCTTTTTCATCATTTTTCATTGTTTTTTCTCTCTTTTTCATCATTCTTCATTGTTGTTTCTCTTTTTTTCATCTTTTTTTTTTCTATTTTTCATCATGTTTCCTTGTTTTTGTTTCCCCTATTTTTCATCATTGTTCATTGTTTTTTCTCTATTTTTCATCATGGTTCATTGGTTTTTCTCTATTTTTCATAATTTTTCATTGTTTTTTTCCATATGCTTCATCATTGTTCATTGTTTGTTTTCTATGTTTCATCATTTTTCATTGTTTTTCTCCCTCGTTTTCATCATTGTTCATTGTTTTTTTTCCAATCTTTTCATCATTTTTCATTGTTGTTTTCTCTCTTTTCCATCATTTTTCATTGTTTTTGTGTCTATTTTTCGTTATTGTTCATTGTTTTTCATTTGTTTAATGTTATTCTTTGAGCTTTGATAAGGCTCAAAAATACGAAAACGGACAAGATAGAATATTTTCGAGACCCTGGCGTGACATGGCTCCAAATTATATATTTGGAAGCATTCCATTGCGTGGAAAGGCTTGTGTGTTGATTTCCAAGATATGTGTATATATATATATTAGATAGAGAGTTGGCATGTTGGCTTAGCTCATTTGTAAAAAGATGTTTTCGCAGCTTTACTGGGATTTACTGGGATTTCCCCCCAATTCCATAATTATCTATACCGACCGGCGAAAAGATCGAATATTCTATCTTGTGATTATTTTAATTTCAGAATATTCTATCTTGTGGGTGCTAGACCCTGTGTTTTTTGATATTCTATCTTGTCCCGACTAAGAGTACAATATTCTATCTTTCAGGCGGTCGCTATAATTATTTATATATATTATATTATATATATATACATATGTGATTATACTCATATATATATATATTACTTTTATTTTTATATGCACACACATATATATATATCTATCTATCTATATAATATTGTATATATGTATATTGAATTTCACGAGGTCTTGGGGTTTTGGGATTTTTACGGTATATTGGGTTTCAAAGTCAAAATGCATCATTTCGAGCAACCTGCGAGCAGAAGGGTCGTGGGGAAAAGTGTTGAATGTTGTGATTTTTGTTGAATCAGTGGTCCACAGGTCCAACTGGCGTTCCAGAGAAACTGAAACAGTCGGAAACAGTCGGAAACAGTCGGAAACAGTCGGGAGCGGCCCGGCGTGATCGTGCCAAAATTGTCAATCCGCCATTTTTTTGCAAAAAAAAAACGTTCCGCGCAATCCCCTTTTTTTTGAAAGTGCAACGGGAAACAGTTGGAAACAGTTGGGGCTCGTACCTTTGACTCGGCCAAAAAAGAGCTATTTAAAACCAGTTTATAAAGAAAATGAACCTTAAATGGTTTTAAATAGCTCGTTTTTTGCCGAGTCAAAGGTACGAGCCCCAACTGTTTCCAACTGTTTCCCGTTGCACTTTCAAAAAAAAAAGGGGATTGCGCGGAACGTTTTTTTTGGCAAAAAAATGGCGGATTGACAATTTTGGCACGATCACGCCGGGCCGCTCCCGACTGTTTCCGACTGTTTCCGACTGTTTCAGTTTCTCTGGAACGCCAGTTGGACCTGTGGACCGCTGATTCAACAAAAATCACAACATTCAACACTTTTCCTCACGACCCTTCTGCTCGCAGGTTGCTCGAAATGATGCATTTTGACTTTGAAACCCAATATACCGTAAAAATCCCAAAACCCCAAGACCTCGTGAAATTCAATATATATGTATATATGCATGCACATGCAATTTATAAAATACATGCCTAGTTATTTAGTTTTTTTAGATCAATTGTAGAAGACAGAATCCAATATGAATAGTCCATAATATCCCACTCAAGATTCATTGATTCTTCCGGAGTAGCTCAGATTGACAATAAACCCTAAGGTTTTTCAATGGTCCATTCAGGTACCTGAAAATGACACTACTCTGACAGACGTCTCCCTTGGAAAATAGGCTCTACATGCACCTCGTGCATCGGCTTGTAAGCTCATATCTAAGTATCAATATATTTCATGATATTTCTAAATTTTAAATCTTCCATTGATTTCTGGTAATGTCAACCCCGGATTAAAGAAACGTCTGGAGAACTAGCCAGGTCATGTGGCTGGCCATTCAAGTCGGTCCTTGGTGGCATTGGACAGGTGGAGATAGGTGGAGCCCCCTGGATAGCGAAGTTGATTTCCCTCTGGTAATTTGTTACAAAAAAGCTATTGAAAATGGTCATTTATAGTGGATTTACCCATTAAAAATAATGATGTTCCATAGCTATGTTAGTTTACCAGAGGGTTATACATTGGCTACTATTATGGTTTATAAAGCAACTTAAGACTTGGTTGGGAAAGTCTACCATTTAAATCCGGATTTTTTTTTTGGTAAATTACCATTCAGGCCGACTATCGACTAGTACCAAACGATTTTTGGAAATTACATGAAATTACACTTTTGCGGAAGAAACGGGCCACTTTCGTAGAACAAACGTAGAACAGCAACGAAATGCAACGAACAGAAGCATGGGATTTGTTATTGCACAATCACAGGTGCCTAATACCAAATGCTGCATACCTGAAGTTTGGCAGCGTGCATTGTGCATAGATTTCCCCCATTGTCATCCTCATAGCACTGTGGATTCAAAATAAACTGCAGACCGTCTGTGACGGCTCAACTTGGCTACCAAGGTGACGTCGTAGTTATGTCGGTACCACGATGAAACACCACACCCAAAAAAAAGGAAAACAGGTCGCCATACCCAAGAGAATCGATTCACGATCGCTTGCAGTTTCAGGACATCTTTCAGCTATTAATCCCGAAGTAATAACAACCATTATCCCCAACGATTTTTTTTTCAGAAGCTTTTCAATCACGAGCCATTATTTTTGGTGAATACTTTTTTGGGGGTTTGCAAGCTCATAAAAAACACAAGACTTTTGCTTGGAGCTGTAGGGGCCGTAGATATTCAATGTTTTTTTTGTGCCCCACAGGATGGGGCCCCCAAGATATTGTTCAGTTGACATATAAGTGGTTTACCTATGGTTTATGGCAGATATAACTATAGGTACTCGTAACTATAGTTAATGGGGGGCACCATACATTATAACTATACATTATAAATAATTATAAACCAACTTATAACTTGGGGGGCACCATCCTGCAAGAATGTTCTGATGTTCACCACCTGACAACCCCTTGACCCACATGACTTTGAGGTTCCATCGCTGGAACTTGTTTAGCAGCTTCACTCTGAGGGCCCTCGTCGTTTTACCACGCTGGGCGGTGCTCGCTGCCCGGAACTCCATAAAACAAATTCTGAAAAACGTGACATCACACTGTTGGGAGTTGGAGATCGAAGATGGCAAGGGAAATTGGCATCTTTAATGGGTTGATTGTCATTTTGAAATATGCAAGGGGGATGGTTTTAAGATGTTTTAATGTGTTTTCCAGCTGGCCATGTTAGACACATGTTTTTCAGCCCTGGATGTGGGTTTTCATCAGCAAAATTCATGGTGGCAACGGTAAGCTATATATGTTAGCCATGATTAAGAATGGCACTGATGACTACTCCCAAAAGCATCCAAAAGCTTGTCACAATAAATTTGAAAACGGCGCTCTTTCGTCTGTTGGATGAAAGAGCGCTTCTTCAAGGTTTAGCCTAGCATCCCTTGACCCAGCATTCGTGCAACTGTTGGTGTGAATGTCAAAATTGGAGACCCAAACTCATGCGTATTCCCAAACCAAATCAAAGAGAAGTACCAAGAAAGCAGCAAGTTTCCTTTGGGAAGTCCAAACCCAAACGCTCCATTGGTTTTTGTTGACTTACGTACGCCCCAGGTGTCGCCCAGTGTTGCAGGTATAATTCCAGTCTCAAAATGACACTCCTCCCACATTAATGAACAGCGGGTTGTCAATCTGGACACTTGGTGACTGATATACTACTTACTCTCTGACCCGCCAAACAAAAATGGTTTTTGTAGGCACATCAAACAACATGTATGACTAAGGAAGTAGGTATCCGAAAAGATTGATACGTGCATAAAAGATATAGATTGATATAACATATGCAGAGACATTTTTTAACATTTATATGCAGTATATACATATATGTTTTTACATTCACATAGCTACACATCATTATTTCCATAACCCCATAGCCATGCCATCGAGGGAGGATCTGGGACATCGCAAGGGTCCCCCGGCCAAGCGCGACAGCTTAACAGCGGAGAGGCTTCTTCCAGATGTACAGTGAAAAAATGGATGTGCCGTGGCCAGTCTCAGAAACAGGATTAAATCACCAGTTTCTGGATATGGATATGGAATGATATGGATGGATTCTGATGGATACTAGGAACGGATTCAGCAAAATAATTTTATTTGGCCGGGAATGATACCTGACCAATTCTGGCAACAATGTGGAGCCAACAAAGTTTGGAGTTAACCAAGGCGGAGACATCTGGGCGGAGACATATGTGAGTTATTGAGATAGGTAAAGTAAAGTAATGTGGCTAAAACAATGCCATGAATAGTGACTAATAGTGATTATAATAGTGGTTAATAGTCATCAATAGTGGTTAATAGTGGTTAATCACATATACTTAGCCATAAATAAAGTAAAGTAATGTGGGTAAAGTAGTCTGGGAGATTAACCACTTCTTTTTATAGCAAACCTAAAGTAAAGTAATGTGGGTAAAACAATGCCATGCATCTCCCAGTCATCATCATTTTTATAGGTGGTACGAACTTAACCATTCCCATTTTGATGGGTGGTACACATGGCCTTGTTAAAAACCCTGAAAAAAATAAAGGGATCCGTGGTCCCGGAATCCCAGATCTTGGTCGAAGATCTGGTGGAAAGCCTATGGAAAATCCATGAATTTCAATTGAATTTCATGGATATTGATTATTAATATAGAATCCTTGGAAAAGCCTATTGAACTATAGATTTTCCCCACCTGCCAGGTGAGGGTTGTTAGATTTTATCAGAGCGCTCTTCCTCCGCCTCCTCCTCCTCCTCGACTAGCTGTCCTCTTCCTCCTCGTCCTCCTCCTCGCCTCCTCCTCCAGTTTCTCCTCGACCATGTCTGCATCAACTTCCACCTGCACTTCCGCCTTGCCAACTCTTCGCCAAGCTCTTTGCCAACTCTCTTCGCCGACTCTCTGCGCCAAGCTCTTTGCCAACTTCCCAGCTCAGTGTGCACTGCTGGACCTCAACCTGGGAGCTGCCCAGCTCAGTGTGCACCGCTGGACCTCAACCGGGGACCTGCCCAGCTCAGTGTGCACCGCTGGACCTCAACCGGGGACCTTCCCAGCTCAGCGTGCACCGCTGGACCTCAACCTGGGACCTGCCCAGCTCAGTGTGCACCGCTGGACCTCAACCTGGGACCTGCCCAGCTCAGTGTGCACCGCTGGACCTCAACGGCCAGATAGAATGCCAGAAGATATGCCAGATAGAATGTCAGATAGAATGCCAGAAGATATGCCAGATAAAATGGCATAAGATATGCCAGAAGATATGTTAGAACATATGCCAGAAGATATGCCAGATAGAATGCCAGATAGAATGCCAGAAGATATGCCAAATAGAATGCCAGAAGGTATGCCAGATAGAATGCCAGATAGAATGCCAGAAGATATGTCAGATAGAATGCCAGAATGTTTGCCAGATAAAATGGCATAAGATATGCCAGATAGAATGCCAGAAGATATGCCAGAACATATGCCAGAAGATATGCCAGATAGAATGCCAGAAGATATGTCAGATAGAATGCCAGAAGAATTGCCAGTAAGAAAATGTATAAATGTCATGGTGGGGATCACACGAAGTAAAATAATTTTACTATAGAATCTATAGTTCATGGATCATAAACATTCATAAACCAACAAGCACTCGGTTTCTCTCGTCAATTTCCCTTAAACCAACCCATTTGTTCTCTCCGGTCAGGGATAGCAGTGAAAGTGAAAGTCAACACGGGCAAGTCTTATCCCCTCAACTGGCAACTGACTGACCATGGCACATACCCATATGCTCTATGTATGGAAGATTTACCAACATTTACCCTAAACATCACCCAAATGTAAGTAAATATACCATACATGGAGCATCGACGAGCTTCGGAAACTTCGGAGTGATTCGCGCCGTTGATCGTTGATGTCTTGACTCAGCAAGCACCAAGGATAGACCAATGACCAACGAGAAGGTTGCCACGTAACTCATATGAAAACCGGTTCAATTGATGTTAAGTAACTATAGTATAACTCAGATGTTAAGATTGTTAAGCAACTAATCCAGGATTGTTTGCACAACAACTCAGATGGAAACCATACGCCGTCCTCAGGGCTGGGAGATTTTTTGTGCTGTGGGTCATCAGCTTGGAGGGTCTGTTTGAAAATAGGGCACCCCTAAATCCACAGGGTTCGTCATGATTTTCTCATTAAAGTTGCCATTTGGGGGATATACCATCTGACCACCATGTTGATTGGTTAAACGGCAGATGTTTTGTCCCAACTTCAATGGCAATGTCCATGTTCAACGGGAAGATGGGAAGATCACTAAAGCACAGTGAACTTGCTGCGTTCAAGAGTAGTGACTGAGTAGTGGCCAGCTTTAGCCAAAACGCCATGTGATGGCACTGCCTGGTGGTTTCGCACGTGTGATTGATGTTTATTAATTAAATATGTCACCTGATAAAAAAACCTTCTTTATGTGCCAAAACCATCAAAACATTTGAGATGGTTTTGGATTTGATGTGATACATACATGATATATGATATATATATATATATGTGTGTGTGTGTAATACGTATTGATTGCAACGAACGAAGGGTTTTGAGGATGGTGCTTCCAAGACTTCTTCCCTTGGAAAACAGTCCCTGCAGATCTGCGAGGGTCGTAAAAGTGTTGAAACCATAAAAGGCCGTCACTGGCCGAAGCTGCCGCCAGAAGCGCGAAAAAAGGCAATGGTTACCCTTTGGTAACCAAACATAGCACTGGAAAATCCCCTATTTATAGATGATTTTCCCAGTGAAAGCTCTATTAGTAGGAGATTTTCCATTGCCGTGTTTGATTACCAAAGGGTATTTAAGATGAATCATCCAATTTTTTGGTGGTCCAGTCTTGAACCATACCGTAGTACCCAACATGACTGCTAAAAGAAAAACCTGGCCCCCAGGCCCCCCCCAAAAAAGAATCTGGGCATTGGTCAAAACCTCCGAACCCAGTGGCGAGTTATGTTTTGTTTCCCTCATTTGCTGTGGTAACCAGCTAAGAATGTATAATGGCATCCCCCTAATATTCAACACCCCCATTCTATGGTTCCAATGATGTGGAAATTCCATGAAATTCCCAACAAAAAACAATATGGTTCTAATGGGATTAAACATGTAACTGTGTTGCAGGGCGTATCAAAGATGACTCATCTAACACGTCCAAGGTGTGCCATCCATTACGATGTATATGCAGCAAAGCATTGTTTTTTTCACCGATGTTCTGATGTTATGTTTACCAGCTTCTAAGGCAATCATACATCAATCTGGGTAAATTATAACGACCTCACTGATCTCCCTCACTGGAATCATGGTTAGTAAGGGAAATCATCCCCAAATGGTCTTAATTCAGGTTAGTGAAATATTTGAAATATTATAATTTACCCAGATCAATGATAAATCCTCATTCTTGGTGGTTACCCTCTGGTTATTTAACATAGCGAACTGAAAGTCACAATGCTATTAATGGGTAAATCCACTATTTCTATGGTGATTTTCAATAGCAAACTGTTAGTTTACAGACCATTGTAATCCCCATTAACTATAGTTATATCTACCATAAACCATTGTTAAGCCACTTATAAACCAACTGAACGCTATCTTGGGGGCCCCATCCTGTGGTTAAATGCCATTTGTTCGCAGTTCAACCTCTCCATGGTGTCCACCATGGTGACCGACCTTCCCTGTGAAGGCGTCATTCTGAGCCCGGACGCGCGTGTGATGCGTGAGTCCGCGTGACGGCTCTTTTGTGGCTGCGAAATGCGATGGGATATGGGCATGGGATAGCTTGGGGAAATCCAGGGTGAATAGTGGTGGGTTTAGATGGGTTTAGATGGGTTTAGAAATCCCGCACCACCTTGGATGGTTGAAACCCTATAAATAATGGTATAAATCACCTATCAACCGGTGCAGGATTTCTTCCATCCACAGTAGGTTCGGATTGATTAGCCACACTGGGTGACGGCTGACAGTGGAGAAAAGAAAAGGGTGAAACAAATGGTAAAACAGGGATGCTAGGACTAGAGAGGTTAAAGGTCAGGTTTTTCTTCACGTTATAGTTTGAAATGTTTGATTGTTTCTTTTTGATTATCTTGCTAAATGTGTTGTTGAGGTTGTTGTGATAATGTTTGGATTGAATGAAGGGGATAATTGTTGAGGTGGTCAGACTTTCTATGTTTAAGTTCAGATTCAAATTCTACCAATCTGTTGTTCAAAGATGTCGAATTATTTGCTTCAAATTCATGTATTGATTGAGGTTAGGCGCTGTGGTTCCTGTTTGGTTTTGCATATCAAGCATCCTTCAATACCAAAGCCAGTTTGGCACAAATTGACTGAACCGATGTATTGTCCCTTGTCTTCGACATTCCGCAGATACATCTTTGTGAGGCAGGTTGAGCTTGCGCCAGGCCGGTTCGTCCTTCCAAGCGGTCATGCACGAACACAGCCCGCAAGGGCTTTTCCGGCGCAGACCGTTAAAACTGGTTGGACGTTGTTGAGCACAGGGAGCGTCGTAGTGCTGGTTCTCCAAGCTCTCATTCAAAGGTTCCTTCCTGGCTTCTCCATGAACATTCATGGCAGGGCAGAGGAAGGCTGGGCAAAGGCTGGAAAGGACAGAGCCCGCCCCTGCACGGCCGGTCGAGGAGGAATACATCAAGGACTTCATCAATTCACCTCAACGTAAAGCTTTGAGCACCCCTTCCTTCTTGGTGGTCAGTGGTTCCCAAGGCATTGGGAAATCAACCATGCTGAACAATCTCATGTGTGAGCATGTGAAGAATGGCAAAAGGGTGCTTGCTCTTGATATTTCTGTTCGTCCTGGTGAGACTTGAAGCTGAACGAGGCGCTACCCCAAGCGTTACAAGCCGTAGATTCGCCCTGATATTACCCGTCAAATGTCAAATTTTTGCTGGAACGGGTGAATGAGACGTCCAAGCACCGAACAGGCAGTGCCGTCGTGGTATACCTGCAACTCACAACCAAAAGCCGCAGAGACAAATTTAGTAGGGATGCCTGTGATGACATTGCTTCCACCCTCGGTGCCTTCGCTCGCAACATCACCTACGACAATGCATATCAAGCATCCTTCAATACCAAAGCCAGTTTGGCACAAATTGACTGAACCGATGTATTGTCCCTTGTCTTCGACATTCCGCAGATACATCTTTGTGAGGCAGGTTGAGCTTGCGCCAGGCCGGTTCGTCCTTCCAAGCGGTCATGCACGAACACAGCCCGCAAGGGCTTTTCCGGCGCAGACCGTTAAAACTGGTTGGACTTTGTTGAGCACAGGGAGCGTCGTAGTGCTGGTTCTCCAAGCTCTCATTCAAGGTTCCTTCCTGGCTTCTCCATGAACATGTTCATGGAGAAGCCAGGAAGGAACAGAGGAAGGCTGGGCAAAGGCTGGAAAGGACAGAGCCCGCCCCTGCACGGCCGGTCGAGGAGGAATACATCAAGGACTTCATCAATTCACCTCAACGTAAAGCTTTGAGCACCCCTTCCTTCTTGGTGGTCAGTGGTTCCCAAGGCATTGGGAAATCAACCATGCTGAACAATCTCATGTGTGAGCATGTGAAGAATGGCAAAAGGGTGCTCCCGCTCAAGATGTCAAGCCGTCCTGGTGAGGACTTGAAACTCAATGAAGCGCTGCCCAAAGCATTGCAAGCAGTAAATTTGCCGCGATACTACCCAGAACAAGTGGAGTATATGCTGGAAAAGGTGAACGAGACGTGCAAGCGCCGAACAGGCAGTGCCGTGGTGGTATACCTGCAACTCACAACCAAAAGCCGCGGAGACAAATTTAGTAGGGATGCCTGTGATGATATTGCTTCCACCCACGGTGCCTTCGCTCGCAACATCACCTACGACAATGCCGCGTGCAAGTTCATTTTGGAGGTCAGCGTGTCTGCTGTGGCCGACATCATCACCGAAAGGTTTAACATGTCAAGGCTGGTTGTGGTGCGACCACTACCTTTCGAAGACTTCACATCGTGGTCAAGGAGGTGGCAAAGCAGGGAAACGACTTCCGGACGCTGAACAAGGTTCTTGCCGAAGATGACATGGACGAGGTGTTGAAGCACTACTACATCCGCGCGGGGGGCAACTTGCGCGCCTTGGACTTGATACTGGAAGACGTCTCCAGAGAAGGTCAGAAAGGTGCGGATGCGGTCATCGAGCAGGTTGAGCAGTGGTACAACCGAAGGGTGGAACCAATTGAAAAGAAATTGGATGACCAGGAAGTGAAGAACTATCTCCTCAAGGTGGCTGAGGCAGGACCCATGGGGTATCTCCCAAACAGCAAGCAGACGACCCAAATGACTTTGAATCTTCTTCGTGAGGAGCCAGCAGACTGCGTCCTGAGGAGTACAACCAATTTAAGGGTGGCTTTGAAGCATTGGCATTTCGTCGCCAAGCTCTTTGAAGAGGATGAGCAGAAGTTGAGGGATGCAGGATACAGGTGCTTCAGGATGGTCATGAGATTTCTATCTCAAGCTTGTGGACTAAGCCTAAGTTGCTGGTTTTAAACATTTTTAAATTACATGTGCCAATCATTTGGGTCATTCACGCTTTTGTCATTTGCTCGCAGCTGACGGCTTGGGCATAGTTACTTCACAAAAGAAAGGCGAGAAGGCACTCAGACACAAGAGTCACAAGAGCATTTCAGCGTGGTGAAGGTTTACAGAGTCACCTAAACATCACGTGTGTGGAGTGTAACATGTTCATATTTTATGCTAACCCTATCTCCCTCTGTGGGATGATAATCCCCAATGACTACATCATGGTTTTGGATGGGTTGAAACCAGCAACCAGTTAAGAAACTTAGAGCCTTCCCAGTTTATCATTTCCAGTGGCAATCATGTGACACTGGATCGGAATGACCAGCCCAAGTTCAGCAATATCTTGCAGCTTTGAGGTTGGTTTTCCCAGTAAAGGTAAATGCAAATGATTCACCACTTGGTTGCAGCATGTTGCAAACCAATTTTTGGGAGGCATTGATTTGTGCATGCCATAAATGATGGCTTCATTTCGGGGGATCATCCTCAAAGTGGCTTATCATTCGAATGATTTGATGTAGCTTTCAACGTGATGCCAAAACGGAAAGCTGGAACAGCTCCGGACGACGCCATGTCGGACTCCTCTTCGAGTTCCAGTTCTTCCTCTGAGGAGGACAAGAAGAAAAAGAAGAAGGAAAAGAAAAAAGACAAGAAACTTGGACTGGTTGGTGGCTGAATTCTATGGTTTATGGTAGATATAAACAGATATAATAGAATATAACTACAGTTCATGGATGTTAATGGGGTTTGTTAATCAGCAAACATCACCTGGTTGGTGGTTTCAAACATGAATTTTATTTTCCACAATATGTGGGATGTCATCTTGACGAACTCATATTTTTCAAGATCGTTAAAACCACCAACCAGTGGATGATTTCCCATTCCTTATCTTAACCCATGCAAATTTGCTGAGTCGACAAAGGTTGTTACTATATTTTTCCGTTTCATCCACCATTTTTCGAGCGAATCTGCTGGCATTTTTCCAAGGAAAAAGAACAAGAAGAAGGAGAAAAAGAAAAAGAAGGACGGGAACACACATGACTTGCTGTTGATGTAATGATATGTAATGGCTATCAATTGATGGTTAATAAACATGGTATTGTGAATGAGGTAAACCCAGAGCCAGAAACCATCGCATCCATCGTCAGAATCACCATATGCCATGGCTGGGATTCCAACTGCTCCTCTGTCGTAGCCAATGAGGACAAGAAGAAGGAAAAAAAAGAAAAAAAGGTCTGCTCAGATGGGCCGTTGAGTTGATTCATGTCATTTCATGTCTGTGTTCTGTGTAAATTGCTTGCTAACCATGTTCATTTCCGAGTATTTCATCGCTTGCTTTTTGCATGTACGATATGTGTGCTGCAAATAAATTTCGATATGGCCCCGAAGATAGAAACCGGAAATCTAAGTAAATCACCAGCATAATGATAGCATTTGTGTTTTTCAAGATCATGGCTGGGACCCCCTAACATACATGTATAGACATCTGCGTCTATAATATGAATCATATTATGTTTATTTATTTATTTACATGTGTTATATATATATATATACGATAATATGGCTGCTATCGATTTCTTTGTATATTTATACACCTGGTTGGTGGTTTGGAACAATTTTTTATTTTTGAAAATATTGGGAATGTCATCATCCCAACTGACGAACTCATATTTTTCAGCGGGGTAGGGCTCAACCACCAACCAGATCACTATTATGACAAAAATCACTATGAGTCACTTCTAACCACCACTAACCACTATTAATCCCACCATTTATACACATTATATAGATATTATAGATGCAAATGTTCAGCAGTGCACTTCTGTCTGATTGGCTTCGAGAACTTTTTTCCGGTCATCCCCAGTGCCCAGGATCCCTATTCCAAGACGGCGCAAGAGAAGGCTCGTTTGGAAGCACAACAGCGACTCATGGGTATCGATACCAACAAGAAACCAAAGAAGAAAACCAAGAAGAAGAGCCTTGGTTTTTATGCTGATGGGAACTAAAATTTATGAACTAAGATTTATGTCTGGGAACTAAGATTTATGAAATTTTATGAAGCTTATAGCTGATTACAGCTATAGTTTTATAGATGGAACTAAGATTTGTTGCCGCAATAATCCTCCGAATACACGAAGTCAACAGGATATAAAGAAAACATAATGTGAGCACGGGATTCATCAACTCCCAGTTTGTTAGCCAATAGTCAATAGTATGTTCTTCCCATTTTGGTATGGCAACGGTCCAATTAAACAACCCAGTGGTTGGAAAAAATCCTGGGTTGCCATAATATTTGATATGAACGGGAGAAGCGATTAGCGTGTTAAGCCCAACAATAAACCGTCCCCAATGTTACTAGAAATGGGTTGTAAACAACCATCCCCAACTGGAAGTTTTTTGGGTCTACCACATGTTTTTTTCCATCCAACCAGACTGGATCTGCAAAAATATTCGCGATCTGACTGTGCCTGGAATGATGGTTTTCGTAGGGGTGATTATCCCTAAATAGCTTATCTAGTAGCTTACCCAGATTGCATCCATTATAGTTGATGATAGTTCCTATTCATATTCTCATCAATATCCCATCAAGAGCCATTAATTCCCATTATTATTCCCATTAATTCGCCATTGTTCGTTGTTAAACCACCTTTTTTTCATGTTTAATTCGCATGATTTCCCATTATTTTTTATGGTTATAAGTTTTACCCATTACATTATTCATTTTTTATGGTTAGTCCCCATTATTTCTCATTATATAATATGTTTATCAGTATTCCATTACTTAATGGACAATGGATGATTCTCCCATGTCCCACTGCTTCTTCCTGTGGCGTGCGCCGCGGCGAAGAGCCCTTCCGAGCCAAGGAAGTCCAGCAGTGAAAGTGAGTCGGAACAGGTCCGAAAGATGCAGGCGCTGCCACGGGTGTGAATGAAGATGAAGGTATCTCACCAACTATAGTAGGCAGATTGTATGTTGATATGTTGATTGGTTGATTGATTGATTGATTGATTGATTGATCGGTTGATTGGTTGATTGATTGATTGATTGACTTTGAGATTTAATTATTTATTCAGGTGTTTGTTTATCATTCAGTTTTATAAAATGACTTTTTGTATTTAGTTATACCTATATTTATTTATGTGATTGTTTCTATTAGATGAAATGATTGTTTCATTTACTATTTTTTATTTGCATGTGTGTGATATTGGCGTGTGAGGAAAATGGATATCATATGGCACAATGATGATCAATGGCGTCACAACGGGGACATGGCCAAGAATTCTGGGTAGTCACTTAGTCGTTCTCCCGGGCCCCGACAGGATCGCCTTGAAGACAAGACGATGCAACGGGAGATGGAATTGGCCGAGGCCTTGGCACACGGGCGCCGAGGGACAGGGTGGTTTTCCTCGGGGGATGCTATTTTTTTTGGGGGGGAGTGAAAAAACATGAAACACCTATGCATATTCCATTTTCAAAGGGGATTACAAGATGTTTACAAGTATCAGTAATTATTTTAGGTTAAAGAGGTGTTCTTCTTCGGATGTAGTTGTTTTAAATATTTTTTTTTCACTTGCTTGAGTTACGTTTGTCTCAATATTTTCGGGGATGCCCCAGTTTTCTGGGGTGATTTGATAAGCCACAGATTGGTATGGGATTTCAAATCTCAAAACAAACCCCATCTACCCAAGGTCCAGGACTGAGACAGCAATGCCAGGAGGCTGAGAAGGCTGCAGAGCCCATTCCCGAGAAGTCTTGGGAGGTGCAGCTCAAGTTGGGCCGTTGGGCCGCTGGCAGTTGTGGAAGTCTAAAGAGTCAGTCAGCCTGCTGTCTGTTTGGTAAACTTCGGTAATCTATAACTTGGCACTGGGAAAGCATTTTTTTGAATTGAGAACAACATTTTATGAAAAATCAGCTTGACATGGATGTAAATTGAGAATTTTGCACGGGTGTGTTTGTTTAGAAGAAGACGTCCCTTAGCTTGAATATAACATCTATTTTCCTATTGGGTTATGGGTTAGCTAAGTTCACACTCTGTTTGCTTTGGGTTGGGTATTACTCTGCTACCCCGCCTCACCACTTTTGTTCACCAATTCTTGTCCCGTATGTCATCTGGTTCTCTTTGGAAAGATTGGAAAGCCCTCTTCAGATCATTTTGTTCAACAAGAACCTGCTGATTTCTGATGACCACCGTTCTTTTACCGTACATGTTTGTTCCATGTGTTTTCCAGGTGTTTCCATGTTTTCTCCCCCGGGTCCCCACGCCAGGAGATGACGTGGGCAGAGCGAGGTGATCAAGCGGCCCAGCAGGCGGAGTCTGACGCCATTTGGAAAGGCGCAAGAAAAAAAGGGCTGGGGTTTTCATGTTCGGGGCTGAAACTGGGGTTATGGTATGGTTATCCCAAGATGAGGGAGCATGTGTATATTATATGTATATATACATATATATATACGTATCTGCGCGTGTAGTATGTATTTAGAATTATTTATATCAAGATCTAAATGTGTGTAAATTGATGACTGTTTAATTGTATAGCGTACAGAACACAAATCTGGTGCTATAACCGAACAACGCCTTTGAGTTTTATGGAACAAGGGTTGTCCAAACACATGGTTCCTTGCCTTCAGATAAGACATATGAAGACATCAACGGCAAAATGAACTTGTACAAATGGGATGTTTCATGCAAGCTGGAACTTCACAAATGAAAACTGGTTTGTGGACAGCCATCAACCAACATTCTACTCCCAAATGCATACAGGAATGTTGCAATAGACATGTTCCTACTATAGATAATGTCCACGTGCTTTCGGGTATTTGACCTATTTTGGAAGCGTTGAAACGAAGTCAAAGTCACTGAGCAGTTTCAATCAAAACAGTTGGTTGATGATTTTAGGGGGTTATACTATCCAATATATTGTGGATAATTATCATCCATGAGCTGGAAAACCCCACAATGCGATGGGACAACTTTTGCTTTTAATTTTGGATGCTGGTAATGGTTCAAAAGTACCACGACTTTGGATGGAACATTTCCCAGCGCACTAAACCTCCATTTCGTGAGCTGGGACTGTCCAGCCAAGTTTCACGAAACCCATTTCGGGAATCCCATGGAATCTCCAATGATTTTCCGTAAAGATTCATCAAGAGAAACGGCACCCAAAAATGATGAAGTCACCACTTGTTACTCATGTTTGGGGGAGTGGTTGAGTCAACAAGTGTTTCTTGGGGGAAATGAGTCATATATGTTTACCACCTCTACATATAAATATATATATATATATACATTTAAATGTCACTTAATAAGTAATGATTCATACTTCATTCATTCATTAATTCATTCATTACCTCCTTTTCAATGATTCATACATAAGAATGAGGAATGATGAATACCTCACAACAATCAGGAATGATTTAGTAACATTTAGTACTTCATAAAATGAATGATGTGGTTAAAACATGTTAAAACCATAATAAACCATGCCCAGTCTTCACCATTTTTATCCTATGTTTATGGGTGCTATGTTTACCATTCCCATTTTTATGGCTAGTAAAAATGGCATTGTTTTAGCCACGTGACATCCGCACAGCGAGGTGCCTCCAAGGCAGAAGCCAAAACCTTGGGCAGCCGCGCAAGGGAGAAGGTGACATCTGTGGAGAGCCATGGCAGCCATGGCATGGGGATAGGCAGAAAAATGGCATTTAATGATGGATGATTATGGCTGGTTGGTGCTTTGGAACATGTTTTATGACTTTCCATGAGAGGCGTAGGTATACCACGGGCTCCAGTAATGATGATGGATATCATGGGATAGTAGTGAGATTAATATTAGTAGGATGAGAATGGGAGAATAATTGGGATATTAACTATAGTAACTGGGATATTAATGGCTGGTTGGTGCTTTGCAACATGAATTTTATGACTTTCCATCTGTCGGGAATGTCATCATCCCAACTGACGAATTCATATTTTTCAGAGGGGTTGAAACCACCAACCAGATGATGGATAATATGGGATGGTAGTGGGACAATAATGATGCCATTCTTAATGGGACTTATCTAATATGATAACATGACAATGGCGTCCCATAATGCCATAATAACGCCCATGTAATGGGATATTTTGGGATAGTAGTGAGATTAATATTCGTGGGATAATAATGGGAGAATAATTGGGATATTAATTGCTGGTTGGTGGTTTGGAACATTTTTTATGTTCCATAGTATGTGGGACAATCCTTCCCATTGACCTTCATATTTTTCAAGATGGTTAAAACCACCAACTTCTCTTTATTGGTAAATCCACTATAAATGGCCATTTTCAATAGCTATGTTAAATTACCGGAGGGTATTTGGATATATCTTCCGGTTTCATCAAAGTTGGCTGGAAACTCCCGGAACTAGCCATGGAGGTTTCTATCTCGGAAACTCATAGATGGTGGTATTAAAGTCTGATTAGTTGGATGTTATATGTTTGTTTGCTCTAAATATTGATGTGTTTTTGTTATGATTTTTGGGCCAACATGTGGGGAAGTCAATGTTTCGTTTTAAAAAGTCAGCAGATATTGTAGATATTACCATACGATATTATCATTATTCTGGGTTCTGATGGCGGCAAGGGGAAAAGTCCAAGTTGGGATACCCATGGCACAATGGTTATCTTAGCCACTTGGGTTTTCCGGAATGGAACATCCAGCAATCTTGATTTAAGATGATTTAAGCTGGAACATGATCGTGAGATATTGAATCTCCAGATTAAAAAAAAACATGTTGGTGGGGGCATAGGGAATAGGCTGGGATTCTCAGATTCTCATTTTTCATGTCTTCGTTAACTCTGTTTTTCAGTGGCCTGCGGTTGCATGGTTTTTCCCTCTGGTTGTCCCCCTGTGCAGGTCATGTTGCAGGCAGTTGAGGCATGGCCGAGCTGAAGACATCGACAACTGGCTGGGGATTTCAAACGTTCTGGCTGTGTTTGAACAATTTAAAAGGGATGATTGGTTGAGATGACTATTTGTATCTATTTTTGTGTTGGGTTAAAGCCACCAACCAGACAAAACTGAAGATGAGGTCTGCAGATTGATGTTGTTTTCAGTGAAAACTGCTATATGATGCTTTATGACTTTATTGTTTTTGTTTGGTAGGTGTGGACATGACGTGCTTAAAGATAGTCAGATGTCACTTGGCAGATCTCCAAGGACCAACATGGATCCGCTCAAAAACCCTTCATTTCTTCTGTGCAGAAACCTTCGATCGGCTATGTCAATATTGGAAATTCCGAAGCAGTGGATCAAGGTCCATGTTTCATTCTAGACATATTCATATACAAAAAAACAATATATATATATAGATACATACAAAATGCAGGTCCCAACAAGTCCTAGAAGTGCCCCCGCTTGTTTCCAAGCGGAGCCAGTGAGACTCTGCACAGGACGGCTACGTCACACAGCTGCCGCAGAAACTTGGCACAAACTTGTCGCATTGCTTGGTTACTGTTGGTTGGGCAATTGTCTCCTTGGTCAAGGAATTGTAGGTGTAACGTAGTTTTAAACATATTTGGGATGATTATCACTGATGACCCTCTGGTAAACTGACATAGCTATTGAAAATGGCCCAGTCGAAATAGTTGATTTACCCATTAAAAATTGCCATTTTCCATAGTTATGTGACAGTTTACCAAGTGTGTACCATTTTCCCTCAAGGCACACTGCAGAATCAGGATCCCCTTTCCCTTAAAAAGGACCATCCTCAGGATTCGGCGTACTGAAGCACCAAGTCTGATAAGGCTCCACGGCTAGTAAGCTAGTAGCCAGTACCCTCCACAAACATCGGGTTTCAATATGTTGAAGTTTGATGTGGGCTCTTCAATCCCACATCAACCCAGATGTTTTTTTGGGTGTTATTGTGTATTCATTTGACGGGTGGCCCTTCAGGTTTGACTTGGGAAGCTGTGCTGAGGCGTGCGAGGTTCAATCCAGCCACCGGCAAGGTTGCCAGGGGCTAATGCGGCTAAGGCGCGGCGGGACAGAGGAGAGCGCGCTGAGAATTCTTTCCCTAATCGGATTTGTTGGTGTTTTCGGAAGGTATTTGGATGCATAGGACATCATAGGACCATGTTTGATATTGTTGTTTGATTTCTGGGTGGATGTGTTCTTCTTTCACGTGTCTGAAAGCCAAACATGCATCCCACAAAGATGCCATGGCTGCAAATTTGCAGAAATACTTCGCATGCCAGATTGCCACATGTTATTTCTTGATGGCGCAATGGCGCAATATGTTCCATTAACATGAACAATAAACACCCATACAAACCGTGGCTTAGATTCTCTCACAGATAGAATCAAGAAACTTCTAAGAAACACTCTTCAATCTTGTTCATGTTGAGGTCCCATTTGGGGCGGTATTCTAAGGGTGGAGTGATTACAGCCACAACCCTAACCTCCGAACGCAACAGCGCCACAGGACACGTCTGCAGACCTGAGCCAAAAGATGGGCCCATGGTCGCCATGTCCCGCTGTTGATCCATATCAACAAACCCCAGTGTCTCTGTGTTACAACCGGGTTTCAAGTTTTCATATGGAATATGTTCGAACAGTTCAATATCCAAGCGGCAAAAGGATGCAAAAGGGAAATACATATACATATATATATACATATATATATATACACATATATATATACACATACACACACATATATATACATATACATATATATATACACACATATATATATATATCAAAAGTTCGAAGTGCGCACCTTATGGACAAAAAAAGGGGATGCAGATTTGCCGGCCAGAAACCATCCTAAAAAAGTCTTCCAGCGTTCCTGGTTGAAGAAGGCCATCTATGCCGCTTTTACCCTCGGGAAATGAAATATGGCAAGGGAAAATTCCCAATTTATAGATGGTTTTCCATGGTTTTCCCATTTAAACCTCCATTTATATAGGATTTTCCAGCTAGCCATGTTAGATTTATTAAATTTCACGAGCTCCTGGCATTTTGTGATTTTTAGGGAATATTGGATATCAAGGTCAAGATGCAATATTTGGTGCAGTGTACGCGCACAAGGGTGGCACCAAAAAACCTAAGGGTCATGGTTTGCACGGGTTTGCACTGGATCAGCCTTCCATAAATGGAAGTGGTCCAATAAATCGTTCAGAAAAAAATGAAACGGTCGGAAACAGTCGGAAACGGTTGGAAACGGTCGGAAACGGTCGGAAACGGTCGGAAACATGATCAGGCCAAAACTTGTTCAACCCGCATTTTTTTTTTATTAAGCATTTCCGCGCAACGCCGTTTTTTTTTTTGAAGGTCCAAAGGTGTCCAAGGGGAAACGGTTGGAAACAGTCGGAGATCGCACCTTCGCTCGGCAAAAAAGACATGTTTTTACACAATTTTCAAACATTTTTCATGAACATATGCTACAAAACAACTACTTTTTTGCCGAGCGAAGGTGCGATCTCCGACTGTTTCCAACCGTTTCCCCTTGGACACCTTTGGACCTTCAAAAAAAAAAACGGCGTTGCGCGGAAATGCTTAATTAAAAAAAGAATGCGGGTTGAACAAGTTTTGGCCTGATCATGTTTCCGACCGTTTCCGACCGTTTCCAACCGTTTCCGACCGTTTCCGACCGTTTCATTTTTTCTGAACGATTTATTGGACCACTTCCATTTGTGGAAGGCTGATCCAATGCAAACCCGTGCAAACCATGACGCTTAAGTTTTTTGGTGCCACCCTTGTGCGCGTACACTGCACCAAATATTGCATCGTGACCTTGATATCCAATATTCCCTAAAAATCACAAAATCCCAGGAGCTCGTGAAATTTAATAGTTAGATTACCACAGGGTTTATTTAAGTTATATGTTATATAGGGGATATAAGAACTCCATTGAGTTCTGAAATTTCCCAGCTAGCCATGTTTGATGACACCGGAGAAAAACAGCATTCATCGCACATCATTCGTGACACGACTTTATCGCAGCAGGGGATCAGATCGAAGCCGCATGGGGCCAGGGTCCTCTGCAAGATCTTGGGGACCCCCAGTCATGTTACCCTCTGGTAAACTGTCCCATAGCTATGGAAAGATCCACCATTTTTCATGGGAAAATCAACTATTTTGACTGGGCCATTTTCAATAGCTATGTAACAAATTACCAGAGGGTAATGGGGAAACACATGTTGAAAAGGGCTATCCATGACTTTCTCCATTGCATTCCCAAGTTTGAGGATCACTCATTTGGGAAATGTCAGCTTGACATAGCTTGACCCCCTGCAAACACGGTTCACTTCAGGTTTACATTCCCTCATAATATGAAAGGACCACGTGGCCTGCTCGGGATTCCAGTTGCCGTTGGGGGTAAACACCCCAACCTGCTTTGTTACTTGCTTCCTTGGTAGCTGGATTTGTCAAATGACGTTTTGTGGGTGATGCCAAGCTATTACGGCAGTTGCTACAGTTTTCTTGACAGCAATTCTTGCCGTCAGTTCTAGTGGATTGTCATGAACTCGCAGAGCATTGAGTCATTGAGCTATGGCTGTGGCCGACTAAATGTTTGATTGCTTGGTCCACTGTCACCGTCACCACAGCTGCAACCTGTTACTCCCCTGTTTTCACTGGGCTTGCTCATCAGTCCTACATGTGCAGCCGATTTGGTTCAAAGACAGTGAGGTTGGTATAAAAACCTTGCAGGAGCCTCGTGCTTCTGCTACAGCAATTCAGAGAGCGTCATGGCAGAGGCTGGGCGAATGCGGCTGAAGAGGATGAAACTCAACGTGGCTGGTGCTAAAGATTATTTAGCTGCAGAAATTTGACGTACATCTACATACATATATATATATATATAAATATATATATATATTTAAATATATATATATACATACATACATTATATTATTTTTTGCATATATATATACATATGTACAGATATTGAAGACCCATGGTTTCCTTAGGTCTTAAACCGATTAGTTTTTCCATATCTTTGGTAAACTACTGGAGGCTACTGCAATTTACTGCCCTAAAATTGGATGGGGCAGTGCTCAAACGACCAATCTAGTGACTCCCCTTGGGGTATACAGTGCTGAGTAGCATCTCCCACCCATAGTCGATAATAGTCGATTATCACGGGTTTGTCATTTAAATCGCTTATTGGATTTTTCAATGCGTTTCAAGGAATTTCATTTTTTCCCGGCTTGTTCCATTTCCCACGAATTGTCCCCTCTTCCCCCTCAACACAATCAATTCATGCCCTGGTTTTCCTGGTTCTTCTAGAGTTCCCATCGTCATAGATGTCCTTTTTCCATTGGTTGCTATGAATAGAGGGGTTATACGGTTGAAGCCCAGCAACAACCAATAGGCATATGAGATGATAAATGATGATAGATGGTATTATATCAGAATTATCAGACCAGTCCGATAATCCCCAATGGATTTGTTCAACACCCTCTGGCAAACTGTCCCATAACTATGGAACATCACCATGCTATTCATGGGTAAATCATGGTAAATCAACTATGAACGGCCAGTTTCAATAGCTTTTTGCATGTTTACCACATGGTTTTCAGATGGTATCCATGGGATATGGATGGGGAAGCCTGCCGTTTTTTTCCAACCCGGGAAGCAGGAGTACAAATCCCGATTCCAGGCGGCTCTTCAGGAGACCGTTGACCGATGACCGATGAGAATTTTCGTTGATGTATGTTGATGTTAGGGTAATTATATATTAAACATGGACCCTGATATGGGCATTACATAATAAATTATATATATATATATATTAGATTAACATGAGTTAAACATGAATCAATGAATCAAAATGTTTGGAAGAATCAGCCCGGATAAGATTGTTTGTATAGGGCCGCTAGTAAATGCCCATTGAACGCCATTTGGATGGGTTGGAGGTTGGAGAAGATTGAGTAGACACGGGTGGTTTACATGAAATAGGACAGGTCGGAAGCTACAAAGAGCACGTGGCAGATTACAGATGGATCATTTATTCAAACGTTATTGGATCCATCTTTTGCGGAATTTGAGATTAGGAGATTTCTTATAACCATCTGGTTATTTTCGATCTATGGCTATGACATAGTCAAGTCATGCCATCCTTGCTGGTGATAGCCAGGTTGCAAATATTCGCATGTTGGCTGACCCTCCATATGCCCATGAATTACGTGGATGAGCGCGGCCAGAATCCCCAGTAGTTCCAAAAAAGAAGTCTGGAAAAGCCGTAGGCCCTAGATGTGTGCAAAATTGCCCACCAATGGTTGATACTTGGGGATTGCCCTGGCCATTGTAGATCCCACCGTTTGTTACCTTCGCCAGGAGCTCAACTATGGCCAGAGATGCCATAAGTTGTCTCAGCTTGGCAAGGAGAGGGCGGGGATGTCGCCGGGGAGAAGATGCAGCCTTGAAGCGCGGGATGGCGACATACCAGATATGCATAGGGATTTTATGGTGACTAATGGGGCTTTAAACGACAAACATAGGGATACAAAAATGTGGATATTGATGGGGATTACTTCTTGGTTCTTTAACGTAGCTAGGGAAAATCAATGAACATCACCATTCTGAAGAATGGTAAATCATTATAAATATAAAATCTATGATAGAAGATTTTCCATAACTATGTTAAATAACCAGCGGGTAACCACCAAAAAAAACTAGAACAATACTTGACTTGACCTCATGTTCGTTGGAACTTACTTTTCTCCTTTTTCGGGTTTGTATGTATGTTCGGTTTGAACTGAGCCATGCTGGGACATGTTCCATTTGGAAAGCCGGAAGCCCACCTCCAATGATGACCTTTTGGATTATAACTAGTACCTCAGTAGGCGGGCATTTGCTTGTTTCAAGCGAGTTTATCTTCGCCCTGAATGAGATGACGCATTGCAGCAAAAAACCGCAATGTTTGACAGGCTGGAACTATCCATGGGTGTCTTTGGTGTACTTGATCAGAAATTTGAAGCATGTTAAAGGACCTGGTTATCACAGTTTCAAGTCGGTGGTGAACCGGAAAAAAAAAAACGTGAACTGCAAAACCAACATGTCAACTCCTCAACTTGGATCAATCCACGTCATGACAATGCCAGAAAGCCCGTTTATACATGTTTATACTTCTTACAAGATGGTTCCCCCCTAGTTATGTTGTCGGTTGATTTTGACCCCATGAACTATTCTGATGTGTCTATCACAAAGCATCGCAAAGCTTAGATTGATTACTTGTAAACAAACGTACAGTAGCTAGTGTCATGAGATGTCATGAGATGTCATGAGTCAATTGTACATTCCAATTGTTGCTGGTTAAATGCCAACTTATTGTGGTTAACTGACCGGCTGGGGCTCCAATTTGAAGTGCGGCCTGGTTTTTCCACAGGAAATTAAGGCCGCCAAGCCGGGAAATGTTCAGGCTGAGAAGCGGCTGACGGTGAAATGATGGGGCAGAAACATGAAGAACATGGGGAACATGGGCAATCTGCTAAACATATACCAAAATCTGAAATCAGTGGTCCCACAGGGCTTAAATGTTGACCCCATATTTCCTGGGTGTTTCCTAAGTCAGGTGGAAAAAAGGAAACAGCTTGCGGAAAATGGATTCAGAATGGGTTCAATTACCCATGTGGAGGCTGAAAAGCCTCATGACACAGTGTGTTTTGGAGAGACTCCGATGTTGGGCTCATGTTGAGCTTACAGATGGTCCCATGACAGCCATAAAACTTGCATTTCTGTTCCAATCTCCAACTTTGATGGAAAAGCCTGTGTGACATGAAATCATGAAATCTCTGTATTTGATCGTGAGAAAAATGGTTTCCACTGAAGGTTTTCCCTTTACCCAATCCAATGATGGGGAAGTCAAGCCAGGTAACCAGAATGAACTTGAATAATTTTGATTACCACCATTCAATTTTGCATATTCGGAAAACCATGTTTTGTTTGGTGGTTTCATGTGGTTTCCCTTCTGTTTACTATCATCTTTACATATTATAAATGATTATAAAATCTAGTTCCAAGTTTGACATCAATATATGTATTTAATAGAGTTTTTGTTTAAAAAAATGTTTTTATATTTATATACTGTATATACATATATATATATATATATATGTGAACTGTATATATATATATATTGCACGTATTTAGTTTTCATCATGGGATTATAATGGGACTATATAAAACCACTATTAACGCGTGTATTCCAACGGTTTGCCCATACGAACAGGCCATCGTCGATGGTCTACTGCCTGAGATCGACAACGAAACCGCTGGCGTGGCAGAGGCGGCGCATGGCGGCGCTGCGACGGGTCTCGGGTGTCACTCGCTTGGAGGTTGGAAAACCCGGGGAAAAACCCGTGGAAAACCACCCTTACTGATGGTTAATAATGGTTAATAATGGTTAGTAATGGTTAATAATCACTCTTACTCATCATTTGTGTGGGAAAGTCATCGAACTGCTGGTGGATAAACATTGCTGATGGTATACTGGTTGGTGGTTTGGAACATGAATTTTATGACTTTCCATATATTGGGAATGGCATTATCCCAACTGACTTTCGCATATTTTTCAGAAGGGTTCAAACCACCAAGCAGCTTAGATTTATGACTTATGTGTACAGAAATGTCAAGAAATCTGGTTTTGGTGACGATATCAGATATGTCAATTCATCGGGATTCCAACCCGTTTTTTTGCCCTGCCTAAAGGGTTACCACTCCCTCGCTGGGACAGAAGCAACCGACAAGACCAGGAGTTCCTGGCGTTCGTCTACCGGAAACAAGTTCGTCTAGAATGTCATGTTAAATCTTGCGTTATTATATTCAATTATTTCCATTTGATTGGATAACATCAGTCAGGTACATAGTTGGTGTAAGTTGCCAATATGTGCCGAGAATGAAAACAGTGAGCAAACCATAGAACACTCAATTGAGTAAGCTGGAAACCAAGACCAAGTACAATTACGTATATTATATGTACATATTCAATCATATTCACACACACACACGTACTAATACATACATATAATGCTACTCCCGGATTAATAAACCATGGTTTATTAATCCCAGTGTGGTACTCCTCCAATAGTCATTATCTGATCCTTATATAAATATATATATATATATAAGTGGTAGCCTCCCAATTAAACAGCCGTAAAGGGGTTTAGGAAAATCCAGGCTTGACATTATAAATGCAGCTGGGATCCTCCTGGTCTCGGGTCCCTTCGATGCTGCAGGCATCTGCAGGCTGCAGGCTGAGTAGGTCTCAATTTTTCTGTCACCAATGGTGACCAATAGTTTTTTAATGAATTTATACCCTCTGGTTCTGTCAAAATAGCTATTGAACATGGCTGTTTATAGCTGATTTAGCTATTAAAAATCATGATTTTCGATAGCTATGTTAGTTTACCGGAGGGTAAATCTTATTTGAAAAATTTGAAAAAAAATCTTATTGTCATGCCCATTGCCGTTGGTATGCGCAAACCTGTCATTCTTCCACTGTCGTCAGAGCATCTATTCGTCAGAGCCCATGTTGGTTTGTAAAACCCACTGCTTGTAATCGCCATTTTCCCGATCTTGAAATGACCAGAAACCGCGATCAATCAATCATTTTCAGAGACACCGAATATCACAGTGCTGGCTATATATATATATATTATGCTCAATGTAGTGTGTAAATATAATTATATAATTATATATATATCATGCATAATGTAGTGTATGTATATATATATATGATTATATATATGATTTTATATATATACATATACATATACATCCCATCAAATCAACATTAATATTGAACATGTTCCATTCATGGATATGCCATTATTTCAACGCCTTAATTGTCCTTCAATATCACCACATCGTTCACCACCATCAAAAACCACTATCTCCATCAAGCTCTCTTCGAGAATGCCAGGCATTCTCGGAGAAAGCGCGCCTTATCGTTGCTAAAGCAGCCGGATGCAAAGGCCGGGACGTTTCGGTGCGTTTCGGTGCGAGGGTGGTTGGCGTTGAGACCTTGGCGAATGGTGGGTCAAAGCATCAATTTCTGGAAGCCATGTTAAGCCTGAATTGGGATTAAGATTGAGATTATCATGTTGATGTAGCTAATAATTATATACTTGTTATGTTTTGCTTATATTTGGGATATTTGGACCCAATGATTTTACAAAAATAGTAACATCTGACAACTGTAACCCACAAGATGCGAGACCATTAGTGGGGTTGGCTCCCGGGTTTGATGGACCTCGCAGGATTTGGTGCTGGTTCCTCATCATCCCAGCAAGGTGATGCTCCCAAGTTATAGATTGGTTACAGTACCCTCATTTACTCTAAAGTTTAATATATCCCCAACTAGTATCCCTCATATATAAACATAGTCACAAGATGTCACAAGTTATAAAAGTTCACGTAGCTATACATCAACTGATTATTTCATAGTTTTAGAATGTTTTAGATACTGGTTGGTGGTTTGGAACATTTTCTATTTTCCATAATATATGGGATACTCCTTTCCATTGACTTTCATATTTTTCAAGATGGTTTTTTAACCACCAACCAGGATATGTTTAGATCCCCTGGCCTACTAATCTAGGCCTAGCATCCCCGATGTGAAGCCATAGGGACATCACCTCGAATCACGGATCCGTTTGATCGTTCGTTCGTTCAGGCTATGCCAAGAAGTTGCTGGACGCCCCATCGAAGACAGCGGCTTGGTGAAGCTGGTGAAATCACTAAGACTTAAACCAGCGCCTGGTTACACCTTTTGAATTGATCTGGGTAAATTATAACGACCTCACTGATCTCCCTCACTGGAATCATAGTTAGTAAGGGGAATCATCCCAAAATGGCCGTAATTCAGGTTAGTGAAATATGATAATTTACCCAGATTGATTCTCATTGAACATAGCAAAATGGAAGCCTGATCCCCTTGTCACACACATTTCTGTTCCGTGGCCACACGAACGCAGTTCCGTGGCGCCCAGGTGGGCTACTCCGCGGCCACCAATGGCCTTCTCACAGCGGAAGATGCCAGGGAAGCGTTTCTGTCCAGTGCCTTGGTGGTTTGACCTAGCAGCTGGCAGAGACCTCATGCTGGTCGCGTTTCATGATATATATATATAAATATGATGAAATATGAACCACTATATGATGTTCATGATGTGGTTAAAAGTGATTACGTATGAACAACTATGTGATTTGATGTGATTTGATGTGATTTGATGTGATTTGGGATTTTATATGGAGTGTTGTTGTTCCTATGTGGATTTGTATGGGCTTAAAACTACACAGGAGATCATGTTGGAAATCAAGACCGTGAGTGAAGTTCCGCTTGGTGAACTATTGACAGAGAAGGGCATAGTTTGTTTGATAATCTCTCTTCCTTTACCCCACTTGGCAATGTGGTGAGACAAGCGCAACATCCGGAATCATCCGGGAATAGTTTCATCATGTTTCATCCATGCACCTAAAATTCATTGGGGTTGATGGATTGATGGATTGGACTGCTTCATAGTGAATAAAGACCGATCCAGACGTCTGGACGCTTCATAGCTAAAGCAGCACACACAGCACATCTCTCGACACGGGTGGACGATGGTGGAGGATCCACATTTGGTTTCCAGTCATGTTTTGTCATGTTTTGTCTGAATAAATAATGATGAATGCATCGCATTCAACTGGTTTCCAAGTGCATCGTATTATATTCTAAACATATCAAATCATATATACCATTTGGATCCATTTGGTTATTTATATAATATAGCCATGGAAAATCACAATGCTATTAATAGGTAAACCATCTAAAAAATAACCAGAGGGTAGTAGATTTTTGCGTGATTTGTTGCAAGCAGACAACCACTTGAATGCCATTTTCTTGGGGTTTCGGCCAGCCCTGCAGCGCTTCGGCCAGGTGATACTAGCCGCAAGATGAAGAAGTTCCTCTTGCAATGCGACGCCTTGGAATCCGACAAGGAGGCCTGAGACATCCTGAGACACCGATGTCACTCGATACCCGTGATGTAACAGTTTGCGAACTAGAGAATCACAATTTTTAAGTTCGGTAAATCAACTATAAATGATCATTTTCCATAGCTATGTTAATTTACCGGAGGGGATGTTTAATCAACGGCCATTTCAGGGGCCTAAATTGGAGGTACCTACCATATATATATATATAATATATATATAAAAGGCTTATGTAAGGGCTATGTGAGGGAATATCCCCACCAAATATGACCTTACATGGTACAGTACCTTCATTTTAGGGTCCTGAAATTTTCAATGATTTAATGGTTTGAATGTGTTTGAATCGGGAAGTTCCGAGCTAATTTTGGAGGTTTTAAATGGGGTGAATATGGGAAAACTTTGATTTCAATGGGTGATTTTGTTTGCAAGCCATGTTTGATTACCGGAAGGTATATGTATTAAAGTGATGTTATCTTTTAATAGTTAGAGTGGGAAATCATCCCAAATCTCAGGTGTTTTAAGCATTATCCTTAAAATGACCTCAGGTGAAGCCTGGATTTTGATTCTTGGCTGGTGGGAACCATATTTTCGTAGTGCCCGGGCGTCACCCGGATGGTTGACTCTTTTTCTGGCACGTGAAATCTCCGTGTTTGAGTCTAAATCTTGATGGGGGTTACCGGTTACCCCAGGCAGAACCGGGGGATGTCCTTGGATTTGATTGAATCGAGCCTTGGATGTCCACTGGGAAACTGGGACCCCTGGGGCCCCTGGGACCCTGACATCCCTGACATGTCCAAAGCAGCCAGTGCCAAGCCACCAAGGAGGGATTGAACCCAGATGGATCTTTCAAACTGTCAACCCTAAACATGGGACGATGATCCTGCTTCAGCCGCTTCAGTGTTTTGGGCAAACATGCAGTCTATGATGAGCCACTAGAAGTCAATGAACAAGTGTAACGCGTGTTTGGAATACATCGAATCATACCGGCATCATACGATATTTTTTTTTATAGTAATTACTGAACATTGTATATATTTATATATTTATACACATTCATTTACAATTATATACATTTATATGTACATTTAGTTTATCATTTATATAGCGTCATGTTCTGAAAGTCCTTTAGTTGGAGAGTACTCCCGCCTCTGCAGGTCTTAGAACATGCCTTCGAGCTTTTTGGTGCCGGGATTGGGGCCGTTGGTTGGGGCGGTGCAAGGGAAACTCGATAGGAAACCATAGATTTTTCCATTTTTCCCATGAAACATGGGCTGTTTCCTGTCGTTTTTCCCGTAAAACCAATCCATTGAGGAATTGGTTGATTCATCCAACATTATCCAACAATGATGATGATGATGATGATGATCTCCTATAACTAGCATACTCCGACGGTTGAAGCTGCCAGTCATGTTCCCACATGTTCCGCAGTTGAAGAGCCATCAAAAATACGTGATGAGGACTCCACTTGAACCAGCAGGATATCCAAGGATAGATGCCCCGCATACGATGAGTTTCTTCCAGAGAATGAGATTCCCCAAGGGTCGTGCTAAGTGATGCTCAGCGCCACAAATGAGTTTTCTCCGACTGCGTGAGCTAACAAAATGTGGATTTCAATCTAAGCAGGTCTTTGGGTGGCGAATCGACAACAACTTTGAACCCTCTTGAATCCTCAGCTTTCAGAAACTCAGAACTATTCAGACATATTATTTAATATCATTTATAACTGGTTGGTTTGGTTTCAAACATTTTCTATTTTCCATAATATATGGGATAATCCTTCCCATTGACTTTTATATTTTTCAAGATGGTTTTTTAACCACCAACCAAAATAACATTGTATAACTCATTTCCATTCATTTCCATGAAAATTTCCTCCCTGGTGTGTTAATCAGCCTTTATGCCAGGCGAAAAGGACAAGGAAATGTTTTGGCCCTTGCTGGCCAGAACCAAGTCTGAGGAGCCCGTTCCAACCCTCATCCTGGGCCCGTTGGAACATGTTGGAACCTCCCCGTGGGCCTGGAGGTTTTATGACTGGGAACATGATCTATAAATATCTATAATTAATTAATTTATATATGCGTATATACAAACATGTAATAGCTATATATATATATATAGATGTAATATATATATATATATAATTATATTGATTATATACTCTTGTATGTATAAATGGGGAGGATTTTTGCAAAACATGTTTGACTCAAAGTGATGATGATCATGTTTTTTTCTGATGTTCCAATCCATTCTCACCACTTCAGGATGGGTATATGCAGTTTGATGCAGTTTGGTTTTTGTTTTTTTCGCGTTCTTGCTTCCATTGGCTGCGGTCATTGAAACACCATCGTGAGTTTTGACACCCAAAACAACTCAGCCGCCACCATGTTTTCAAGGTCAAATGCGCAATCCAAGTTTGTTTTTCGGGCTCCACCTCCCTATCCGGTCGAGTTATCATTCTCCTTCCCTTCCCAGACCTTTGGGCCGGAGGAGTTACTGGCCAAGTATCTGGATGAAGATCAGCCCATGCGGTCCTGGCTGAGTTCCAAGCACGATGAGAAGGTGCAGTTTTTTTTTGTCACTGTCTTTTGAGGTAATGATGAATGGCATTGAATGGCCATGGTGCATATTCCATATAAATACATTAATATATAATGCCAACATCGGATTAATAACCCCCCCCACCAGGTAGGTAGGTAGGTACCTTCTAGCTAGTTTTCTTGACTACCCGTAAATAAACGGCCCTGAACCATAAAATTCTGAACCATAAAACTTTGGATATGGCTTACGTCAATTAGATCTTAATAGAATTCCATTGGATTTGTTAAAATTTCATGGATCAGAAAGGTGGTTGATTAATCAGGGGCAAACCATGGTTATTATTACTGGGGGACATGGGCTCATGGGGGGTACCCTTTGGGAGCTATCCAAACTGATGTTTTTTTTAAATAAATATTTTAATTAGAAATCGATCATTTGGGGAATAGTTGTTTTTTGAAATTTTCAATGATCAACTTAAACCTGAAGTATAACAATGATGATTAAAAAAAAGGTAAAAAACAATTGGAAATAAATAGAATTGGAAATACAAAATGTTGGATAAAAAAAATGATTTCCGAAGTGGTGGTTGATTAATCGGGGGTAGGCCCACCGGTTTATTAATCTGGGCGGACCACCTGTTTTTAAATTACTTTTTTTTTTTGGGCAGTGGTGGTTGATTAATCCTGGGGGTATTATTAATCCTCACTTGACATTATATATATATATATGCCATAGTTATGGATTATAATGATTATATATATATATGTATATAAAGTGTTCACAGATACACGGAGGGAGAGAGAGAGAGAGAGAGAGAGATGTTTATAATTATATATATTTGTGTGTATGTATGTGTGTTTGTTGATGTGTTTCTTTTCATATCTTGTCCTTGCCCTTGCTTGAGGAGTTTTGTGATTCCAAATGCATGGGTCGCGTTTCCTCTGAGGCTGTTATGTTTGACCACATCATGGTTTCACAGTTGTGTACAATTTATGATATGGATTTATGATGCTGAGCGATCCTGGGTAAACTATAGCGACATCCCCAGCCGATGTTGAGCATTTTGTGGAATCAACCCGGTGATCAACCGGGCAACATTTCCAGTTTAGGAAACTGGAAACCTGAAAAATAGCAAAAACTTCGAACAAAAAAAGAAAAACGTAGGAGTAATAAGGGTTTCCAGTTCCCAAATGCAATGAATTCCTATACGTGTGCTATTTTTCCAATGTGCTTGAGGTTTTTGCAATTTGTCACGTTTCCAATAAATTAGGAAAACAATAGGAACAAAAATGGAGGTGGCCAAACATGAATTCCGAAATTTTGCTAAACTTGTTGTAAAGATAGGAAACTTGCAAAAACATCGAGAAAACTATACGAACATATAAGAACATATAAGAACAAAGTAGTAAACACATAGGGCAAAAAAGGAACGGAAAACCAGAGAGCCGACACGCCCCAGACAGCTGATGGGGATCCAAATCGAGGCTTCCTTAAATTGGGTACCATTATTTGGATGATATTAATGATGGGATGATCATTTGGGATCATTGATGGATATCTTATTCTATCCCCAAATCCCATCAAAACCATCCAAAACCATCCAAAATCCCATCAAATCATCTATGAAAATCATCAAATTATCCATGTGATTTTTCGGATTTTCCATGGAACACATTCACATCAAATGGCCGGGTACCGGGGCAGGCAGCCATTCGGCCACGTTGTGTCCAGGTGCCCGGCTTTCCGCAGATGGCTCGACGTTTCCCTGACCTCATGGTGCCTGGCTTTCCGCAGCTGTGAAACCCTTTAAGGTTAATGCATGTGAATGCAAGTGTCATATGGAACATGTTGGAACATGTTGGAACATGTTGGAACATGTTGGAACATGTTGGAACATGTTGGAACATAGGGGAAAAACAAAAAAACGTATGTGCAATCGTCAAACCATCTCTGGCATTCAAAAGTTAGATGTAGTCAGAGGGTCAACGCAGTGTATATCATCCCTCATGGGCCGAAATTGCGAGATTGCGCAAGACCTAGATGCGAGCAAGAAAAATACACCCAAAAAATAGCATTCAAGATTCAAGTTCTTGTGAATATGCTTGCTTTGAGATTGATCCTTGGTATACTGTGAATATGTATATATATATGGGTTGTTTTCGACATGGATCGATCCCAGTGAAGTCAGAAGCTGAAACCCCATGGGTTTTTTTTAGCCCCATAAGTTGAGAGGTTGGAGGCCCCTGTAGCCTACTTCACTATGGTAAAACATGTGATCCACTGGATCCACTTACTTCACTATAACTGCACCCCCATGTGCTACAAAAACAAAGCATGTGAAAAAATAAATCACTAGTTGGATCATTGATCCAAGATCATTCAAGTTCAAGTTCGTTGAAGTTCGTCCTGGCCAATTCCATCCAAGTATTTTCCAGCTCGCCATATGTCGCCGAGGTGAAGCTGGTGACCAATGGAACTCTGAAGTGGCGCTGGTACTGGGTCACCGAAATCTTGGAACAGGACGGCGATGGGATCTGATGGGGGATGGATATGGATGGAATGTGGGCGACTTTTGACCAAAAAAAAAGGGAAAAGGACATTAAGCCAGGACAACGTTCACATGGATTTGGGATAAGTATGGAACTTAGCTAGTTTCAAAGATATTTAAGCATATCATGTTGAGTTATTATAAATGTAGTCTTGGTGTTGTTTGTTATTTCCGGTTCGTATCCCAATGATGTTGCTATCATGTCCCAAAAAGATCCTTTGGTGATTGAACATGGCTATGGTAAATGACAATTTTCTTCGTACCTCATCGCCCTATACCGGGTTCTGGGGGTTTCCGAACATGGGTGGTACCCCAAGAACATGGATATCAATACAAAAATGGTCTAATTTTGGAGTGGGGGTGCCCTAAAGGAAACCTCCATAAAAATGCACCATTTTCCATAGCTGTGTTAAATTACAAGAGGGCACCCATAGCCAGATCCCCTCTTCTGGGTAAATTGTCGTGACCTCGCGTCGCGACGTCACTGGGGTCAAGATTCCAAGATAGCCCAGCTTATATAAGTGAAAGATTATGTTTTCCCCAACTCATAGTTGAGTATTATAAGATATTAATAGATATTATAAGTAGTATATCCCATGAACCAGTCATATGCCATCAATAGCCGGGATAGCCTTGTCATTTTCTTCAAACGCCACTTGGACGTCTCAGGACCCAATGCCTGTGATGAGAGCCACTTTCATCGAGAAACACAGCCAAGGCTCAGGGCCGAAGGTTGGCTACAGCCCGGTGAACAGAAACCAGGACTGGGACTTGGTGCAGTTGAGGTTATTTTCACGAACACAACACTATATAAAATTATACTGTAGGGGTTATATCATGTTATATTCCAACTTATGGAAGCATGGCCCAGTAATAACATGTAATAACCTCATTTAAGCACAAGTATCTACGTATGTACCATCCGGAACCTGTCTCCCGGCATCCCGGCTGCAGAACTTCCACGATACCTTGGCTCATTGGGGCTGGCGCCGCAAGCCCGATCTCATGCTGCAAATTATCGAGGAACTGACCACTGGGCAGACGCGCCACGGCGGAAGTTGAGCTATGGAAGCCATGGAAAATTACCATAAATGACCCATTTCCAGATGATTTGCCTATTGAACATGGTGATTTTCTGTAGCAAACTGTTGACTTACCGGGAGGGTCCAGAGTTTTCGAGGGGATCAAAGCATATGAAAGTCATCAAGCCCTACATTTCTGGATGGTTTAAGGCTTACCGACCCTCCAATTTCTGGATGCCTTAGAAGCTTGGAAAGACACAATGACAGGAAGAATCAGTTTCCAACTAGGCTCACGATGGGATTTATGGTGGGTATTCCAAAAATCGTTCGGTATATCGAATCAGATATCTATAGTTTGATGGGGATCAACCACCAAACATCACCTTCACCGTTCGGGCCGTTCGTGTCCCGTTGAGGTCAGGTGCTGAGGGCCAGTTTCGCAGCAAGGGCCGTGGCAAGGGCATGGTGCTGATGAAGGGCGGCCGTGGTCGCGGAGGTGCACGGCCAGGCGCGCACGGATGCAGATGGTAGATGGACTGCCAGCTGTGTCGGGGATGGGATGTTTGGTATGTTTAAACAACAAAATGCATAAATACATAGGGATTGAACCAGTAAAAACTTAATTTCGACCTGGATTTATGTGGATTTAATGTGGTTTAGCTTGATTGAATCAGCAAAACTGGGATTGTTCAACCAGCAACAGGTTGGATTCGACCAAACATGCGGAACAAGCCCCAGAACTTTGGTGAATCAAATCATTATATATACGTATATATATATACATATACATACATATCATCATATATCACAAACTAAAACCAACCGAAACAATCATGAATCATATGGTTAAGATGTGCATTTGAAAAAAAAGACGTGTCATTCTGTTTTTGAGCCATGAGATATTTAGGTTAACCTATGCCCCATCCAGCCCCACATCGCCGTAGGCGGCCGACCTGAAGATCTACCAGGGCTGAATGAGATCAATCTATTGGCGAACAAGGTGGGGCAGTAGATCCGACCCCGCACAGCATGCGACAGTTGCTGCATGGGAGGAACAGCCTCCTATTTTTACGGATGTTTACGTTGCAGCATTGGAAATCAACAAGCTTGCCACTGGTCCCTGGAAAAACCTTTATGTCTAACATATCTAGCACAGCCTACCCATAAACTGCAATACATTTCCTATAGCGTAGTGTTTGCTACCTAACTATACATTGCCCAAGGTGTACCTGCATATCTATAATTCTATAGACTATATGCCTAGATACAGCATATACCTACAAACCATATATATATATATATACATACATGTTTTTCAGCAAGCGACATTATAAACCTATATTTAGTACAAACGGTGTCTTTTCACTATCTAAACTCTATAAAACACCTCCCATTGCCGCCAAAAACATAGCAAAAACCAGCAACATCAATAAATGTATATATATATAATACATATATGTATATGCATATATATATATATATAGAGCGCCTATATACATGTTTCATAGCATAGCGTGCCCATCTACTACATGATATCTATATATATACATACATACATACATATATATATATATACATATAGTTGTTTATATATATATATATATACATAAATATATATATATATACATAAATATATATATATATGTGTGTGTGCACATATTTCTTGTGCACTCCCTCAATATTCCCCACTCCCTGTAAACTACACAACCACTTGTAGCTGCACAAACACTTCCCATGTAGCACCATCTGGGAGGGGAGGGGGGTTTCAGAAGCCCTGGCCAAAAATATAATTTAGGAAGCACCCAATAACTTTGATGAGCACCACTTTGCAGGGATGTGCAAAAAGGCAAGATTTGTAATTTTGTTTCCTCAAATCACATCATAGACTTAGACCGTCTAATTGAAGACAATTGGGTTTGCTTGAAAATGGTTGTACTCCCCCAAAACTATGTTGATAAGGAAAACATGATCAATGATCAATGTTTGCCCCTTAATTTTCAAGTACGAAGGCCAGATTTTTCAAACTGTTGGTTGATTATATCAGTTATATCCTCATATTTCCTACTTAGATAACATTTTTGAATATATGTGATGGTTAAAACACCATTTTCATCATGAATATGTGGGGGTCGTGTCCGCCTGCCCACAGAGTCGTTTTTCATCACCTGACCAGGTGATGGATGTGCATTCCACCCGTTACCCCTTGACCATGAACAAGAAGATCGCTTTAGCCACATGTCTCAAAGCGAATTGGGCACCTATAGAGCAGCTGCTCCGCAAAATGTCGAGGATGGGTGACATACCCTCTGGTAAACTGTCCCATCATAACTATGGAAAATCACCATTTTTAATGGGAAAACTCACTATCAATGGCCATGTTCAATAGCTATGTAACAAATTACCAGAGGGTATCTATCATGGTTCCTCCCATTGGGGATCCAACATGATCCAACCAGTCCGGCCCATTTCGATGCTGAGGTCATGAAGCCTCTTGACTGCGAGATGGTGGAAAAATGCAAGAAATTCAACGTATGTTGCTGTTGGACTGTTGGACTTCAGGGATTCAAATGCCCATAAATGCCCCTGTTCTTGGTCAAGATTTCATAGTTTTCTGGACGCGGATTGGCGAACCCCACGTTAGTAAACGCTGGTTGAGTAGGATTCGGCCCCCAGAATGGGGATATATTAGGTACCTATTAAAAATTGCACCCCACTATTATGTGATCGATGGTAAATTATGGATAATAGTATTACTTAGTAAGAATCTATTACTGTATGGTAATTTATGATATCCTATTATGATCTATAAATTATGGCAAATTACCATAATAGATGTATTACTATTTATATTGATCTATTAAAGATGATTACTATAATTTAATTACTATTTATCATTTATCATAAATATATACTATAATTTACCATAACTATGTTTTTTTGTTTTTTTCGGATCATCGATGTGGATAGGCTCATCCCGGGTCGAGGATTTGGTCGACCTTGCCTCAGAGCCACAAGAAACAGGAAGTCGCAGAGAGGCCAAAAGCCGGACCTGGGCCTAACATTTAAGGATAACCCGACAAACATGCGACAATATGCAAACAAATATGGTGGTTTAACCCACAAAAAGAGGGATTACATGGGGAATTATTTGGGGGTTCAACCGACGAACAGAAAGGGAATGTATTCATCAGACATATGAACCAACTGTTGATGGGTACGATGGAATGGTCAAATTGTTTGATCGAAATGGGGGTAAGCTAACAGATGCCGGGTATCTCAGATTGGCAATGACTATTTGTATGAAGTGTAAGGGTAAATGTCCCAACAATTGTCCCATAGCTCAGTAGCATTACTAATCATAGATGATGGATGAACCAGCATCACCACAGATGATGACTTAAAGTCAGGCATGTTTCATCTCATTTTTGGTGAAACGGCTCTCTCCTTCCTGAAATTTGACGCCGGAATTGAATGGAATTAGCGAGCCAAAAGATATGAAATACAAGATATATAAGAGCATCAATGTGGGGCAATGGACATCTGAAATGGATCAAACTGAATCATTAAACAAGAATCGTCACAAGTTTTCAGCACTATTTTTGAGTGACCTCGATGGATAGATAGATCAGTAGACCCCTAGATATGGAATCTTGAATGGGGGCAATCGCCAGATGTCCAGAGGGCACTTGCGCACAGGATCCCCCAAAGGACTCTCCTTCCTGTTTGAATCGGTCTGATTCCAGTTCACAAGGTATTGGCAATGATTGGTGGGTACTGAAATTTGATAACTTGGGTATTTTCTTGCGAAATAGCCACGTTGCTTTGGGGATACTGATTAACATGTAGCCAATGGATGGAATAGTTGTTCTCCTTGCGAGCAGTGCACCTTTTGGAGGTTTGGAAACATTTTCCCCTTCTTCGACACTGAGGACTGAGGATGTCACGCCTGATTAAAACATGCCCGGGCCGGTTTTATCAAAAATCATTGGCTGGAAAATCACCACTCAATGGAATTTTACAGCTGGTAAAATCATCCTATGGTTTGTGAATGGATAGAAATGGGAGATCTGTCCTTTTTTGGCTTAGGACTTATTGTAGATCTTGTAGCCCAAGCACCATCCATTTGATGATCGTTTCTGATTGTTTCCAAACAAAAACCGCCCAGAGGATCATCGCAAGACCGAGATACAGAATCTCATCAACGCTTTCTGGCAGATTCTGGAAGACGTAGGCGCAGCATGGCTGGCATGGCTCTTGGTTGATAAATCTTCACGTTGGTTTTCCCCGAAATGGGCCTGAACGATGGCACACAACAAGTGAGATTTGGTTTGATAACCTCAGTTGCCCAGATTCCGGAAGCATCGAAGCTGAGACACACATTCTTTGTCTACACATCCATGCGAATGCTGAAGTAACCTGGAGAAGGAGTAAGCTTCTTTTAAAACGGAAACAAGAGGGGTTTTGTTTGTTAAACCAGTTTAATCTGATAACTGTTTGTGCGGGTTCATGTTCATATTGATGTAGCATCATGTAGCAATGTAGTGTGGAGGAAGATTCGATAGGCACCGTGGCGTGGAACGCAGGAAGCCAGAAGTCATATGGAGCGGATTGTCGATGGACTGATTTAGCACCTATCATCCCACCGACTTGTGGTCAACACACAGCACACATGCGCACATACAATTGGAGGTTCCTATATGGTACATGTAGGTTAAGTTATCCTAGATGAGATTTGAGTACAATAGGCTGCGTAGATTGGCATCGAACAGATATAGGTAGCTAAATAAGATTAGATTATATTATCGGATTAGATTAGGTTGGATTTGATTAGATTAGATTCGATTATAGATTGAATTTGATTAGATTAGACTGGATTAGATAGCTAGATGGAAACAGATGAATCGACCTAAATATATGATACCATCTGGTAATTTGTTACATAGCTATTGAACATGACCATAGAAATAGTGGATTTAATTATTAAGATTTTTTTTGTTTGTTTAGTTTTTTGTATGTTTACCAGAGGGTAGATGCCCAGAGAAAGCCAGGTCGTACGGATCGCCAGCTGCTATTGGTGGGTGTCATGCACGCCACTGGCACACCGGGCGTCACGAAGCCGCAGGGTTGCATGGCAACTTGGAGCAGATTGGAGGTGTTTCACCGGCGCTTCAGATGCCAATGAGTTGCACCGCCATATCACAGTAGATGAAGATATTGAAGATCCAGCTATACCAGCTATTTCGCTGTGAGCAGAAGGTTATGCACGCCGATTTTGACTCATGGCCGTTTATGATTGTATGTATATATATATACTGGTTGGTGGTTTGGAACATTTATTTTTGCATATACTGGGAATAATCATCCCAACTGACTAATATTTTTCAGAGGGGTTGAAACCACCAACCAGTACATATCATTGATATTATTTTGCATGATTGCCATGAGATAACATGATCCTACATCATAGACGTGCTGAATTGGTTTCTTGATCCAACTGAAATGAGCGGATGTTGAACAGCGAAAGCAATGACATGAGATGACGAAACACACCTTCCTTGCAGAACATGTTTTGTTTTACTGGGGTTCCGCATCTGAGATCTAGTATACCCTTGCAAGTATATTAGTAATATATTAGATATTTGATTGCAAATATGAGTCAAGTGATGTTTACATATACCTTCAGTGCAACTACAAGTCCTTCTGGTCCTTCTCAGATATTTTGTTTCCCCAGTTTTCCATTCTGAAGACACCGGAACTGAGGAGTTCTTGAAGAAATTCACCAGGCATCTTGGACGCTATTCGGTGGAGAATCCAGTTATGTAAAGCGTTTTTTGGGGTAAGCCCAGTAAGAAGCCATCTATCATTAAATCACCAGTAAATCCCATTAAATCCACATAAATCCCTATAAATCACCAGTAAATCATCCATTACCAGATTTCTGGGTCAGTTTCTACATCAAGACTTGGGAACCAGAAATTGGGATGCCGGAAATGACCTCCGATGTGAAACATCAGTGTTTCAAAATCCAAGTTTGGATACTTCCGTAATATAAAACATATTGGAAGGATTAAACCTTAACCACAATTTTTAGTGTGGATAGAGGTCAAGAATCAGATTTTACCTGCTCACTTCAGAAGGGAAACTTAAGTGACATCCAGTCGTTCCGATTGAAATTGCCGTTGCGGAAGAAGTGGCTGGGATGACCCAACTTGTTTGCAGTTTGCAGATCGATGCCTAGCCTTCATAGTGTATGGACCTCAGAGTTTCTCAATCTTGTCCCAAGATGATGGCACTCCCAGAAGTCACAGAGCCGACATTCTGCATGAACGGCATATGTTGCCGACATTCAGCTGGTTCAAACCCAGAACAACCAGGAATGAATGATGTTTCCATATGGTCATGTGGTCCGTATGCTACTGCGGAATCCTTTCACTACAACTGACTACAGCATCCTTGAACTACAACCCACTGCAATGGTTGTTTGGGGAAACCACCATTTGTTTCTGGTTGTTTGATCTGGTTTTTCAATTTTTTTTTAACATGAATATCTTTAGGATCAAACCTTCGGGTGGCCAGGGTGGCCCTGGCAGTAGCCTGGCAGGCGCCTTCCACCTCCTTTGGCTGTGGAGCACTTTTTCAAAGTCTTGCAAGAGTTCGAGGCATTGTAATGACTTTTGGGGATGCTCCATCTGACAGTCTCTGACAGTCCAGCTCCACTTGGGGCTACCATGTGTCCAGCAGCAGAAATGCGGGTTGAACATGGTTGAACCATGCTGACAATTTAAGGGGTGACCTATGGATACCTGATAGATGTTATTGTACAATATTGTACAACAATATCATGCCAGCGCAACACATGAAGGCTCCAGAGCAAGCTCGTGAAGACACTTCCCCAGCAAAAATATTATATATATATATAGTAATATATAGTGAATTATTTGGTTCGCGATGTCAAATCTGCGGTTATGATGCCAAACGGTTTGGGGGAGAAAAGTCGGTGGGTTCAAAAGACGGTACGCCACTTTTTTGGGATCAAGTCCGGTGGATGATGCTATGACTTTAACGATCTTTTGAGGGCTGCTTTGCCTCAATTTTTGTTAGCAATTCATATGGAAAACTGCTGAGATATGGAAAACTTTGCCTCACATTTTATGGAAAACTGCTCTAATTTGCCGAGATATGGATGTTCGCTATGATTATGCCATCGAGATCTTTCCCTTGTTGAAAGTTTTAGGGAACCATGGATTTTGGTCATCGTAAACGTTTGCACGTTTTATCATGGCCAGGCTGGGACGGAAGCCTACAAGTTCGTTCAGAGCGACATTTGCAAGTCGAGCAATGGACGTCATGTGCCCTGGCCGCAGCCGGTGTTTTAATTCGGTTCCAGACTCGAAGGGTTGTGATGAGTTTAGACCCAGGTATGTTTTTTGGGAATTGTCCAGGTTAGAACATTGTGGAGCAGGGCGGAATGGGTGGGAGGTTCTGAACTTCAGATATTCTGGACCCTAAATTTGATCCAGCAGAACTTTGGCCTTATCAAAGCTTGCAGTTATGCACTTGCAGTGTTTTTTTTCCAGCATCATTGTGTCAAGTCTCCTGGTTAGTTCAGCCAGGACGAGTTGATGAAGAGCGTTTTCCAGAAGTATTTGCTGAAGGAAGATGAGGTGCCCTTCGCAACGCGACATGGTGATTGTGTGAAGACCAGGGAGGTCTTCAGCAAGGAGATTCGGTGAAATTTGGTGTTTTCAACTTGGACGGATTGGAACTGGGGTGTTTTGGTCAATTAGCATCAGTGAAAAGTAAGGGATGAAATTCGCTCTTGCAGAGGGAGAGAGAGAGAGTGTGTGAAACTAATAATGATGGTGAGAGAAATAAAGTTGACCTAAACTATAGAAGTCGATACAATAGCCTGTAAAGTGACAGTCTTCCCTGGCAAAAGTGCCTGGCAATGTCTTCTTGCCCGAAAATGTGTGGCAAAATGCCGGTGTCAAATATGTATGTGCATGCAAATCTGTTGGGCGAATATCTAAGTCAGATGTTGATTCCAAATTAAGCAACAAACGCTGTGAGCGCATAGGAATGGATAAAAAATGGCTACAAAAGTGCGATCCAAAGCAACAGGTCACTTTCGCGGCCAATTTCGGGTGTTCACGGTCATTTTCATGCAATATCCCATTGTCGTTGTCGTTGTCGTTGTCGTCGTCGTCGTTGTTGTTGTTGTTGTTGTGGTTGTCGTTGTTGTCGTTGTAGTTGTCGTCGTCGTTGTTGTTGTCGTCGTCGACATTGTTGTTGTTGATTTCCTGGTTTCATCCGATTCCCGTTGTTGATATCACTCTTGACTTTTTTTGTTCGGTTGCCATTGGAACACCTGTTATAATTACAAATAAACAAAATCAATCGAACAATCAGCCAACCGAATTGGTTGGCCCCTGTCAATTTGGTTGGTCCCTGATTAACAAAATGTAAGCAATTAAACATGTGACAACGATGTCAAATATATTGTATAAGACGGCTCCAAGTGTTAGCAACAAATGGCGTAGAATATCTCTATAGAATGACTAGCAGGATGCCCACAATTTCCTTTGTCAAACTGAAATGTCATAACAGGATACAGTAACACAATGTAACAGATATTACCGTGATATAACATGTGCTTAGATAACTACTTGGTGGCTCACCCTTGGTTGGTCCATTGGTAAGGGGGATGTAACCCTAATTCGAACTGGACTAAGCCTACGTGCCGTACGGGTGAAGTAACCCACATATGCTTCTTGGGGTGAGCCACCGACCAAGTTTATCCAAGTTCATCCCTTGTTGTTTGACGAATCCGTGTAGGATATGGCAGTCATGAGATATCATAAAATGTCAAAATCCATAAAGCTGGAAGGAAGTCATTGTCATTGGATTGGTTTAAGGGAATTTCCACAAGAACCCAGGAGTTTCCTTAGACAATCACCATTTTCCCACCCCCGGCTCTGCGGTCGGTTTCTTCGCCAGGGACCAGTGAAGGCGGCCGAGATGTTCAAAGTGCTGCTGAACGACGCACGGAGCCGCGACGTGATCCAGACGTCCTTTGCGTCTCGGCGACCGCCGGCCCTGTGAAAAACGGCTGCCAAAATTGTAATTTTTCCCGGCGATGATTACATGGAGAGAGAGAGAGAGAGTGATTATATAATATTATATATATATATATGATTATATTTATATATATTAATGGGATAAATGGATAATCATCCCATCTATATCCATTATATACGTATATATATATATATATTGGGATCATTATATTAATGGATATAAATGGGATGATGATCAATTTTAATGGGATTCTATGGGATGATGAATAAGGGGTATCCGGTTTTTTTCCAACGTGTGGAAAATCACCGGGCTAAATATTCATGGTTTTAGTGGGAAAACCATCGCAGCAAGCATTTTTTTGTGGGAAAACCGAGTCGGTGTTTCTGAATTTGATTTACGCAAAAAAAATGGACGTGTTTCAAAGGTGATTCAACATGACTTAAGATACTTAAGCAGCACACATGAAGATTGATAGGTTATGAAAAGCTGGTAAGTAAAAACATCCGATTGACGACTGGATTTACGGAGATCTAGTTTGATTGGATGATGATAAACCCACTGGATCAACTGGGGGTGTTCGCTGCCCCCCGAAAGAAATGCCTATGATGTATTCCCGTTCGACCCCATTTAGTAGATCTGATATGGAGGCATTTGACATTGTATAGGATGTGTAGGGGATGGGAATGGGATCAAAACATAGGGGAATCATTACAGCCATCTTGTGGTGACGTTTCAAATACCCAAAATGGTGGCCATGTTACAATTTACATCAATTTACTGTATCATTTCTGCCTCTAGTGGCTTTTGGTTTCATTGTTGTTGCATGTCTTTGCCTCTTTCCAGCCATACCTGGACTGATCATTCCCGAGTGATCCTTGTCCAAGGATATCCTGACCGAACACTTGGAAGGTGCTCAAAACAGTACGGCAGTTTTTTTTTCCCTGGGTGGAAGCTGATGCAAGTCATTGGTTAAGGAACGATGGAGTCAGAAAGTCATTGGTTAAGGAAGGGAGTAGGCTGTTTTTTGATGATCAGTTGATGTTGCGTGGCCACGAATCATGGAGATCCTGATGCTTTGGCCACGAATCTTGAACTGGATAACTAGACCTAGGGGTCACCGCGCAGAGCGAGAAAAGCAAATCCAAGTATATGAAAACGGACATTCCCTTCATCCCTCACTTTCTTCCAAAGCACCAGAACATGCTTATTCTCAAAACCACTAACTCGTACGACTCATATGCAAGTTTTTTCCCCACCTGCCAGGTGAGGGTTGTTAGATTTTATCAGAGCTGTTCTCCTCCTCCTCCGCCTCCTCCTCCTCCTCCTCGTCCTCCTCCTCCTCGCAGTCCAGATTTCAGTGGGCACTGCCGGACCTCCACCGCGAGCGCCAGAGGGCACTGCCGGACCTCAACCGCGAGTTGCAGATCCCAGTGGGCACTGCCGGACCTCAACCGCGACTTCCAGGTTACACTACTCACTGCCGGACCTCAACCGCGACTTCCAGATCGCAGTGGGCACTGCCGGACCTCAACCGCGACTTCCAGATCGCAGTGGGCACTGCCGGACCTCAACCGCGACTTCCAGATCGCAGTGGGCACTGCTGGACCTCAACCGTGACTTCCAGATCGCATTGGACACTGCCGGACCTCAATGGGATGAATGTCAGAAAAGATTTCAGATAGAATGTCAGAAGATATGCCAGATAGAATGCCAGAAAGAATGTCAGAAGATATGCCAGACAGAATGTCAGAAGATATGCCAGAAAGAATGTCAGAAGATATGTCAGATAGAATATGATAGAATGTCAGAAGATATGCCAGATAGAATGCCAGAAAAAATGTCAGATAGAATGCCAGAAGATATGCCAGATAGAATGCCAGAAGATTTTCCAGATAGAATGCCAGAAGATATGCCAGAACATATGCCAGAAGATTGCCAGATAAAATGCCAGATAGAATGCCAGAAGATATGCCAGATAGAATGCCAGAAGATATGCCAGATAGAATGCCAGAAGATTTGCCAGATAGAATGCCAGAAGATATGCCAGAAGATTTGCCAGATAAAATGCCAGATAGAATGCCAGAAGATATGTCAGATAGAATGCCAGAAGATTTGCCAGTAAGAAAATGTATTAATGTCATGGTGGGGATCATTCGAAGCGAAGTAATTTTTAAAATAAATAAATATACATATGCATGTGGCAACAGCATAGCGTACGTTGCAGGGCATACAGAGCTTGGACTTCTGCAGACGGTGGTTCAGAGGATGGGCCACCTGGCATAGCAGATGGAGCCTGAGATTTCAGGGGCTTACTTTGCTTATGGATTTACCCGGCCTGGTAAACATACATACAAAAAGCTATTGAAAATGGCCCAGTCGAAATAGTGGATATACCCATTAAAAATGGTGATTTTCCAGTTGGCTATGTTAAATTAGCAGAGGGTATATCATTGGATTTGCTGAGATTTCATGAGATTTAACGGGAATCTAATGAGTCTAATGATTTTTTTTTTAATGGGTTATAGCAACCCCCAGCCATACAAAAGTTCGTAAGTGTTCCGAATGGGGGAATCATCATCCTCACTTTTCACATCCTGCAAATACAGTTCGGCATATTTTTTGCAGGGGGGTTCCATAAGAGGAACCAAAACATATACCAAGCACTGAGGAAATTTCATCGTTGGGACTACGTCGCTGAGCTCTAAAATCGGCAATTCCAAGCACGGGGTGAATCAAGATAACGAATATACATATCAAGACATGCATATGTATATGATATATGTATAGATAGATTTGTAATCACATATCAACACACATGTTTTTTGTTTAACTATAGATACTAATTGATATAAATATAGTAATTATATAAATATGCTATTTAATAAACATTATATGCTAGTTGATATACTAACGTTTTTTTAATATAAATTTACTAATCTAAATATTCGATGAATATGATGCTAATAGCCATCTTGGCACCGGGACGCCGGGTGGCTAAGGTACCTTGGACAAGGAGAGCCGGCAGAAAGGCACCGTGCAAACCACTCCGGAGGACGACGGAGGGATGAGATGATCGTGGCGTGGGAAACTGATGAATGGAATGGCTATGTTTTGCTCGGAAATATGAACGGAATGATATGGAATGATGATGATGATGATAATGATGATGATGATGATGATGGCGATGACGATTATACATTATTATTGTTATTATTTTTATTGTTATTATTATTTTTATTGTCATTATTTATTTTTATAAAATTATTTTAATTATTATTATCATTATTATTATTTATTATTATTACTATCATTATGGTGATGATGTACATGATGATTTGGTAAGACTGGTAAGATAAATGGCGCGCAGTTTCGTTACAGAATTGTTGGTCAAAACTGGGGCCGCAATGATTTTGATTGGGTGATGTAGCAGGGAAACTGTTTAACATGTTTTGCCATATTTTTTCAGGAGACCCTGCCAGTGCCTATCGAGTGGCTGAAGTTCGTGGAATTGCCCGAAGAAGTGTTGCCTCATGTGCACTTCTTGCTCATGGCCGCTGTGGCTATGTCCAGGGCATGTCTCAGAATGCCACCAGATGATCACTGAGATTTTCAGGATGAATTTGGAAACCATGTTCTTATGAATCAAATGTTGGCTTTCTTTGGTTTAATGTTAAATACTGTAATCCTCCTGAACAGATGCGGAAAGATTTTTCAACAAGAAGTGGCGGCAAATCAGTGGAATCATCCAGATCGATCAGAGAGATACCGAATTTCAAGAAACTAAACACCCAAACGGGTGGGTATCTATTATAGTACGTATAGTATAGATATAGCATACATCGTGTATATATATATATATATATTTGTATATCATTATATTATATATATATGTATACTATATATATATGTATACTATATATATATATATCCTGGCCAAGACCCAAACAAGAATACTTCATGTACTTCTTTACTTTTATTTATTTGCAATCATATTTCCAGGGATCATTGCCGATTTCATCCATTTTATTGATTCTCTTCCGCTGTTGAAACTGAGCACAGCTATGGTATCCCCCTGAGCGCATTGAACACCGCTCCCGAGGTGTTACACACGGGGCTGGGAGAAAATGACTTGCTTGGATCAATGATCGCCAAGCATCTTGGAGCCACAGCTAGCCAGACTCACAGTGACGGTTTCGTGCTTCATGCATCTATTAACATAATGAAAAAACAATACTATGAGTCATGCATGAACTTTTTGTTTTAGTGTACTTCAATGCCTGCTGACTCCAATGGTATTGTTTGCCATAATTACTTGATTTGGAAAAATGGTGGTACACACACACACATCTAACCATACATTTCTACTAGTCAGCTGTAAACATCAAACTTGTTTTACTAGGGTTGGCAGCGAGGCTGAATCGCGAAGGTCTCTGAGGTCTTTTACTCGTGTTTTTTTTTTGGATTCTAGTTTCATAAGAAATGTTAGACTTGTCAGAATCCTGGTTGCAAGAATATTTGGATGTTTGTTTGGATTTTCTTTGAGGCTTCATAGTTGTTTGTTCTTCAAAAATCAGAAGTACCCCTCTTGTTTGTTCGTGTGCAGGATGTCAAGGGTCTGAGATTTGACACGTTTGGGTGGAAAGTGTTTTGATCATTTGATAGTGGGATTTTCCCTCAAGACAGCAGTCAGAGAGCCGCTGCTTGAGTTGTACTTGCTTTATCAAAGCTATAGAAATTTATCAAAGGTGACTGACCCCTGAAGTAAGTGGAAGTGAATACTTAGGGTAACTGAATGTAGTTGGCTCATGCCTCCTTGCAACTGCAAATAAAATGCCCCAGGCAGCAGCCATAGATCCTAATTTCAGGGAAAATACGTAAATTTGTCCCTCAACAACTCATTTGGATGGACATATCATATATATATATAATCTACTCCTGTGCATTTAAAATGTTACACGCCACAATGTGCTGATGAACATATGATATGCAAGTACATTCCCACATATTCTAAATAGTCAAATTATGAGATATGTTTCATGCACGCGTAAACCATATTTGTATTAAACACGCACATATATATATATATATATAGATAGATAGATGTCATTAGATGTCAGAATATACGGATACAGATTTTTGGAGATAGATCCTATAGTGTTTTCCCTTGAGCCAAAGAATTGGATGATGGGAGAATCTTAAGCGGAAACCATCGATTTTCCCATGAAATATGCGGTTCTCCTGTATTTTTTCCCTTAAACCAATCCATTGACATATAATTTTCACAGTCAAGAGGATGATCGCAGCCATATTCCCCCATATTTTTTTCCATGGCCCTGGTGCAGGTTCTCCGTTCAACAAATCCATCGATTCGAACCAAGGTTTGGAAAGGCATTTTTCTGGGATTGCTTCGGGCATGTCTTGGTGGCTGTGCAGGGAAAACTTCGCCCCGATGTGCCGCGGCGGTGGATTTTAAACTGTGCTGCCCCAATGGTGGTTGTTGGTTCATGATCTCCATGAACTATAGATTCTATAGTAATAATCTATATTCATATATACAAATATATATATATATGTATACTATTATATTATATGCATATATATATATGTATATGTATGATCCCCATGAAGTATAGATTCTGAATCTAAAATAATCATTAGGTAGAATGCTGAAAAACTCAGCAGTTACATTTTGGAGTCATAAACCCTCCGGTGTCATCAAACAGGGATGGAAAATCAACTATTTAGGTTGATGAGTCCCAGCTAGAAGCCTGTATATATATATATATATATAGAGAGAGATAGATAGATAGATAGGTAGATAGATAGATAGACAGATAGACAGATAGACAGATAGACAGATAGACAGACATATATAACACACATACATACATACATACATACATACATACATACATACATACATACATACATACATACATACATACATACATACATACATACATACATACATACATACATATATGTATACATATCATACATATATATATATACACTCTATATTTATATATGTATGTACATATAACATAATATAATATATAACATATGAAATATATAATATAATCTAATATAATATAATATTTTAAAATGTAATAAACCATAATAAGAAATACTATAATATAATATATAACATCATATATTATAATAATATAATTAAAAAAAAACATAATATTATATAATATTATATTATATAATTTGATTTATAACAATATAATATAATATATATGTATATATAGATATAGATAGAGGGAGATTACCGGAGGATAGAGCTACCCAAGATTATACTTTTGGAAGGATATCTCCCTGAAATCAAGCAGAGATAACTTCATTTCAGTTTTCGACTAGCGGCACCTGCTGGCCGAGACCGCGACACCACCGGCACTTCAATTTCTCTCGGGTTTGAATGTGAAGGTGATGCAGGCCGGGTGGAGGAATTTTTTTTGTGGCCAGCGCCAGCAATGCCCACTTGACCCCGTAGTCATCCACAGCTCCACACAGATCCGCACCGAGACCAACTTAGAAAGTCATGGTCAAATCGACAGTTCTTTGAGCCTGCCAGTAATCTCCAATTACTCATTGAAACATCACCAACCATCATTTTGTTAAATCTTAAAGTCTCGAAAACGTCTCAAATTTGCGTTTGCTGAAACATCTGACTTCCCCCGTCCCTGGCTATTCTGACCACACTTGGCTGAGCATATACACTGACCCTGATCACTACCCAGTGTACGGGACATATCAATTTCCAAGATAATTATTATATTATTGGTAATATATGCATAATATATATTTATGCATCTATATACATCTGTATGCTTACATTGTCAACGCGATGATCATGTCATGAATGTCATGACCTACAACCTATTCACCTCGTTCTACAGAACCACAACGCCTCGTAGGAGGCCGATGCCAAGCTGAAGGAAAAACCGACGACAGGAGGCGGCCGTCGCCCTTCCAAGAAGGGCGCCTTTGGGGTGGGCTCCGTGATCTTCGGAGTGGATGGACGCTGGATGGCTGGGCGATGTCAGGGGGTGAATAAACTGTTGATTTTTTTGGGTTGCGAGACTACTTTCGGGTCAGAATTGTCTGAGCAATTTGTAGCAACCTGATATAGCAACCTTACATTTTTTTCAATATAGATGAATCATATATGGTCTCGGGGGGGGAACGCCACAAGAAGAATGAGGCTAACACTTTTATTAAATGAGGCTAAAAAGAAGAACATTATTTTCCCACAAATCCATAGCTGCTTCTGTCGACGTCAGCTGTTCCTATGTTCAAGCCTTAAGCTCCAAAAGTTTCCTGTCATACCTGGCAATTTGGGGCCCCCAAACGATAGCTAAGTTGGTGTGTAATTCGGTTCATGATGATGAATTGTAGATATGGAGGTTTCCTACAATGATGGTACCCCCAAATCATCAATTTTAATATATAGGTTTTTCCATTTTAAACTATCCAATTTGGGGTTACCCCCAGGAAACCTTGATATATCCGTAGTTCATGTGTTTTTTACAAACAAACTTCACCTCAGGGGCACCACTTTGTGGCAAAATAATTTGGGTGGCATCATCTTGGTTGGGCCATGGGCCGAGGATCGAAATGGGGCTCAGTGGTCGCGGACGAAGGAACCGTGTGCCTTGCGCAGATAAATATATAGAAATTCGCAGCGAGGGTGGGGGTTCAGATCCTACTAGACTATTTGCAATTTACGTTTCTATTTGTTTGGGGGGCTTGCTTAGCAGATAATCCAAAAAGAACAAAATAATTAAACAACAAAGAAAGGATACCTAAACTGGTTGGTGGTTTGGAACATGTTTTATTGTTCCATATATTGGGAATGTCATCATCCCAACTGACGAACTCCATCATTTTTCAGACGGGGTAGGTCAACCACCAACCAGATATGTTTCTATCATTAATAACCATTAATAACCATTAATAACCATTGATAACCATTAATAACAATTAATAACCATTAACCATTAGTAATCATTAACCATTGATGAATATCCAATGAATATCCCACCAACCAGTTATCCAAAAAGCACAGGAAGTGGTGTTTCCAGTCGCGCTTCCCACTAAGTTGACCGCGAGGATCATCCTATGTCAATGTTATAAGCCAACCTCGTAGGCAGCACCTGGGATATCCTGGGATTTAGCACAGAAATTCATATATTGTTGTTGTTGTTGTTGTTGTTGTTGTTGTGGTTGTGGTTGTGGTTGTTGTCGTTGTCGTTGTCGTTCTCGTTGTCGTTGTCGTTGTCGTTGTCGTTGTTGTTGCTGTTGTTGTTGTTGTTGTTGTTGTTGTGTTGTTGTTGTGTTGTTGTTGGTGTTGGTGTTGTTGGTGTTGTTGGTGTTGTTGGTGTTGTTGGTGTTGTTGGTGTTGTTGGTGTTGTTGGTGTTGTTGGTGGTTGTGTTGGGTGTTGTTGGTGTTGTTGGTGTTGTTGTTGTTGTTGTTGGTGTTGTTGGTGTGTGTTGTTGTTGTTGTTGTGTTGTTGTTGTTGTTGTTGTTGTTGTTGTTGTTGTTGTTGGTGTTGTTGGTGTTGTTGGTGTTGTTGGTGTTGTTGGTGTTGTTGGTGTTGTTGTGGTTGTTGTTGTTGTTGTGTTGTTGTTGTTGTTGGTGTTGTTGTTGTGTTGTTGTTGTGTGTTGTTGGTGTTGTTGGTTGTTGTTGTTGTTGTGTGTTGTTGTTTGTTGTGTTGTTGTGTTGTTGTGTTGTTGTTGTTGTTGTGTTGTTGTGTTGTTGGTGTTGTTGGTGTTGTTGGTGTTGTTGGTGTTGTTGGTGTTGTTGGTGTTGTTGGTGTTGTTGTTGTTGTTGTTGTTGTTGGTGGTGTTGGTGTTTAAACCATCATTGATTCTTTGATTATTAAACCTATATTAAACATTATTAAACCATTTCAAAACTATTCATGGTTGGTGTTTAAACCATCAATGTGAATCGTTAAAATGCCCATTTCCGGGGTGCCCCGAGTCCCCGAGCCCAGGTGGAAGTTGGATTCGGGTCGCATCGCCAAGAAGCAGACGGAGGGCGACAAATGGACCTGGGCAGGTGCCCAGGCTGCTGTGCAACTGGATTTTGGTGAAGGTTAGCCCGAAAATATAGGGGGTTACCCAGCAAAAAAAAAAAATGTGAGGAAATTTGATGAAATTTCTGGGATAAGTGTGGGTAATTCATAGTAAATATTGGGTTTTAACGGTTTAGCCCCCCAAAAATGGATGAAACATGGAGTTGCTGAGCCTTGTTTGGGATGGTGCAGAAAGGGCTGAAAAACACCATCAATTGAAGCTGGTCCTGGGTTGACCAAATCGATAAGTTCAAAAGCATCCCCTGAGAAATGCAGGTATAGTACTAGATCTTGAGGTATGATATTTTATTTTATTTGAAATACTTTTACTATCATATATAGGAAATATAAGTTTCAGATCCTATAGTAATTATACAAATATTATTTGACATATAATACCCTATAGGTTATATTTATCCCCTTTATAAATGTTTACATGCTAGGTTTTTTTTCCCCCTATAGGGGATTATTAGATATCAGATAGGTAGATAGATAGATAGATATATATTGTAATATTCAATGGCCATTTATAGTTGATTTACCAATTAAAAAATTGTGTTTGTTTTTCCAAAGATGTCAGTTTACCAGAGGGTGATTCTATAATATTGGATCTTGAGAAATTCACCACTGGGACGCCGAGAGCGATCCCTACATCATCTCAATACTTGGCGATTTGGGGTGGCAAATGTGGGTTAATACACCATGAAATATGGGCATGCTTTGGGTCCAATTCTTTCCAGAAAAACGATCTCAACAGAAACTCTGCAAGGGCTCCGCAAAATCTCCAAGATCATTACCCTCTGCCTTCAGCAAGATGCTGAACTCCCGGAGAGGGCGATGGAGAGAGATTACCCTCTGGTCATTTAACATATAGAACATCACCATTTTTAAGTTCGGTCAACCATCTATTTCTCATTTCTATGGGCCATGGCTTCCAGTTCGCAAACTCTTACGCTTCCTGAGTTGGAGTTGGCCGGGAGGCCCTGCGACAATCCAACATTGCGAAATGCAATCAATATTATATGCCATTATTCAACAGTCCCATTCATGTTATGTATCCCATTGTTCTCCCTTTAATGTTATATATATATATATCCATTAATCATCAATATGAATGACATATGTTTCACCCTTCAACTGATTCCAGTAATGAGCCACAGGCGGTGCTACCACCAAGGGCGATGAAGGTCCGGGCCGCAAGCAAGAAACATTGGCATTTCAGCGGCAAGACGGGTGATTTAACCAGATTTTTACCGGCAACAATGATTAAAGCCATGGTGGTATAATGGAAATATCATGATATGTTGTTTCTTTCAATAGTGTTTATCTGTCATTTCTGGAAGTATATAAACTATTGTTGATTTTATCGCAGGGATGCAAACTGGAACCATCTTTATATCAGTTCTCCGTGGGGCCTCATCCACCATTTAGAGTTTCTTTTTGGTGTGTGTGTGTGTGCGCGTGGAAGGGGAAACATGCATGTTCTATCGCATCCTGACACCCTCACAAAATCACGGATGTTCAGTTACTGTATACCATATGCATTGATGTGTGATGATATACGCAATGATCGTGCAGATGGCAGCGGTACCCCTGAGAGGTGCCTGCAAGTATTTCCAGAGCGTTGCAGACATGAAGAAGAAAGCCAACGTCAAGGACATCAGACTCTCGGCCATGTTTGGTGATTTTTTGACGAATTTTTGGCTTTTGAAATTGCCATATGAAAAAGGGGCAGACCATGGCATAGCCCATTTTCACGGGGTTTTGGTGAAGGATAAAGGCGGTATTTCCGGAAGGATTGAGATGATTGAGTAACCAATGGATGGGCATCACCTAGCCATCTTGGCACAGGGTATCTAAGATTGGCTATGGTAGAAGTTGACATTTTCTCCGCCCCCCGGGAATCGCAACACTAGTGCAATCGATGACAGCCATTGGCAGTTTGAGAAACATATGTTTTGACATAAGAGGGAGTTAAGGTACGTGTGATGCCTGGTTTTTTTCAATCCCACATGCTCCATCAATGGTATATTGACCGTTATTGACCCACTTCTGAGTCGCTTTCGCGTCAAATTGCATAGCTATAGCATACATGAATCAGATCAGCGTATTGTGGTGGGTTGGATTGGATTGTTTGAACATTGTTGATGTATGTTGATCAATGTTGATCATCATTTTCCCCATATTTTTACATTATGTTTATATATTTTTTTAGATATGTTTGACATGTCCTTAAAGTCAAGGGATTAATTTCAGGTATTTTTTTACACGAACCCATCATATTTCATAGGAAATTCCACGGTTTCCTCACCTGAGGTGCCCGATTGACAGGCGCTGCCTTGAGCTTTCTGGGGAGTTGGAGCTCAATTGACCGCGTGGTCGAAACGTATCTTTTAGAAGGATGGTAGTTTTCAGGTGTTTTCATATGTGTTGATATTTGACTGTGATTTGATCAGCTTCATTTTGTATTTCATATTTGGGTTGAAGTCTTCACATGGATCTCGGATTTTTTTTTAGACATTGTCCGACAGACGTTGTCGCAAAAAAAACTCCACCTGACAGTGGACATGCTATGCTCCAAACATGGTGAACTTTTGGTTACCAACTTTCCCATATGCGAACCCTGGCGCTGGAATATTTACCCACAAAACTGGGTGATTTATGGTGATTTATGGTGATTTTGGACAAGGGCAAATGTTGGTCAATATACCAGCACCATGGTTCGCATATGGGTTTGGTAAGGTGAACTCATTACAACTTTGCTCTGGAAATCACACCGTTGAAGATTGTAGATCTGCTACGCCAGCGGAATCCCTGCCGGTGCGCCTGGTTAGCCCTGGTTTAGTGATCGAATCATTTTGGGGCCCATATAATCTGATGTTAAGCCGGTGTGTGTACCGATGTTTGCCTACGTTTACCCCGCATTTTGTCCAGTTCATGATAGTTTCTCATGCCAAATTTGCCGAGTCGCCTTCATGCCAATCCCATCCCCCCATCTTCAACACCCGCATCCCGGCCGGTGGCGCAGGCTATTCTGATCTCATGATACTGGCCAGCAAGGAGAGACCGGTTCAGAATTTCCCATGAAAAGTCAGGCTTTTCGTGGGGAACATCATTTGCTGATGGTTTGTTGTTTGTTCTGCCGTGTATATATAAGGTACACCGTTCACTTAGAATATGGAATTGAAATTTTGGCTTCCCAGGGCATCCCCATAATTGAACTTGAAACAGGATACTTAGAATACAGTTGACGTCAAAAAACCTATACTTAGAATATCGTTGGGCCATATAAATTCTTTCACTTTTCCAGATGAATTCGTCATTTTTCCATAGAATTTCTTCACTTTTCTTTATAAATCCTTCACGTTTCCATACAAATTCTTGACTTTTCCATATTTTTGCAATACAAATTCTCTCATTTGTTCAGTCAAATCAATCATTTTTCCATAATATATATATATATATATTTCTTAATAAATCCTTCACATTTCTATACAAATTCTTCGCTTTTCCATATTTTTCCATATAAATTCTTTCATGTTTCCAGACAAATTCATTATTTTTCCAGTTAAATTCTTCACTTTCCTATAACAATTCTGCACGTTTCCATACAAATTCTTCAGTTTACCATATTTTGCCATACAGATTCTTTTCCATGTAAATTATTCTCCCTTTTCAGTCAAATTCTTCACTTTTTCCATATGCGTTTCTTCATTTTCTCTATAAATCCTTCACATTTCCATACAATTTCTTCACTTTTCCAATTTATTTCCATACAAATTCTTTCATGTTTGCAACCTAGTTTCCCAAAATGGATTGAATCAGCACTTGCCCAATCCAGACCATTTCCCATGGATCTCCACCATTCGTGGGGGGTACCCTTTCCGGTAGGAAAAAAATGTGCTTTCTAGTGCACAAAGTGATATAAGAAATCGGTCAATTTGGGGATCCTGCCAGTTTTTGATTTTTGTCACCAAACACCATGTTGATTTTTTTTGTTTTTCCTCATCCTACTACGATTTGAAAAGGGGAACCGGGGAACATCCCTTTCCTTTGATGAAACCCTGTATCACCGCCATATTCTATGTATGTGCGTTTGCAACCTAATTTCCCGAAATGGTTTGAATCAGTATTGCTCAATCTAGACCATTTCCCATGGATCTCCACCATTCGTGGGGGGTACCCTTTGCGGTAGGGAAAAATGTACATTTTAGCACACAAAGTGATATAAGAAATCGGTCAATTTGGGGATCCTGCCAGTTTTTGATTTTTGTCACCAAACACCATGTTGTTTTTTTGTTTTTCCTCATCCTACTATTTTGCTTTCTTGAATACGATTTGAAAAGGGGAACCCGGGGAACATCCCTTTCCTTTGATGAAACCCTGTATCACCGCCATATTCTATGTATGTGCGTTTGCAACCTAATTTCCCGAAATGGTTTGAATCAGTATTGCTCAATCTAGACTATTTCCCATGGATCTCCACCATTCGTGGGGGGTACCCTTTGCGGTAGGGAAAAAATGTACATTTTAGTACACAAAGTGATAAGAAATCGGTCAATTTGGGGATCCTGCCAGTTTTTGATTTTTGTCACCAAACACCATGTTGATTTTTTTGTTTTTCCTCATCCTACTATTTTGCTTTCTTGAATACGATTTGAAAAGGGGAACCCGGGGAACATCCCTTTCCTTTGATGAAACCCTGTATCACCGCCATATTCTATGTATGTGCGTTTGCAACCTAATTTCCCGAAATGGTTTGAATCAGTATTGCTCAATCTAGACCATTTCCCATGGATCTCCACCATTCGTGGGGGGGACCCTTTGCGGTAGAAAAAAAACCACTTTTTAGTACACAAAGTAATAAGAAATCGGTCAATTTGGAGACCCTGCCAGTTTTTGATTTTGTCACCAAACAGCCTGTGAAAAGCATCCCTATCTATTATTTCCCGACCTCTTTTGATTTTTCCTTATTATTTTGCTTGCTTTTGAATACGATTTAAAAGGGGGACCTCCCTTTCCTTTGATGAAACCCTGTACCACCGCCATATTCTATGTAAGCGCATTTGCAACCTAGTTTCCCAAAATGGATTGAATCAGTACTTGCCCAATCCAGACCATTTCCCATGGATCTCCACCATTCGTGGGGGGTACCCTTTGCGGTAGGGAAAAAATGTACATTTTAGTACACAAAGTGATAAGAAATCGGTCAATTTGGGGATCCTGCCAGTTTTTGATTTTTGTCACCAAACACCATGTTGATTTTTTTGTTTTTCTTCATCCTACTATTTTGCTTTCTTGAATACGATTTGAAAAGGGGAACCGGGGAACATCCCTTTCCTTTGATGAAACCCTGTATCACCGCCATATTCTATGTATGTGCGGTTGCAACCTAATTTCCCGAAATGGTTTGAATCAGTATTGCTCAATCTAGACCATTTCCCATGGATCTCCACCATTCGTGGGGGGGACCCTTTGCGGTAGAAAAAACTACTTTTTAGTACACAAAGACACAAAGTAATAAGAAATCGGTCAATTTGGAGACCTTGCCAGTTTTTGATTTTGTCACCAAACACCATGTGAAAACTTTTTTTGTTTTTCCTCATCCTACTATTTTGCTTTCCTGAATACGATTTGAAAGGGGGAACCTCCCTTTCCTTTGATGAAACCCTGTATCACCGCCATATTCTATGTATGCGCGTTTGCAACCTAATTTCCCAAAATGGATTGAATCAGCACTTGCCCAATCCAGACCATTTCCCATGGATCTCCACCATTCGTGGGGGGTACCCTTTCCGGTAGGAAAAAAATGTACTTTCTAGTACACAAAGTGATATAAGAAATCGGTCAATTTGGAGACCCTGCCAGTTTTTGATTTTGTCACCAAACACCTTGTGAAAAACATCCCTATCTATTATTTCCCGACCTCTTTTGATTTTTCCTCATCCTACTATCTTGCTTTCCTGAATACGATTTAAAAGGGGGACCTCCCTTTCCTTTGATGAAACCCTGTATCACCGCCATATTCTATGTAAGCGCATTTGCAACCTAGTTTCCCGAAATGGATTGAATCAGCACTTGCCCAATCCAGACCATTTCCCATGGATCTCCACCATTCGGGGGGGGTACCCTTTGCGGTAGAAAAAAATATACTTTTTAGTACACAAAGTGAGAAGAAATCGGTCAATTTGGGGACCCTGCCAGTTTTTGATATTTGTCACCAAACACGTTGTGAAAAACATCCCTATGCGTTGTGAAAAACATCCCTAGGCCAAATGGTGAGAAAACAAATGAGCACGAAATGGGGGCATATTCTAAGTGGAATTGCGTTCGAGTTCAACTGCATAATTGGAAAAACGCATATTCTAAGTGAACGGTGTACCTTATATATATATATATAGCTGCTATAGCTGATGAGTAATTAGATTTGACTATAATCTTTACGGATTCTTGCGATTCTGGCGCTGACTGACCAAACTAGTGGCGGGCGAATGCTTGGTGAAAATTGCCTACATGGCGGTCAAACCTGCGCATTGCGTACGTATATGTAGATAGTGTGTTTGATCCAAACCATGTAGGGGTTGCAAGTTTGGGTAGGAAAACCTGTGATCATGTGTTTGCAAGCGTGGCTCGGTTCGTTCTTCGAGTTTTCACCCCAGTATATATATATATATAAGATGCATAAGAACCATCTTTATCTCTGGTTTCTGCATTCTCAACCCTGGCTAATAAATATGTACTTCCTGGATCTTCCTCGCTTCTCACACCGTATATCCCCACCAGTTGCCAGCCTTGGGGAAGCCGGTTCCGCGGCAGGAGAAGGATTCCGGAAAAGCCTTCGAAGATTTGTTGCCGTTCCTCTTGTCTCGTTGCTCGGTCGTTTACCACTCTCCAGGCGAAGACCAGCAGTTTCCAGCGAAGAGCGGCTGTTGTGACCATCCCCAAATACAGCAGACATGTGTCTGAAAATGACCGATTTAGCCTCAGTTTATCGCCAATTTAATGAGGGATAATTAATCAAGATGAACCGTCACATTGAAGGGGTCTTCCCATGTCTTCCTATCATTTTCAGTGACAGGAAGTACTTGCCATCCTGCCAGCCCCAGGTTTCAATGCGGAACAGGACCCCGGGCGCCCAGCTCCGCCTAGCGTTTTTTTTCCATGATCCAGTTGGTTAATCCATAGTTCAACTGGTGAACTAAACCACTCTAGCTTTGTTTAGCTGATTTTGCCTCTGGTTATTTGAAATAGCCATGGGAAATGGCCCATAGAAATAGATGGTTTACCTATTAAAAATGGTGATTTTCCATGGCTATGTTAGTCATAACCAGATGGTAGCTGTTTCATGTGGGCCTCACTTGGTGAACTAAAGCAACAGTGGATACCTGGCGACTCAGCTGCACCTCTAAAGAGGTCATGGCTTTCGCTTGGAAACAATTCCCATATGGCCATAACATGCCATAACTCCCGCTGATTCGCATTGTAGATATGTAGAAAAATATATCATATCTATATATAGAAATATGACATACATATTGACATCATATTGACATACATTGACATACACATGATGTTTTATACCGCTCCAGTTTCTTCGGCATGCCCGAGTAGCCGACTTGCTAGGAGCAGGGCCGAAGCCACATCTTGGCCGAGCTCTTTGCCAACAAGAAGTTGCCAGATGACCTTTGGGAGGCGGGGAGCCTCCGGCCGAGTTCGATTTGGTTCATGATAGAGATATCTTAAGGGTGTATACCAGACTTATACCATGTATATATTGCCACCACCTCTGAGGTATATAAGCCCTACCACCTGGGACGGACATGCCTTGATATGACCCTAGCACCAGGGCTGCCCAAAATTTGCCCAATTGATCTCACATGAAGGTAAATCATGGCAAATTCTTATATGCATGGAGAATATGGGGGTATAAGGCAGTTTCAGCTTCATGATCCGAAAGACCTTCTTTGCGAGGAAGTTTCACGTTGGCTACTTGTGAGATGTCCTGCAGTGGCATATGCGTTGTCCAATTTGGGTACTGGTTGGCAGCTGGTGGGTCTCTAGAACCAGAATATTCATATGGTATTAGAGGCATTACCTATGCATGTGTTCAAATTTACCTAGAACCCGAAGCATCCCCGGTTGAATAGTAAAAACCTCTATTGATGGGCGCTTAAATATTTCAAGAAATTTAATGTTGTTCATGTTCAAAAAAAATACATTTCGCTGGGTTTCCCACACATCCTGTCAGGAGAAGCTGGAACATTTGCGGAACTTCTGGAAGGTGAGTAGCAAAGCAAGAGAAAGTGCCAGTCTTTTGGGCAAAAAAAACGATGGTCAAATCGTGGGGGGGCCGGTCAGATCCATCAAATCCACAGGGGCCCATTAAAAAAAAGGTCCCAAATGTTGCAGGTGATGTTGAACTAACCATTAGCTATTGATGGTTGATAATATTTGATAATGGTTATATAATCGTGGTTAATCATGGTTAATTTACTAGTGCTTATAATAATTAATGGTTTTGTAGGTGATGCTTTAATTTCTCTTCTCTAGACTTGTCAAGGATATTCCTACCTCCCATAATCACCATGAATCAATAATCCCCCAGGGACTATTCCTCAAGTATCTGCAAAGCCATCGCAGGACTTTTCTTAAAACAAACGAAACAACACCATTACTCGAATGTAGAAAGTCGAAATGCCAAACATGCCCGCCATCACTAATGTTGAAGAAGTGGAAGGACCCCGGATAAAGATATGCCCCTCCGTGTGCAAATTGGTTTGCATCATATGGTTCAGTGACGTGCCTCACTAATCTTGGAGATGAAACCTGACAAGTCAGGTCCCTAAAGTACTTCAACATGACAATTGTGTATTGCCACGGTTGGATTCTGGGTATATGGCTTGAAATCTTGTGATCGCTTTGCAAAGTGCTTCCTGTCCTGCAAATACCAGCGGGTTCGGATGTTTGGAGCACAAAATAGTACACAATTGGACTGCAAAAAGACAACACGGCCGCTCATGTACACAGAATCTTTCTTAATGTTGTCTACAGTATATATATCCTATTAGATCCCATGATATCCGTATTGTATTTCCATAAAGCACCCAGTTAAATAATATTTATAATAATAGAATGTATTCAAACTGACCCGCCCATAGACGTTGTGTGCCTTGGTGGCTCCAACTTCAACACTGAGGTTATCAGTGCAGTTGGAACAAGTGCGGCCGTCATCTGGTGGAAAAAGCCCTTCAGAACTGGGGAAAGCCCGTGAAGGACGCGCTGCCAGGTTACAAGATATGGACCTTCTCCCGTTTATAAATTGATTCTATCATGTTCTATCCCTCATAGGCACATTAGAGCCATGGTTCCTAAGCACATATCAATATCAATTTGAATTCTGATCTTTCAATATGAAAGCGACAATCGCGAATAACTGTTTAAATCCACTAATCCACATATAATCACACACTCAGATAGATAGATATATATATACAGTATATTATTATATATAATAATTATTATATATAATAATAATATATATATATAATTATGTATATAGGCTAAGATTCTTCAAACCATTCAACCCAACCAACGGAAACTTCGGCAAAGCCCAAAGCCCAGATCTTCGCTTCACCGATCCGCCAGGACGGAGAGGTGGCGCCGGAGTATCCCACCGAGGCCTGTCTCTTCGGCCTCGAAGTGGCTGAGAAGGCCATCGACCTGCCCGAGCTGCTGGTGAACCTCAGCGCTTGCGAAAGTTAAATGGGATGAAAAAATGGTGAGTTAATATGGGATATTATGATATATTATGGGATTAATATGGGATATTATGGGATTAATATGGTTATTAATATGGATAATATGGATATTTAATATGGGATTAATATGGATACTGTAATATGGTTAAATATGGATATTTAATATGGGATAATATGGATTAATAAGGATTAATAAGTTCAGCTCTTCAAGTTATCATTAATAATCTGGGTAAGCGATTTGCAATGGGAATATGGGATTAATATGGGAATAATATATGGATTAATGGGATTAATGGAATTTAGCTATTGAAAATGGCCATGGAAATAGTTTACTTACCCATGAACAATGGTGATTTTCCATAGTTATGTTAGTATATAACCCAGGGAAATGGTTAATAATCTGGTTATATAATAATATGGTTGTATATGATTATTCAATGGTTATATATGGTTATTGAATAGTTAATTGAATGGTTATAATGATACAATGTGGGTAAGAATGAACCACCCATGACTGGGAAGCCGGGTTGGAATCCCACCGTCATAAAAATGATGATTTTCCTGGGGGATGGTTTATTGTTGTTTTAGCCACATGAATGGGATGATTCGTATTCCCCAAAGATGTGTCCTGTGTGGTTGATTAATCCCTAGTGGCTTAATAATCATACCCCCGGGTAAATTAACATAGACCCTGAAAATCACCAATGTTGAATGGAAACTAGTCTTCCAACCCCGATGACTGCCAGGGTCTATGTTAATATACCGGAAGGTAACTTGACATGTTTTTGGAAAATTTCTCCGGAAAATTGTTCATGAAATTGAACGAATACTTCTTGATATTTTTTGAAGAATGTAGGGGATATGGGGCTTGACTCTAAATTAATGGCAGATGACTGGATTTCAGCAGCATCCGGGGATGGATGGACATCTGATCTGAAAGTTTTGGATGATGGAAAGACATTTACCTTAAAATTAGTGGTTTTAGTGAATGGGCAGGGGCATTATTGGGAAAAATATCGAACTTCCTGAGGGTATGTCAATATTCAATCCATGAATCATTCAGGGTTTAGTGGGAACACCATTCGAGGATACTACTACCAATCTGGGTAAAAGATCCATCACCGACTGACCTTGATGGTAAACTGATGTCAAGGTTGGGGGAATGACTGCCAAAATTGATTTACGCTCCAGTAATCAAACATAGCAACTGGAAATCCCAGCTGCTACAGTTACAGCCCCGGGATCTCACACGATACCCTGGTGGAGTGTGTTAGATCTACTCCTCGAAGGGCATGCTGTATAGCAATCCTAAAAGGATAGACACGTCATTTAACATCTCCAGTTGACTAATATCGAATGGGACCTTTCATAATGCGAACATATTTCAAAACTGATGGATAATTCATGCGGGGTTGACATTGTGATTCTCGCCCACGGCAAATCTATCCCAGAACTGGATAGATTTGGTATCCCAAGGTCTCCCAAGTATCAAATGTTATGATCCAAGTATATTGATAAAACGGTTATATATTACCAGGATCATAATGGTAAATCATATAATCGTATTATATGGATTGTCAAATATTTGGGATTGTCAAATCGTATATCAACTGTTTGGTTTTCAGGATAAATCAAAATGACCTCTGCCCCATGTCTCTGGAATGATGGTAGGCGTCGCTCAGACTCCTGGAGGTTTCAGGGATAAAATCTCCATTTCATCAATGTCGATTTCATGACAACCTACCCTTTGGTAAACTAACATAGCTATGGGAAATCACTATTTTTTTTGGGTAAATCCACTATTTCTATTGTCATTTTCAATAGCTATTTGTATGTTTACCAGAGGGTACCATATATAAAGCCTCCATGTATCCTGGAATTCCCATGGATAAATCGATGGGATAAATCATGGTGAAATCTTGGTGTCCCCATGACTGGACTTGTGGCAAGATGTGAGCTGTGAGCCCAGGAAATGCCACCACAAGATCGAAACTCTGAAGGCCAGCACATCAGCTTGGAAGAAAGTTGGTGATGCCATGCTCATAAAAACTGTTTTTTTTTTTGATTTTCATGACCATGTTGTTTTCCCCCCTGCGGTTTTCAAGCATGGCAATTATAGAAAACCCATGAGAATCCACCATTTGTAGATGATTCTTCGAATTAAAACCTCCAGTATAGGGGTTTTGCCATTGCCACGTTTGATTGCCGGAAGGTATATGATTGATCTGGACAATTTAAAACGACGTCACCGACGTCACCCCGAAATAACGACCTAGCCTCAGAAATAACCCGTCACCATACAAGTACATATAAATATATGTGCAAATATATATATATATATTTATATATATATATATATATCCAGCCTTCGTATGGGCAGCTACGGCTGGAAAAATCGGTTTTAGGCGGCAAAGCCTGGACAAACAGAAAGACCCTAGTTTGTCAAAATAGGAAAATGAGGTTTTCAGCGCGTTCAGAAGCAAGGTCCCTGTTTTTCCATCTTTAGTATGGGCAGCTACGGCTGGAAAAATGGGTTTTAGGCGGCAAAGGCTGGACAAACAAAAAGATCCTAGTTTGTCAAAATAGGAAAATGAGGTTTTCAGCGCGTTCAGAAGCAAGGTCCCTATTTTTCCAGCTTTAGTATGGGCAGCTACGGATGGAAAAATGGGTTTTAGGCGGCAAAGGCTGGACAAACAAAAAGATCCTAGTTTGTCAAAATAGGGAAATGAGGTTTTCAGCGCGTTCAGAAGCAAGGTCCCTATTTTTCCATCTTTAGTATGGGCAGCTACGGCTGGAAAAATGGGTTTTAGGCGGCAAAGGCTGGACAAACAAAAAGATCCTAGTTTGTCAAAATAGGAAAACGCGTTTTTTGAAGGGTTTGGGAATTGCTTTTTGATGAGTACTAGGTTTGGGAGCCTCAATTTAAAGGAAAAATTGTCAAACAGGCTGTGCGAGCGTGTTTGTGGGCACCGGGGGCGGTTCCGGACCAGCGCGGGTTCGAGCCCCTGTGCGTTTCAAGCCTCCCGGCGCGAAAGCCGGGGATTTGTGAGCTCGGGCGGCTTTTGGGGAAGACGGTCAACTCGAACAGAAACGGGGAGTTTTTGAGACTTAGAGTTGCCAAGTACCTCATGCATACTTGATGTTTTTCAGGGTGGGAAACTGAAGCCGTCAGCGCGTTCAGAAGCAAGGTCCCTATTTTTCCAGCTTTAGTATGGGCAGCTACGGCTGGAAAAATCGGTTTTAGGCGGCAAAGGCTGGACAAACAAAAAGATCCTAGTTTGTCAAAATAGGAAAATGAGGTTTTCAGCGCGTTCAGAAGCAAGGTCCCTATTTTTCCAGCTTTAGTATGGGCAGCTACGGCTGGAAAAATCGGTTCTAGGCGGCAAAGGCTGGACAAACAGAAAGATCCTAGTTTGTCAAAATAGGAAAATGAGGTTTTCAGCGCGTTCAGAAGCAAGGTCCCTATTTTTCCAGCTTTAGTATGGGAAGCTACAGCTGGAAAAATCGGTTTTAGGCGGCGAAGGCTGGACAAACAGAAAGATCCTAGTTTGTTAAAATAGGAAAATGAGGTTTTCAGCGCTCTCAGAAGCAAGTTCCCTATTTTTCCAGCTTTAGTATGGGAAGCTACGGCTGGAAAAATCGGTTTGAGGCGGCAAAGGCTGGACAAACAGAAAGATCCTAGTTTGTCAAAATTGGAAAATGAGGTTTTCAGCGCGTTCAGAAGCAAGGTCCCTATTTTTCCAGCTTTAGTATGGGCAGCTACGGCTGGAAAAATCGGTTTTAGGCGGCAAAGGCTGGACAAACAGAAAGATCCTAGTTTGTCAAAATAGGAAAATGAGGTTTTCAGCGCGTTCAGAAGCAAGGTCCCTATTTTTCCAGCTTTAGTATGGGCAGCTACGGCTGGAAAAATGCGTTTTAGGCGGCAAAGGCTGGACAAACAGAAAGATCCTAGTTTGTCAAAATAGGAAAATGAGGTTTTCAGCGCGTTCAGAAGCAAGGTCCCTATTTTTCCAGCTTTAGTATGGGCAGCTACGGCTGGAAAAATCGGTTTTAGGCGGCAAAGGCTGGACAAACAGACAAGATCCTAGTTTGTCAAAATAGGGAAATGAGGTTTTCAGCGCGTTCATAAGCAAGGTCCCTATTTTTCCAGCTTTAGTATGGGCAGCTACGGCTGGAAAAATCGGTTTTAGGCGGCAAAGGCTGGACAAACAGAAAGATCCTTGTTTGTCAAAATAGGAAAATGAGGTTTTCAGCGCGTTCAGAAGCAAGGTCCCTATTTTTCAAGCTTTAGTATGGGCAGCTACGGCTGGAAAAATGTGTTTTAGGCGGCAAAGCCTGGACAAACAGAAAGATCCTAGTTTGTCAAAATAGGGAAATGAGATTTTCAGCGCGTTCAGAAGCAAGGTCCCTATTTTTCCAGCTTTAGTATGGGCAGCTACGGCTGGAAAAATGGGTTTTAGGCGGCAAAGGCTGGACAAACAGAAAGATCCTAGTTTGTCAAAATAGGAAAATGAGGTTTTCAGCGCGTTCAGCAGCAAGGTCCCTATTTTTCCAGCTTTAGTATGGGCAGCTACGGCTGGAAAAATGGGTTTTAGGCGGCAAAGGCTGGACAAACAGACAAGATCCTAGTTTGTCAAATAGGGACCTTGCTTATGAACGCGCTGAAGACCTCATTTTCCTATTTTGACAAACTAGGATCTTTCTGTTTGTCCAGCCTTTGCCGCCAAAAACCGACTTTTTCAGCCGTAGCTGCCCATACTAAAGCTGGAAAAATAGGGACCTTGCTTCTGAACGCGCTGAAAATCTCATTTTCCTATTTTGACAAACTAGGATCTTTCTGTTTGTCCAGGCTTTGCCGCCTAAAACCGATTTTTCCAGCCGTAGCTGCCCATACTAAAGCTGGAAAAATAGGGACCTTGCTTCTGAACGCGCTGAAAACCTCATTTTCCTATTTTGACAAACTAGGATCTTTCTGTTTGTCCAGCCTTTGCCGCCTAAAACCCATTTTTCCAGCCGTAGCTGCCCATACTAAAGTTGTAAAAATAGGGACCTTGCTTCTGAACGCGCTGAAAAGGACCTAGCAGCCTTGCTGGGGCACAAATAGTTTTTTTTTTTCTGGTGTTATACAGAACGGATGCAGCAAATTAAGAAATCAAATCAGGTCCTGTTGTCGTATTAGGCCGACGTAAAATAATTTATTAATTCAGACGACGTCACTATTTCACCGGTAAAATTATTCGAATTAAGCGACGACCTGCGAAATATTATAAATTGTGCAGATTGATAGCTGGTATCAATGTGTGTAGTCAATGAACTTTAAATAGTTATAGTTAAATATGTATACATATATGTATATACATATTATGTACATGTTTTTAAGAACCCACTATAGTACAGATCTCGTATAATTTTGGGGACTTCCGGTCTAATGCATGAGATACTGTATATATATATATGGCTTATAATTATTGTGTATATATAACTTATTAATTATATATAAATATATATATATATATATTTAGATATATATATATATATATTTAGATATATGTATGATTAATAACTATTATTGTATATATATATATCACATATCAACTACATATATATATATACACGTATAATATATATATATATATATATGTATGTATATGTATATGTATATGTATACATCAGTTCTTAATGACTCCCACTCCCACATGACCCATTTTTTCGCACCAGGACTTGGAGAATGCCACGAGGTGGGCGCTGGAGACCGCCGTGCCGCTGAGCACGGAGCTCTCCTCGTCGCCGCTGGAGGATTTCTGGAAAGCGCTGAGGACCGATGGCGATGGCCACCGGAACCCACGGGGGAACCCACGTTTTTATAGTGATGAATGGTGATTGAATGGTGATTTAATGGGTTTTAATGAGATTTAATGGTGATTAATGGTGATTGACCATCAGGTAAACTAACATAGCTATTGAAAATGGCCATAGAAATAGATATTTATAGTTGATTTTGCAACTAAACATGGATAAACAATGCGAAGAAATCACTGACAAAAACAATCCAACATCTGGGTAAACGCACTGAGGAAAAAAACTGTGAGTATACAGTGCAATCGGATTTAGCATTATTTTTCATGGCATTGCTCCGGAATATTCTGATCAATTCAATCACCAAAATTTTCCACGGTATCACGTGGCATCATATGTCCAGACAAACCCATAGTAGAAAAAAAATAGAAACACAAGTTTCAAAAGTACAGTTATATAACAATATAACTGTTAACTTCACCCATGTTATCCAAATCAATCATAAAACATTTAGTTTGTTCCGTCTCGCGCAATTGGATTCACGGCATTTCTTTGGGCATTACCACATGTTAAGCAGATCATGATCATTACCTAAGGTTCTTACTTGATAGAGATTTGCTATTTAATAGAAATCTTAAGCAACATTTGTTTTTGGTTACGAAACGTTTTGACACCAGTGATTTGGCCTCCAGGACCATGTGCACCATCAAGCCACTTGACTGTGATCCTGGTTGAAATCCAACGGAATGTGGCAGAAAGTCCCAAGACTGTGCCGAGGTTCTGTGGCAAAGACCCAAATGCCATCACTTCGTGGAGAACGGAAGTCAAAGAAGTGAAGGTGGAGCGTCCGGACCTGACAATACAATCCACAGCCCGAATATGGCAACGTAAGCAACATGGCAACATGCGCATGTTGATTCAGAGAATCTGAGACGGCCTAAATACTGGAGGAATTTACAGGAAATTTCATTGCCAAGCCAGATTACTCGCGGTAGATTTGGGTCAATTACAGTTACAACCCCTCCCATTTGAGTGTGTGAGCAGACCCCTCCTCAGCAGCCCGGAACGGTGGATGTCAACAGAAATGATGGCGGTGATTCATGACCCTGTCCCATTTGTCAAAACCAAATTCAGTATATATATATATATAATTATATATATATATAGATTTCTATGTGTATATATATATATGTATGTATGCATGTATATGTATGTATAAATGATGGCAAATTGCCAAATCCCCCCTGTTTTTTTTTGATTGCAGCCAAATTGATCGTGAATTCATGGAGGCAATACAAGATCTTCAATTTTAGTTGTAGGATGTTATCGGTTGTAAATGTCACATGGCTCGGTGTTTGGGACTAACTAACCATTGTTTTGCGATGAACCATAGTTGAAGCATAGGGCCTAGGAGTTTAGCAGGCATTTTGGTGTTCATTATCGCATTCCACGGGTTTTGATCCATAAAATAACTTACCCTCTGGTTATTTAACATAGCCATGGAAAATCACCATTTTTAATAGGTAAACCCAGGTAAACCATCTATAAATGGGCCATTTTCCATGGCTATGTTAAATAACCAGAGGGTATATATTAAGGTGATCATCCCAGTTATAAGTCGATTGTATGAACCCCATGAACTAGTTCGATATATCCGCCATCAACCCTAGTCTTTACCTATGTAAACCTATGTACAAACCAATTCAATGGCCATTTCAGGAATCTAAATTGGAGGTACCTACCATATATAAGGCTTATGTAAGGGCTATGTAAGGGAATATCCCTTCAAAATGTTGCCTTATATGGTACAGTCCCTCCATTTTAGGATCCTGAAATTCCCATTGACCAACTGAGGGTTCCACTGGATCAACTCCATGGTGAACAGTGCCAGGTCTACAAGGAGAAATCAAGTTCTTCTGAAGAGATTGGCAGCAAGAAAGCAGGCATGGGATGGATATGGGAAGCAAGGCTAAGGGTTTAAGCATCAAACAAATACGGCCAAGATATGTCTACTATCTACAGATAAAATCTATCAGTGCAAATTCAAAGTATATGGATAGAAGATAGAGGTTAGACATAATTCATTCACGTTTCCATAGTTCCATACTCATCAGTTTCTTTTTTAATGTACACATCAGTATGTAAATATTGAAGTACTGGTATATGTTCAGTACCTCATTCATATATCAATCAGTATTTATGCATGTAAAATACACAACTACAAATATACCTACCTGCCTGCCTGCCTGCATACATACATGCATACATGCATGCATGAAGGCATACTGATATTTCTATAGTATATAATTACCAAATGCTTGCACAGTGAGATGAAATTACAACTTCTTGAGACATTTATCCTTCGAGTGGGATTCTGGTTACCTTGTATCCTCCCAAACAAATGTTCTACCCCGTGTTGGGTGCGCTATAAAAGGGAGTCCGCGTACAAGTATGAACAACTGTAGATGTAAAATTGCTTCATATTATTCCAAAGTATTCAGGTATGTTGGTTTTCTCAGACTTTGCAATATGGTAAGCCCAACCACAATCCCCCATTTCTTGGGTTATTGTGCTTTCTCACTGCTCATATCCCGCACATTTAGCACCTTTTCGGAACACTTAGATAGGTTCTGAATTTGAGATCCCCCACTTACCCTATGTTTCATCATATTTCCTTTGGGCAAGCAAATGCAAGCAGATGGTAAAAACAAATCGATGGCAGCCCCACTTCCCCAACCCCTTTTTCGGCGTGGTGTGGCTAATCGCGCTAGGCTCGGTGATGCGAGGCATTCAGCGAGGCAATTGGTTGGAACTCATCGAGGGCCAAGGCTTTATGCTCATTTGCTCCGAGCCTTGTTTTTTTTTTAGTCATTGGATGGGTTTTGTTGGGAAAATCTTACCTAGAAACAATATGGTTTTTGTCCATCAAATTGATTGGGATTTTCCAGGTAAAATGTTCCCTTCAATCAATCCAATGATAAGAATTACTATTGGTTGGGATGAATTCATGTGTGTTTCTTCCCATACAAAATATTGAAAACACACTGAGCATGTGAAGGATCATGCACCATTTTGAGCATTTTGCAGATTCCCTCCCCCAGGGAAGAAAAAAAAAACTCCCGTTGGTAGAGTCGGCCACTCCCATAGTTGCCCCCAGTTTTACCTCTGGTGGCCCAGGAACGAACAGGATTGAACAACATGAAACAAGACTCCGGCAACACGGGCGAGAGAGGCCTGTGGGAAACGCACCTTGGCTGTGGAATGCTGAACATGTGGTAAGGTCCCTGGAATTGTTTAAAGGATTGTTGATCTGGTTGTCGGTTTCAACATGTTTTTGTTCAATCACAGGACTTTGATGATCCCCAATGATTCATTTTGCATGGTTTTGAAACCACCAGCCAGTGAAGCACCAGAGAAGTTTTGTAACACACAAATTGAACAGAAGTTGGGTGGAAACCCCGTTTGAAACTCGTGCAGTAAGTTTCCTTAAAAGTATCCCAGCTGAAGGCAACACGGATGGGTAGATCACCCGGGAGAATTCCCCTCATTCCTCAGCATGAAAATCCGGTGTCATCCCAGACGGCAGCAGTATTCGTGGGATCATGCGAAGACAATATATTAATTAATCTTCAACATATCTCAAAGGTCGAAAAACTCCGGGTGATCAATTACATTTGAACATGCATAAATTGCAGCTGATTTTTTAGTTGATGAATTCGTACTGACTAAAGCACCTTGGGCTGTAGAGTTTTTGCCCCAGACACTCCCAAAAAACAGCTCCAGAACAATGGGTGTGGATTTCGTTTGGCCAGCTAGCTGTGAGATTTCAATCATACGCCACCCAACGCGACTGCGGGGTCCCAGTTGGCAAGGGTGGATATTGCTTCAACATTGCATCATTCCATTTCACCCCCAGCATTGAAGAGGTGACTGAGACTGACTAGCCGTTGAGGTTACACCAATCGATCAAACAGGCAAGATACCACCGGGCCGGTCTTCCCAATGCAGAAGCTTCACTTCAGAGGTACAACAAAAACATGCATTTGTATGATGTACCCCAAGAAATCTCAAGAAGTGGATTTCTATGTCTAACCGCAGTTACACAATTCTCCATCGTTCTCCAACACCCCTCAGTATGATACCACTTTGACCGTAGACATGGGCCTTGATATGCCTTCAGTGATTGAACGTTTGCTAACGTTTTCAACACTCTGGATGGAACCCTCATTCTCATAAGTGTCCCACACCATCCCAAAAGAAACCCACCCCAAGCGGCCATCAGTTTCAATCAAGCCTGCAGTCAGTTGGAAAGCCTGGAACCCTGTTTTTTTCCAACCGCTGCTGTCATGCAATAGCTGCACCATTGGCAGTTCGCCACTCATCACCGTAGTTCGCTTGTGGTTACTCCCTGGAATGCTTAGATAAGGTTTGTCCAAAATCATTGCGATAAATGAATATACCCTCCGGCAGTCAACCGTGGCTTGCTGGACAACCACCCATTTAGTTCGATGATTTTCCCAGCTATGAACTTCCATGATCTTCCATGTACATGAGATTTCCCAGCCCGCCATGATGCCATGCTTGATTACTGGAAGGTAAATGGCAGATCAGTGTTTAATCCAATTCCCCTAATATTAAACACCCCCTAATCCCAATGATGTCGAAATTCATAGAATTTCCCTACATCCAGCATGGTTTCGATGGGGTGTTGAATATCAGGGGGAAGGGATTAATTAATCGCCATTCCATCAATCATCCCATTGTATAATCATGAATATTACGATTAATCATTATTAATCTATTAGTGACTATTATTAAATATAGATAAATATAGCATCACTATGAATAGTAATCACGATTATTATTTATCATAATCCTAAATCCATCACTAGTATTAATATTAGTATCGATTAGTGACTATTATTCACTATTTGTTCAAACGTGTCGTGGCGTAACCTAGGTATCCTTTCGTCAGCGAATGGTGGCGCAAGCTGCTCGGGCTGGTCCGATATGGGCCTCGGATGGGTAGAGGGCCCGAGAGGGGACCAGTAATTGAACCATTTCTGATAGATTTACGGTAACCACCCCAAAAGGTGGATGATATGTAGATATATGATTATATATATATACACATAGGTATAGATGTAGATGATGATGATGATGATGATGATGATGATGATGGTGGTGGTGGTGATGATGATGACGATGATGATGATGATGATCATGATGATGATGATGATGATGACATGTGCTTTGTATCTCCAGTTCTTCCGCTTTTCTATTTTATTGGAGTTGCTATAAATCATGCAAGATAATACATTTTGGGCGGTTACTGTAACCATTTTTGAGCCACGGATATGTGCCTCCCCTGTGCTCTTGCAGTATGATAGTCTTCCATTTGCGACACTGGAAGCTGCTTCCTACAGGGGCATGGGTCATCTTTGTGTTTTTTGTCCCAAGATGGATTGGTCATATCATATCTAGTAGTATTAGCTCGTCCCATCAATATGCTGTGGGGAAATTGCCGTTGGTGGATCTTAATGGCCCCCTGAACGCGTCACCAAGAGCTGCATAGGGATAGGTTGAACATGTGCCAGGCCGCAGGCTGAGTGATAGATGCACCATGCCATTGATGGCTTACATGTGTTGGAAAAGAATCACTGACAGGGACTGCTAGCAGCGCTAGACTTGCTTCATGTGGTCTTTGGCGCATTTACCTTGGCGACTTTTGATACTCAACCCTCAGCTTTGTCATAGCGATAAAAAAATGTCCTTCCACCCACTGGTGCAGGAAAAAACACCGTAGACCCACCAAGACTTGCATGGATTCATGGGGAAAACAAGTTTTCCTGTGGATTTTCAGTAGTAAAAAAATAAAAGACTGGAAACAACAACTGGATGATAATCCCAAGAAAAACAACGACGACAACAACAACAACAACAACAAAACAATAAAAATAAACACACATAGTAAAACTCAGCCTCCCTCAAAGTCCCAGGCTTCTTTCGCAGGGCGTTCGTCAAAAGGCGATCGACTTTGTCTTCGTTGGTGTGTTGACCTTGCTCACAGACCGGCAGCAGTACCTTGATGGTCCAACATCCCTATCCGACCCATAGATGGAAAATGATGGTAGGGACTGGTAATGGATTTTCCGGGTGATATTTTCATCAATTCCGGACCCACCATCCCTGATTTGATGCAGATGACTGCAGTCAGTTTCCAAGCCCCGGAAAGCTGCTGCTTCCTCCGAGGCATTACATCGCCGGTGACAAGAAGTTGTCCCAGCGATGGTGGGAACCTCTGGAGTGTCAGGAGTACAAGGACAGCTTGCCCTCAAAGTGTTTGTTGTGAAAACAGGAGACCACATGTTCTCACTTTTTTGGCTGGTTGTTCACGGTTTATGACCATTCAATACCATTCATACCTATCACTTACCATCCCATGTTGCTTGATGTTGTTCTAGTTATGTCTAGCCTGCTCTTTTGTTTGTTCCTACTACGTGAATACACATGTTTCATACATGTTTCTTGCTTCGCAAGATTTTGCATTTTTGTAACACATACTTGAAGTCAAAATTAATGAGCATGATATTATATGACACTATTCACTATACCATACTATACCATACTATGCCATGTTTTTACAAACACCTATGTTCCACCTTTCTGCCCCGTACGCCCATTTTTGAATAGATGGGCCATGGGACTGATCAGTAATCCTTTGTTTTTTTAACCATTTTGCCACACGAAGCAGCAAACTCCGTTCAGCCCTTTTTCAGCTAACCTAGGGACGTATTTTTGCCTCGCAGCTTCCGTGAGTCGGCAGGATGCTGTAAGCCACATCTTGGAGAGCATCGAATCGGGCGTCATTCCGGAGAAAGAAGGCTCCGCCATGATCAAGAGGCGCGCAAACTGGGCACCACCAGCTCCCGGTTTGTATGGAGAAAACCCATGTTTATGGAGGAATCTGATATGTGAGATACATACATCATGAGATATATTACTGTACATATACTATAGATTACTATAGTATTGAAAATAAACAAATAAATAGATGAAGAACTAAATATCATATATATATATATTTATATGTATGTGTGTGTGTTTTAAGTATAGGTGATTTAAAAACAAAAAACATATCGCTATCATTATCCATATTGGTGCGGATGCAACCGTTAAATCATAGCTGCTTCAGCTGCTTCACAGGCTGACAGATGACTCCTTACTCAATTACTGGTGAGTATTAGGGGAATCACCTGCTCATTTATTGACAAACATCAGCGCAGCGTCATAAACCCATCCTCATATGCAACATAGTCAGATTTTGTGTCAGTATTGTATCATCGGCCAAGCCTTCCCCACGGACTCCAAGAAAATGCAACTCACCTGCCTGCCGAGTTGTGTTCCCCAAATTCCCCAAACGCCAAACGCACAGCCGGAGGCGCATTCTGGCCTTGAAGAACATCAATATCATGACGGACCTCAAGTGGAAGGCGACACTCCGACCCAGGGCATTCGGGGGGAGATTTGAGACATGAGGAAAAAACATGGCCATATTTTAGGCACCAAATCTCATGGAATTTAGCCACCAAGGAGGGATTTATGATGATTTATGTATATATTGATTATATTTGGATTATATATGGATTTGATATCTGATTGTGTATGGAGTACGGATTAGATATATGATATATTATATGGAATAACTATGGAAAATCACATTTTTTTATGGGTAAATCAACTATTTCTATGGCCATTTTCAATTGCCTTTTTGTATGTTTACCAGGCCGGGTAAAATCCAAAGTGGGCCGTCCCGCTGGCCAAAGTGCATCATTCCAGCCATTTGAGGACGGTGTGTTCATTTAAAGATTTGTGGCTGTTTTTTGTATTTTCTTAATTGTGGCACTTTTTTTTTGATTTAAAGTTGAAAGATTTGTTGTTGTTTTTTTCATTTGAGGTTGTTTCTCGTTGCATTTTTTGTGTGGCACAAATCTATATTATATATATGTATTGGCTTTGCGACACATTATATATATACATGTATTGATTGACGTACGTGGTAATAAATCCTTTAACATTACATGTTTTTTTTTAAACATACACTATCATTTGCTGCATCATATACGAATCAACTCATGATATCTAATTTATAGTCCTACATGCACACATTTTTCAACTGCAAATATACAGCGTGTTGTATGTATACATGTATTTTTGTGTTATATGCATATATATATATACCGTGCTTTACATATATATATATATACTGTAATTATAGTTTTTTTTTAAAAAAATAAAAATATGTATACATATATATATATATATGTATTCATGCAATATTTACATATGTTTACCTCTAAGTCCACAGCTCAGCTGCCATGGTTCAGGTGCTGGCCACCAAGCGCCGCGAGCGCGTGGAGGATCGCTTGGCCATCGAAAAGTCCAATGGCTTGGCCATTTCGGAGCCGCGCGACAGCACCGGGTGGATGGGAGACTTTGGTAACTGATAAGATATAATAAGTGTATGACATATATAATTAAGGGACATACATATCATATCATTTTTATTTACATATATATATATATAATATATATATATATTCCATATTTAAAACCCTAAATAAATAAATAAATAAATATATATATATATATATATATATTATGTATGTGTGTGTGGGGGGGCGCCTTTCGTATCAGGATGCCTTTTGTGAACTTGCCTGCCACCAAATGGGTCGATGGAGATGCTGGGATGCACCTGGAGCGATCTGATTCACGAACGCGAATTCTTGGGAAACGTCTATCAAATAATCGTATATACCCTCTGGTTATTTAACATAGCCATGGAAAATCACCATTTTCAATGGGAAAATCCACTATAAATGGTGATTTTCCATAGCTATATTAAATAACCAGAGGGTATATATATTTAAACAAATATATGAATAAGAAGAACGAATGGAATGTATATGAATTATAACTACTTCAACTATGGTTTATCGTATAGATACATCGAAGCAGTCAGTATATATATATATATGTGAATGCCAAATATTATATCTCTATTTGTAGTGAATATCTATCTATATATGTATATACATACATATATTATTGAGCTGGGCCACCTGCTCGCCTTCAGCTTCCGTTGAACTCTCTGGGATGGCGATGGAGAGCGAGATATATGTGTTATTATATATACGAATAAGAAGAATGAATGGAATGGAATATATAATATATCTATATATATATATCATTATATATATAGATATAATCTACCTACTTTAACTATTGTGGTATAGATACATCGAAACAGTCAATGGGTTTTTGAAGCCAACTTGTAACAATTCGGGGGCAGCGGCTTGTAGAAACGCGTGTGTATGCCTTGATGTATTCCATGAAAAACCAAGCGAGTCACTTGCCTTTCACCAGAAATCACGGATCACCCCTTCGAAAAAATCACGAATTCATCCAGTCAATGACATTCGTCCCATTCTTTGTGATGCGCTTTGCGCAATAGGTTGTTCCCAGGTGGAGGCCACTGATTCAAGCTGGTGCCCCTCCCGTTACAAGTGGCTTTATAAACAACATTAAACATCGATGTTTGTACCATAAACCATAGTGGACCTTGTTATAGACCAACCTGGCTATTTAGGGGGGCCCCACCTTGTGCGCAGGATCATCAGAAATTCACCCGAAGATCCTGCCAATTAAAAAACTAGTGCTTCCATAAATATCCATAGATAATATCCGTCTCTTCCATGACTAGTCTGACTGTCAAACATCATAATAAACATCGAGCATTTCCAGCCTGCGCCAAGCTGAGGAATCCTGGGACATCCAGAAGCATCACAAGTACACCCCATTACCCTGGCAGACGGGCCGTTGCAAAGATCACATAGCAACGAAAGAACTGGAAACCATCGCCAAGTTGTTGCAGCGACCCAGCAGGCGGGTCTGGACCTATGGGGTGATGTCCTGGACAAATGTCTTTTTGCTGGAGCCTTTCTCGTGCTGGATCCTGTATGGAGTCCAAAATGTAGGAGATAGATGGAGGTAGCTTCCCATCCCATCATTAGGAATTAAGTGGGCAACATTTATCAACTCCGTCACTGTTTGAAAAAGGGCACCCCACACGGACTTGGCAGCACGGGCAGGCGCCAAGTCTTGTGGCAGATCGCAGAGATCGCAGCCATCCTCTCCGGTCCCAAGATGATTGAGCTTCTGGAGGCTGCGGTGGCTGCGGCGAAAGGGCTATCCTGACATCCCGGGACAACGGGACTGGAGGGTTCAACTTATGACATCATCAAAGTTGAGGAAAACCATGTTGGCCATCTAAATAAATGATACATCTGATACACACCTATAGAAATGATATGAAATGATCATATTGATCATTAAATATCATTAATTACTCAAAACTGATAACTATTTTTCAATGGAACATGGGATGGACGAAATGGAAAGTCATGACGCAACAAACTCACCGCCCGGCGGCCCGGGTCCAAACACGAGGCGGGCATTGCAACCTTAGATGCGCGTTTCGAGGGAATGGCCAGGAGTGAGTCCTGATGACAGGTGACGGTAAGCCCAAGACGATCCAGCTGGGAAACGGCTGGGAATTGTCAAAAACATATAGACAAGTTTGGAAAATCATGTCTCCCACTTGGACATGAGAATAAAAATTGTTCCTAGATATTCCTAGAATCTTAGAATGGGAATTAACGAACAAGCATTCGGATTTGAGTTCCGAAAAGAAGTATTTCAAGCAACATCAATGGGGATTCAGTACAGCCAACATGATCTTGATGGCACTAGAAGCTGACCCCCCTGGGGACATATGTGTTTTTTTACATGTTTTTACACATATAAACAGTCATAGACATATGTGACACTTGCGCATGGTTTGCCCACGGAAGGACGGTCGGAAGACATTACCCATACTTGAACTCTGTTCTGACCAAGCGCCCTGTCAGCACTTTGAGTCGTTGGCGTGTCAAAACGCATCACCGTGATACCCAGGAGCAGGGTCATTGAGGGTTAAGACCAGAGATGTCAATGTAATGTAGTCCTGCAAATTGTAATTTTATAAGGCCTTTGCAAGACCATTGTCCTCCAGGCTGTGACCCCAGTCTTCCAGGTGTCCACCTTGTTTTGTTTCATGCGAACTTGACATCAACGATTCCCTTGATTGAAACATATTGAAACGGCACTGCCAATTCTGTGCGTATCTTTCATGTAGGATGTGGACCCTCAAGGCGATGCCCGGTGATGTTTGAAACAAGTTCGACACATCATGATATCTACCATCAACATCCATAAAGCAACAATAACTATAACCTATACCATTTCATGGTGTATACATATATATTTATTTTGATATGTACATACATATCAAAATAAACCATAAGTGTAACCATACGCATCATTCACCATAAGTATCATGATATATCACGATATATTATATTATATTATATTATATTATATTATATCATATTACATTATATTATATTATATTATATTATTTATTATTATTATTATCATCATTGTTATTGTTAGTAGTATCATCATTATTGTTCTTATTGTGATATATTATAAGTATCACCCAGCGGAGCCTTTACCAACGACAACGAGGAACGAGACGCAGAAGGGCAGCTGCGACATTTTGACGCCGTTGCTGGAGCTGTTGCTGTTGGATGCTCGGCCCTGGCTGCGAAAGAAAGGGATGGGGAAGTGGAACCCGATGGAAAACGATGGGAAAATCTGTGGAAAACGATGGAAAACTGCTTGATTTTTCAGGTTGGTGATTGCATTGGTGTCTTGTTTTTGAAGGTTTAGATGGTTCAGGAGATGAAAGGAACAAGGAACATCCAAAGATGAAGACGATGAAGTAGAGTGTATGAGGAAAATTGATGAAAATGGAATGCTAGGAAAATGCCAGAGGTGCTAAGTAATTACTATAATTACTGTTGTCTTTGACTGTAGCTATGTTGGCTGCCGGAAATCATGCAGCAACACATCGTAACACCATGGGGTTGACGCTGTCACTACCGCGGTCCGTGCCAAGGACGATCCCAGTAGAGACGAGTGTGTCGCCAAACTGATGAAGAGAGACGACTGCCACCGGGCGCAGCCTGTGGGGTGGATGCGTTGATGAACTGCTAGGAACCAGCAGCTTGGATCTGGAGCTATATAATGTTATATATATATATATATGTAAAAAGGGTTTTCCTAATGGCTGGGGGTACCCCAAATCATCCAGCTATTGGGGTACCCCCATTTATGGTATGTGAATGCATATACTGTAATGAATCACTGGTGTTGACATCTGTTGGCAGGTTGCGTGCCCCATGCATCACCAGAAGTTCTGAGGCGAGTTTTTCCTCCTCTTCGGCACCAGTTTCGGGCGTCATTTGAGCTGCTGAGACTGCGCGTTTGGGGCCGCCCAGGGTGATTTATGTAATCTGCTGGGATAAGCAGAATACTCGGCCCAGCCACAAGGGTATGGTAGTTTTGTTCTTTGTTTTTTCGGGGGTCGCATGCTTCTCTCAGACATCAGATGTGAAACACATCTTGTATATTCATGTGTATCATATATGATTATATAATGTTATAATATTATATATATACACATTATATTTTATATACCTACACAATATCTACACAATATACCTATACAATAATATATCTATACAATATATATATATATATCCATCCATCCATCCATCGATCTATCTATCCATCCATCCATCCATCTATCGATCTATCTATCTATCTAGCTATCTAGTTCAGGGTGCAGCATGCCCACTATACTCCCTGTGGATGACCTTAGGCCTTAGCCTAATAGATGCACCTATACAACAAGGACCATTGCTGACCATATTGGTCATCCATGACAATCCGATTTTCCAGGGCTACACAGCTACACCCCCTGCGAAATAATGGGTTGGAAGATTAGCTTTCACTGAGTTTGAATAAGTTTAGTGTGTTTTTGTTCAACCTATAAATTTGATGGCGACCCATGAAGCACTCCCGTTTTCTTCGGTCCTTGTCACCTTGTCCTTTCCATGTGGCATCCTGGATGCCCTTTGGCCGCGGATCATTGGGGGCTGAGGTACCTTGCGGCAGGAATGGCTTCACAAGTGCTTGTGCAAGTTGAAGGCGCCAGGGGTCGACACGGATTCTTGGACGGATGGCGGTGGACTGTGGCCAGTGCCATAAATCATACCCGTTTTTGATCCAGTTTGACTCGTTTGGGGGTATTGAACTGTTCATGATTAGGTGTAAAGCATTGTGCAAGACCAAGGAAATTCTGAAACTCTCATGTGCAACGAGGGGAATCTGTAAAATACCAATGGGAAAATACCGAATCATTCGAGTTCCGGACATTGCCACATCAACAGATAAGCAAAGGGGCCGCCCTTCACGATGGCCTTGCAACTTTGAAGCATCGGGGATTTCCCACCCACCTAACTATGTCAAGTGTAGTCATGATGTGCTTCCACATTTTTTTACAACAACTTCAATTTCATTGCCCCCAGGCATTGATGATGAAGTTTCAAAAACTAGAAGTCACTGATTTTTCACTTCTTTCTTGCCAGTGCAACTGGCCAGAAAAGATGGCCTCAGGAATTCTATCACTACCACAAGCGCGGACCGATGCTGAGCCAAATCGCACGCTACGGGAAAGGCGACCCTGGATGGCGAGATGCTCTGCAAAACGCGCCCTGCCGCCGAGATGCCGCCGAGATCGCGGGGAGATAGCAGGGCACATTTTTTTAACACCAGTTCGGGAAGTTGTTGTTTTTTTTTAAATGGTATCAACAGTCATCATGGAATATTGAGCTAGTTGCCATTACAAAAACAACAATATGAGTTACTATTGTATTAACAATGAGCTAGTTACCGTTACTACAACTACTACAACAATATTGAGCTACTATTATTCTCATTCTTGTTGTAGTTGTTGTGATTGCTGCTGGGGTCAAAGTGATGGATGGCAACATGACTCTGCCTTGGCCGTTTTCCCTACCCGGTAGGGTAATTGAAATCGTAATTAATGGGCTTTAATGGGATAAAATCATTGATTATCATTGCTGCAGTATGGTAACTAATGACCAGAATCACGACTTCTGATAGGTAAATCATTTACTGTAACTGTTTTAACGAAATGGACCATGGCTTCCATAGCTATGTTACATTACGAGAGGGTAAGCAACCATCTTGAGATGAAAGCGTGTTCGGTACACATTGTGGGGTTCAAATTGGCATGCAACACCGAGCCGCAACCACCATTCAAAGCCTGGGGGAATGTGCTGGATTTGGTTATTTTCAGGACCGATAAGGTTTTTTTGATTCTTGATAGGGGGTCGGAATTGTTTGTCCAGAGGTGTTCGGAAATGTGTCGTAGGGTTTGGGGAGTCCGCTAAAAGTAGGATAGGATAGGTGTTCTGGATTTATAATGTAATCTAGGACATTATTTGTCACAATCCCGGCATTGTCAGTTGCAGCCCTTTCGGTATCACTTTCTGGAAGGGATTTGCAAACATTGAGCAGTCTCACCAGGGGGCTGGGGTCATACAGGTCAAGTTGTCTCCGTTCAATGTTCGGTCCGCTACATGCTGGTGACTTTCTCAACCAGAATACTACAGCACAGATACTCTGAATAACAAATCCTGTCCATGGAAATTGTAGGGAGCCCCCAGGCTGATGGGACCTCATTCCCATGAGCTTCACATCCTATTGGGTTTCCTTATGGAAGTAGTCTTTGGGTTCCATCAGCCAGGGGTTACCCTATAATTTCCCAGCTTTTCGGGAGTGCCATTGGCAGTAAATTACGGTTTCTACATGTTTTTACCATGAAATTGATTGGGATTTCCTGTAAATGTTCCCTGAATCCAATCCAATGATCTTCATTTCCTGAAGTAGCCATTTTCCCCGACATGACTTTCTCGCATCCGACCTCCGTCCTGGCCCTAGGCCAAAGGAGCGGTGCAGATGTACTTGTGGCACCCAACGACGCAGACGGACCTTCCCCCGGTGGGTTGTCGGTGAAGAGGGTGCAGATCTCGTCAAAAGCCGTTGATCAACGGCCCTTTGGTAATCAAACATGGCCAGCTGGAAAATGAAAATTTATGGTTTATAGCTGGGCAGATCATCTATAACTGGTTGGTGGTTTGGAACATTTTTGTTATTTGTCCATATATTGGGAATGGAAAATCATCCCAACTGACGAACTCCATCATTTTTCAGAGGGGTAGGTCAACCACCAACCAGATATGTTTCTATCATTAATAACCATTAATAACCATTAATAACCATTATATAATAACCATTAATAACCATTAATAACCATTAATAACAATTAACCATTAGTAATCATTAACCATTGATGAATATCCATGTTTGACCACCGGATGGTGGGATCACACTCCACCACTGGAAATCCACCACAAACCAACCAGTTCTTGTTGTCGGGACGAGGGTCGTGTTCACACTGTTCTGGCACTCTTCATCTACATGTCTGGTGGCTGATTCTATAAATCATTTGGTTGGTGGTTTGGGAAAATCATCCCAACTGACGAAGTCCATCATTTTTCAGAGGGGTAGAAAACAACACCAACCAGATAAGTCGAGGGAAGTTGCCCTACATCCGACATGGCCGTGCAGGAATTCCTGCAGAAGGCTTTGTGGTCCACCGAGCCTGAAGAGCACCTGGGACAGTTACAGGTGGATTATTACCTGGCTGTGGAAACTGTGGAAAACCACATTTCTATACATTTCTTATATATAATACATATAACAGGTATATTATCTATAAATGCTGGATTTTCCATAGCTATGATAGTTTTACCCTCCACTGGATGCCTCCTACCTGGACGTTACTGGAGGGTAGTCATGTTGTTGAGCCATTTTGATGGAGGAAGAGGACTCATATCCCCAAGGTTGGTGTTTGGTCATGGGGCCCGGGAGACGCACTGAGATACCAAACATGTTCCATCTTAATGTGTCTGAAATATGGGTGTATCTGGGAGTGGTGTTTTCACCCCCCAGGATCGCTGATTGAAATTAGGAAAAGTTATGATAATATCAATAAGCCATGAAACTTAATGGTATTTGCCTTATTTTCAGACAAACCCATAGTATAAATCCAAAGAGATATCGCCTTCCCATCTCATCAGTCGCCGATTCGTCGTTCGCATAGTGGCTGGGCAAATCAGCTCGTCAGCAAACCCTGCAGAGTGATTGGATTGATTCCTTGTCAGCAGGTTCAAGAAGCGATACTCGGTATCCTTAACCTGTTCTTATGCATGTAGGAAAAGCAGAAAAGAATGGAAAAGTGAAACCCTACTAGAATAGTCATATATAGTGATAAAATGAGCCTGTTCTAGTTTGTTCTATCTTTTGGGTGGTTGCTACATAATTAATAGTAATAATAATAGTAATAATAATATAAATATAAATAAATATATATATATATATATTGTCCTTGTATATTTTGTAGCCCGCTCCCATGCTGTGACCCTGATTGGTTGATGAATCAAGGTGACTCGATGGGTAAACGATGCAAAATTTCATCACCCGGCCCCTGATTTTTTCCAACAAGGACTGCATTGGTTGTAATCATTGTGTTCCGTTCCCCCTTCATATATATATATACATACTAAATACTATAAATACTGAGGTATTGTATGGATCTATTACGATTTATTCATTTTAGACTCTCAGGTATTGAAGGTATGAATCATATTAGAGTAAGCCGCAAGAGTATTCATAAAATGTCATAAACACCAGATAAAAACAAGCATAAGTTACCACCGTTTACCATCACATACCATCACTAAGTAGGATTTTCTAGGATTTTGACGGTTCTATCTTGGGGTTGCCGGGGGTTGCCTTAATTTATAACGGCGGCTGGCTGAAGGGAGGACGGGACGGGACAAGATCCTGAGGCTGACCCTGATCCCACGCCTGGAGTTTGCGGATGGCGTCTCGAGGGTCAGCGAGTTGTTGAGCATCTACCCGAAGGAACAAACCACCAAGGACCGGCCACGGGATCCCACGGGAAGGGAATGGGGAATGCACCAAGAAACAGGGGAGAATATAGAACATTGATGAACATTATAGAACCATGATTCGTATATTCGTGCTGTCTTGATCTAATCTGGATGGCTGAGTTTTTTGGATTGAACAAATGTGATATATACCAATATGGTTTTGTTTTTATCTCTCTATCTCTCTTGTTCTCTCTCTACATAAACATATACACACACACATTTGTGTATATATATATATGATACAGTATATGTATGTATGCCCTATTCCTGTATGAGGGGGACTATGTGGTACAGATTTTGCACATGGCAGACGACGTGAGCAATCATTATGGTTGAGCTTGGTTTCACAACTCACATTGCCACTTGGAGGAACATCCCGCTCATGAACTGCTTAGCAACTGAGGAAAGAAGCCACCTATAATAGGATGTCACGCCCCCACACGTACAAGGGACCTCCAGTTGCCGCAACTGGGTGGAGCCACAGCTTTTGTACAATGAGAAGCATCCAACATTAACCAAACATATATGTTGGGTGTTACCATCTGGTTATTTAACATAGCCATGGAAAATGGCCCATTTATAGATGATTTTCCCATTAAAACCTCCATTTATAAGGGATTTTCCATGGCTATGTTAAATAACCAGATGGTATCAAAAAATAACAATCAAAAAATATTCAACATGGAGGTGGTAGCCATGGTATTGGGCGTTGAACTGGTGAACTCTCACCGTTCATGGTGTCATTGGGTGATTCCATGATTATCTCTCTACTCTTCCATTATTATCCCATAATCAGAACATAACTATCCCATGGTTGTCCCATAGTAATCCCATTGTTAGTTATATATATATATATATATTATGGTCTAAAATGGTCTAAAATTAGTTTAATGGTCTAAAATTCCACCAGATCTTCTAAGCCCAATTTCGCCGAGAGCTCCAACGAGGACAACAGCTCGGACGTTTGGGGATGGGAAGTGATCCAGGCGCCGGGCTGTGAAGTCCCGGGTTCAACCAGCTTTTGGACCGGTCCAGAAAACCCTGGTTAATGATGGTTAATCATAGTTAATAGTGATTAATAGTGGTTAATAGTGGTTAATTATCTGTTTGGTGGTGACTGGAACATGGCTGGATTATGACTTTCCCATCATATTGGGTATGGAAAATCATCCCAACTGACTTTCGATCGCATATTTTTTCGGGGTAGGTCAACCACCCACCAGAAACCTTTCACCAAACGGGGTTTCCTGTGTAACCAATCCCATGGAGATTCCAGCGTGGTCACGATCCAAATTTGGTCCTTGAGTCGTGTGGTCGAAGGATCCTTAAATTGAGATGATTTTTTGAGGAACGTCCAGTGGTCGAACCCTCATTTTTAGATATTTTTTGAGTGAACACACAGGGTAACTAGGTTTTAAATGGTTTGTTTGGCCATGTTTGACCGGAGGAAATGGTGTTTTTGATGTCTTTTAAATCTTGGCATCGCTGAACGTACTTCTTTGGAGGCCAACAATTTGGCATTGGTGGGAAAGGTGCACAAGATTCAGATGCTCTGATTCAGGTAGCCTGTCCAAACGAGACAAGCTTCCAGATGCCCAAAAGGCCAAGATCAATGTTGTTTCCTCCAAGCCATCATGGTTTGCTTGGCATTAAGCACTGAAGCAATGGTGAGAGAGCTTCTGAAGACTTGGAAGCTGGAACAGTTTGTTGAGTTTTATATTTTATGATACTTTGTGTGTGTCAACAGAATATGACAACTGTGGCAACGACTTTGTTTTTGTGAGCTCCGTATGAAACGGAAATGAGCGTTAGCCAAGTGCCAAAAAGCTGTCAGTTTCCCTGAACATTTCCTGTGCCCTTTGGTAATCTAAGATAGCCATGGAAAATGGCCACGTTTAGTATGTAAATCATGGTGCTGTAAATCAACATCTACAAACACGTAATTGGACATATGATTAATATCCCTAATTCTAGGTGGTTGCGCTCCGTTTTGAGTTGAACAAGTGCAGAAATGTCCTCTACTCAGTTTAGTCTATTCAAGTCTTCAAAATTGGCCTTAAAAACATGGTCAGTTAGTTTAGAAGTTAAAGTCCTGAGAAAAATGGTTCATTCTTCAGAAACTCACCATATGTCAATGGAATTTCAATGAAATTTCAAGACTTCTAAACTGAAGGTACTGTACCACATAAGGCCATATTTGGTGAATATATTCCCAAACCCATAGCCCAAAATCTTAGAGGCCTTATATATGTCCCATATATATATATATATAAATGGCCATTGAATATTTCCAACGGTGAAACCCTCGTCAAAAACTCTCGTCTTTTTCGGTCGACACGTCACCAGTCACCAGCGAACTCGCAGGCAGCAGGCGCTTTCAGCGACATTGGACACGAGGTGGAGCGACGATTCGCAGAGTTGTCCCTTGAAAAGAAAGACAACGGCGGAAATGCGTTGTTGATCACAGGCGTCTTATGTGAATGTTTGCAGCATTTATCCATGTATACAATTATAATATGCATATAGTATGATAGTATGTAGATAGTATGATAGTATATATATATATTTATACATGTGTGTGTGTGTCTGTGTGTGTGCTGGTGTTTGAATGTAATCATGTTTGATGTATCTACATAGGCATGTCCAAGTTGTGTGTATTGGTTTGCTTGCCGTCCATTTGCACGCGTATATGTAGTGCAGATGTGTAAATACATATGAGATATAACACCTATTGGACCTATTGTTGTACTTTGTTGTTGTTTGGATCATTAAGGCGCCACAGAGCATAATGCTAGATTAGTGGCAGTGCAAGCTGGTTGTGGCGCTCGTGACTCCTACTGTTGGTCAGGATAGCTAGAGCTAAGGGTGATAGAAGAAAGCACGCATGCAGCACCCAACAAGCAACATCTACAACTCCTGAAAAAGTCCACCCAGAACCTTTCAAAGGCGTCCAGCAATTGCTGTTTCCCACCCGAGGATCAAATTTCAGAGTCCTTGGGGCGAACCCCAAGCCCAAAGCAAAGCAGCTCGAATCTAGCGGCTAGCGCTGACAAGAAACCAAGGTACCTCCATTCAAGTTTTTTTTTAAAAAAATCTCAACTTGAGACATTGAAAGCAAGATGAAACAAGGATATTTTTTGCATAAACGGAGAGTGTATGTGATTTAACCATCTTGGGACCTCGACACACACACACACACACTCATATACATACATGCATGCATACATACATGCATGCATGCATACATACATACATACATACCTTGTATGGCACACATGCATATATAAAAGACAATATAATACAATATGAGAGCTAATTATATTATAGTATATTATATTGTATTATACTTTCTTATACTATATTGTGTTATACTATAATTTTGTTATATTATATATTATGCTTTTATATTATTGAAACATATGTACTGTACATATGTTGTATCCATAACCTACACAATGCACAGGGCCGAAGGGTGCCCAAAATTCAGAACGCCGAACGCTCCAAGGCCTGAACCGAGTTTCTGCGATAAGGTGGATGATCCTGAGGCGAAGACCAGGGAGGAGACCATGGTTTTTGTATGTCTGATGTTCATCTATGTATAGCACATATATATATTTAGAGAGAGAGATATATATATATACTATATGTATGCTATTCAAGTTTGTGTGTGTGTAAATGTTAGTTTAAGTATCCTTGGGTTGTTTTCTCGGTGTGTTTGATCCTGATTTCAGTTGCTGAAACTAGGCGAAACATGTTGGAACCAACAATGTGTCTTGGAATAAACCATGCCAAACACCAAGTTTTGGGAAAAAAACACCTACTGTACCTGAACTATTAACCATCCTTGACCCATCAAGAACCTAAAGAAATGGTTGGTGGTTTGGAACATGAATCAATCATCCCAACTGACGAGATCGCATAATTTCAGAGGGGTTAGCAGCAACCACCAACCAGAAATGTTTTCATCATTAATAACCATTAATGACCATTAATAACCATTAATAACCATTAATGACCATTAATGACCATTAATAACCATTAATAACCATTAATAACCATTAATAACCATCAATAACCATCAATAACCATTAATAACCATTGTTGGGACCATAAAGGCACCATGAATCTTCTCGTTGGGACGCACCAATAAAGGTGGAGACGCTACTGAGCGCCCTGGGGCGCTCCGACAACGCTGCCAGCGCCATGAAAGTCCTGGGACCCCACGCGGGGAAGGTGAAACAAGCCAAGGAGGCAGTCGCTTGGAGTCTGAGGACTTCTGACGCGACTTCCTGGGAATTGGAACGTGAATCAGATTAGGAGTGATTGGAAATGGGCTGGAAATGGGCACGAAGGAGTTTCTGAGTTTCTGAATCACAGTGATTTATGTCCCCATTTAGGAGTTGGTGAATCAGATAAGATTCGGCTAGCCCTTTCCAATCAGCCATGGATTCTAAATCATCTATTTTCCATGGTGATTTTTCCATTACAAACCCACCAGCTATTGGGGATCCATTTACCCTCTGGTTATTTAACATAGCCATGGAAAATCACCATGTTTGATAGGTAAACCATCTATAAATGGGCCATTTTCCATGGCTATGTTAAATAACTAGAGGGTAAATGGAAACCATATGGAAAAAACATATGGAAAATTAGAGAATTGATGGGAATTCATTCACAAAATATTAGGTTTTAGATAGTTGTTCAACTGGAGGTCGGCTCCAACTGGCGATGATGGTTTTTTCATCCTGGCAATGATGGTTTCGCCAAGAAAATATGAAGGGGTCGCAGTACTTGGATATTTGTTGTTAACAACTTAGACAAAAACCAATGTTATATGCATGTTACATCCTGAATCGAGGAAGAATGCCGAACCCGGATGAACGAAGTCTGTTGATTAGTTCCCCCAAGAAATGAACATATGCCATGCACTTAAATGGGGGCTACCATGTTTGCAAACCGGCGGGGTGCTTTTTGTCCTGGGTTGACATTGGCCGACGAACAGATTAACTATGGAAAGTTACGTACAGTTGTATAAGGTCAATTGAACTCCAAAGTTAGTTGCACACATCGTAAAATTCCAGTAAGTTAGAACTGGTCAGTCCCCTACCCCATATGCTCCATGTATGGAATATTTACCAACATTTACCCTAAAAATCACCCAAATGTAGGTAAATATACCATACATGGAGCATATGGGTACAGTATGTTCCATCACCCTGTTATGAGCGAATTCAGCCAGCTGCCCCCTGCGAATTCACCGATGCCCGACATATGCCGGACTGAGGTCACCAAGATGATTTCACAGCTCAGTCCACCACGTGCTCGAGCAACTTGGGCTGAGGTGGCAGGCCTCCCAAAAATGTCAGAAACAAATGAGGCCCGTTCAGAATGGACTCCTGAAATTGTGATTTCGACCATTTGCTATATTCATATGGTATATATATATATGTGTGATATATATATATGGTATCTTGAAATTGTCTTTGGGATGTTCTTTTTCTTTTCGGTGTTTATTCGATATATCGAAGATGCAATCCTGAAGGGCCTGAAGGGTCATGCCTTTTCGGTGAAACCCATGGGAATTGGTGATTTTTCTGATGGATTCAAACCACCAAACAACTGATAGTTGCCAAAAACGGGGATGGTGCCACCATCATCATCATCATCATCGTCGCAAAGTATCTCTATACTTTCTCGATTAATACACGCACATACCACCTGCACGCGCATCCTTATGCGCGCACATGACATATGTTCTGCACTTTGTTTAGGGTATATCGATGTATGTTGGATGTTGAAATCAATTCTACAAGAGGTGGTGCCCAAACGCCACCGTCAGGTGCTGATCCGCCAAGTGATGCTGCCCAAGAAGGCTGGCGTTGGCTTGCAAGTCGCAGGCGCCTCGCCAGGGGGAGGTGTGGAAGTCGCCATGGAAATCGTGGAATTTCTGGCCATCATTAATAGGTAAACCATGGTAAACCCACTATTCAGATGGATAATTTTCCGTGGATCTGTTAGATTGCCAGGACTGCTTAAGAAGCCATGTAATGATGTTCATGTGTCAGTGGTGTTGCATTCCATGGTATACTATTTAGATGTTGGTAATCATTCTGTTTAATGAACTAGTGTAGATATAAACTAGTGATGATGCCCCGAATGGTACTGGTGTGTTTCTGGTGGATATCGGTTGGCCAATTCAGAATATACAATTGAATATGTCCCTATCTGGTTGGTTGTTTAGCTTTTCATTTCAAACCATTCTTGGGGTGATGATTAAAACCTATTCATAGGATTTCATAGGCCGACCGTGGCCAAGCGTTTTCAGACACTCCTTGCTGAGTCATTTACGATGGTCCCAACCGATGAGCAGTTGTAATCACTAGGGAATGGCTGGGGGTTGAACGACCAACGAGTTGTTGGCTATATCCCCATTAGCCGCTGGTAATCAGTTCCATGGCAATGGAAAATACACCATTTATAGACATTTATAGATGATCTTCCCATTAAAAAACAATTAAACCCATAAATTTATGAGGGGATCTTCCATTACATCAGCCATGATTTTCCTCGTCACACGGGATTTTCCATGGAGAATACGAAATATAGAGAGATATCCCGCCATGATTCTCCCTTTTGAAAAATCCCAAGTATTGCATCATGATTGATTCATATCAATTATCCATAATATCCATAGTTATAGCACCTGAAAAATGTCTGGTTGGTGCTTTGGAACCATGGAATTTTTAATGACTTTCCATATGCAGTATTGGGAATGGAAAATCATCCCAACTGACTTTCGCATATTTTTCAGAGGGGTAGGTAACCATACCACCAACCAGAAATGTTTCTATCATTAATAACCATTAATGACCATTAATAACCATTAATGACCATTAATAACCATTAATAACCATTAATAACCATTAATGACCATTAATAACCATTAATGACCATTAATGACCATTAATGACCATTAATGACCATTAATAACCATTAATAACCATTAATAACAATTAATGACCATTAATAACCATTAATGACCATTAATGACCATTAATGACCATTAATGACCATTAATGACCATTAATAACCATTAATAACCATTAATAACCATTAATCACCATTAATGACCATTAATGACCATTAATAACCATTAATAACCATTACTCACCATTAATCACCATTAATCACCATTAATGACCATTAATGACCATTAATAACCATTAATAACCATTAATAACCATTAATCACCATTAATGACCATTAATGACCATTAATGACCATTAATAACCATTAATAACCATTAACCAACCCATCATTAACCATATAATAACCATATATTAACCAGAGGGGTAGGTCAACCACCAACCAGATGTGCATTTCACCATCTTAAACTGATAAAAGAAACCACGGGTGAGGTCGATGCCGGCCAGGTTTGAAGAAGATCGTTGACCTGAGGATCCCTGATCCGCATCTCGGTCCGGAGGAGGGATTGGAAGGGAACCTGCAAGCGTCACTGCCTGTCACATCACATCAGAGGATGGTTTGAACATGTTTGAAGAGTATTTAAGATGTATAAAGTCTATAAAGTTGAGACCACCAACCAATTTATATATATATATATAATTATCAATTTTATAACTGGTTGGTGGTTTGGAACATGAATCATATTTTCCATATGTTTGGAATGTCATCATCCCAACTGACTTTCATATTTTCAGAGGGGTAGGTCAACCACCAACCAGATCATCACTTTAAGAATCTAAACATGGAACTGCCTCGCCTTAGTCCGATTGATGATCCATGTTTGTTTCGCTCGATTAAACTTCATGTTCGAATCCATCATAATTACCCTCCGGTAATTTGTCACATAGCGACATAGAAAATGGCCCATAGAAATAGTTGATTTGCCGAATTGAAAGATGGTGATTTTCCAGTTCGCAAACTGTTAGTTTACCAGAGGGTAATCCATCAACCAGCAGCTGTTATATTACTTTTGTTAGCTAAATACTGTTAGGAAACACTCATATGTACTTATACTAATCCATCATAATCCACCATAATCCATCAATAATCCATCATAATCCATCATAATCCATCAGAAAATCATCATCATAGTCATAATCCATCATAACCAATGGATCATCCATCATCCATCAATAAAACTCCTAGCCTTTCCCCAAAATCAGGTTGGAGCTCTACACGTATGTCTGGCGCAAGGGTGAGTGCCAACGAGATGTGGCAGGTGACCGATTTTTAACCTCGAAATGCTGGTGACCGACATGGTGACCGATCCTTTAAGGTAAACCTACAAAAAGCTATGGAAAATGGTTAAAATCAATGGAAAATCACCATTTTGAGTAGCGAAATCAACTATAAATATCTATAAATGGCCATTATCAATAGCAAATTGTTTGTTGACCACAGGGTACTTCTTGAGGAAAAAAGGGGGAATCGCGAAAAACTGGTTTCAAATCAGCTTGGGGTAAAGGTGAGAAACATGATTCATGTCAAACTTAAATAGCAGTAGATTTTTTCCAGATGGGATTAAACATGATTAAGCAAGATGGCAAACTTGAAAAAACTCGTTGATTAGGGGGTAATCCCCGCCCCAGTGATCAACAAAGAAAAGGGGCAGCCCCATCCACAGTTGACCGGCCACCAGCTACTTGCTCGAGTGCACTGGTGGGATGTAGGATAGATACAAAAACATGATATGACATACCCAAAAGGGTTACTACTATAGATAGTCAAAAGTTTTTGTTGGAAATGCATGTTAATTTACTGGAGAGAACCTTCCGTAATCAAACATAGCAATCGACATTAATTGACAACCACCCATTTACTGTAGTTCGGCTTGTCCAGTAAATCTCCGTTTAGTTCAGGGATTTTCAATTGCAGCGTTTGATTACAGGAGGGTAATCATATGATAAGTTATAAGAGTCACGTTTTATGTGCAGTTGCTTTGCCAATGGCATACAACCAAATCAATTGGCCAACCACCATATTTTCCCCATTGAAATTGCACTTGTTTTGGTAGAAATATGTGTTTCAGCCCTAGTAACTTCCAAAAAGATTGAGAAGTCATCTCATTCATTCCTGTTTGAAGTATGTAATGTTGCTAAAACAATGCCATAAACCACCCACGACTGGGAATGGTTCATACCACCTAAAAAAATGGTGATGACTGGGGGATGGTTTGTTATTGTTTTACCCATATTATATACTATTTTTTACATCTCCTTCAACCTGGGAGATTGCAAACGGCATGATTTTCTTGGGCATTTGGCAGGCAGCATTTTGTCCAAAGTGGCCACCTCCAGCGAGTTCAAACCCGAAGATGTGCGTTGCTCGGCGCGGCGTGGCGCTGTTGCGATCCCAAAAAACGCGCGGGACCCGGCGCTGTTGCCCTTTTTTTTGTTCGAAGTAGTCTTCCAACCCTAGGCTTTCGAACCCCCAAAATCTTATGGCAGGGTCCATGTTCTTTGGAAGGATGGTAATAAATAAAATTGAATAAGATTAAAATGATTAAATAAGATTGAATAACTATATGGTCATAATTACTGGGGCCCAACTGGGGTCAAAATCCCATGGTGGTATCGAACAAATCCAACCCAATTGTATTGAGTAGGAGATCGGGGGTGACGAAACCCCCAAACCAGCATCATTGTGACGTTCCTGGAATGATGGTAAGATTAACTACCCCAGGATGGCTTTAATTGCTTTAATTCAGGTCCGTGAATTATTAGCATTCATCATTCAGCCAGAATGTTGATGAACAATCCATGAGTGCCGGTCAATTTCCTTGGTTTGGCGTTTGTCAAAGCGGCAACCGTGTTGTATCCGTCGCATCTACAAAAATCTTAACTTTTCCCACATGGAAAGAAGATGGAACAATTAGAAATATATATTTTTTGAACGAAACAATCTATATAAGTTTGCCATAGTTTGCCTCTTTGTTTGCTAGGCTGACTTTTTCAACATATTTTTTTGGAACATACTATGTCTACTTCTGAAAACAACACATTGCATTAATTTACACTAGATGACTAGTTCTTTCTTCATCTTGGAGAAATCCCCAGTTGTTCTCAAACCTTAAAGTTGTTAAAGGTCTTACTTTGATGTTCTTTGGCTGCTCCTCTCAGGAAAATCATCGGAAATTCAGGCAAAACCATAAGTCTCCATCCCATCTTCCGGGGTCTTCGGAGCGGAGGCATCTACTTTGAGTACTTTGATCGCACCGACAACCCCGACGACCAAGCGCATGTGGCGCAGATCTTGTTGGATCAACTCCTCGAACAACCTGAGTGGGTGCTGCCCTACCTTCCCAAGGTGAGTGACATATGACTGGAGATACCCTCAAAATGTGTCATCAAAACGTGGCGAGCTTGAAATCTCCTATAAATGCAGGTTTTGGTGGGAAAATCATCTACAAATGGCTGATGTTCCATTGCCATGCTGGATTACCGGAGGGTTTTTGTGGAAGTGTTGTGAATCAACTGAACCGGTGACTGGTTGTTGATTCTTTTTTCCTCTTCTACTTGGATATGTTGAGGAGTATCATTGTAAAAAAAAACAACAACCAGAAATCCCAGAAATCGAAAAAACCTTCTACTTGTTGAGTACCATTCTCCTTGTAAAAAAATATGCAAAAGATATCGCTATTTTTTTTCTGTATCCTGAGCCTCAGATGGCAGAAGTGGATAGTGCTCCGATCTGTTGAACAACGGTGAGCATGTCCTATGTCCCTTCTGGCCTTGGTAAAACTCCCATGTTTCTTGCTTAAATTCACTAAATCACTATGTATTCATAGATTTTTTCTTGGTTAAAGCAATGAATCCTCACCAAATTTTGGTGACTGATCCTAAAATCACCCCAGTGAAATACTGTGGATGGTTGCGAAATCCTGCGCCAACTGTGGAAGAAATCCTGCACCACCAAAAAAATGGTTGAAAGCCAAGAATGGGATGTTTACCACCTATCAACTGGTGATTTCGCACCACCAAAATCCACAAAATCCTTCGCAGTTCTACGAGGTAGTTTCGAAACTGGCCTTGGTGCCTGGCGCCACCCAGAAATCCGTCTCAGCATTGAAGACCTGCACCTCCAACGTGACCCGGCCACCGGAAGCAACGTGATGGGGGAATCCGAATGGCAGGCTTAGAGTAGACGTAGCTAGATCATGCTAGATCCATTTTTTTGCAAATAGATCTTAATAAGTCTAATTTGATACATAATTACTGTAAAGTTATATAAGTTATATATATAACTTATATTAAATATGTTATCTATATATATATATGTGATGATACATATGTTATATATATATATTATTTATATTGATACATTATATATATATGTATATGTGATGATACATATGTTATATATATATTATTTATATTAAATACAATATATATATATAATTTATCTTGAGTACATTAAATATATTATATATCTATGTGACGATAATATATATATATATTATTTATATTAAATACATCGTATATATATATATTTATCATGATGATGATGATGATGATATAATATATATATATATGATGATATATTATATATAATATATACACACTATACATACATATATTTGTGTGTGTTTGTGTGGATAATATACTTTCCAATTACACATGCAACCAAAATGTGCACATCAAAATGGTCTACCCGTTACCCATCAAGTTTTAAACCTTAGACCTCGAAAATCATCCATCCCCCTGAGGTGTCGGACGTGGTCGAGGCACTGACCACCATCATCATTTGCTGTCGCTTGGCGACGCGCACAGACCCGAAGCTGAACAAAGAGGGCACCGATGGAGCCTTGGAGACCGTCCCTTTTCCGTAAGGAACACACCATGTGCCAAATCCTGCATCCACCCATATAATATATATATATATATGCATGTCATATATGCTATATAAACTTAAAGATTAGCACTATGTCAATAGGAAACAACCTATTCATATTGGCGAGAAAATCGGATGATGCAACAAAAGTCCAAGCTGATTCATTCGATTGTTTGTGTGTGCGTTCATAAGTTCAGGGAAACATGGATTGTAGGTGAGGTGTAACAGCGTAGAATTCCTGAAGCCCATAGCCTTCTATCGGCTGACACCGCTCTTCTAGGGGACCTAGCCACTGTCCAGCTATTCATGATCTGACTTGGGGATAAAATTCTGCATCCAACCTGGATTTAATATAACTAATTGATAAATTATTGTGGATATAATATATGTAATATTTGTTTTAAAACCTGGAATAATTTCTTATATATTTATGGGATATGTTTTTATTTTCCATTGATGATTACACTAATCCGCCAGAACTGGTGAAACCTGCTGCTGGAAGAGCTCCATTAAGGACGAGTTTTGGCGGACTTGATCAACCTTCATTCCTTCAGCATTTCGGCCGCCAGTGTTTTGATAAGGGGGCTTAGGTTGACCCTCCAAATGTATGCAAGTGGTGAAATATTGTGAAAAAAAAGGTGAAATGCATGTGCGGATATGCAACCAGACAGCATTGATGCAAGTATATTTGTGTTTATAGTTCTGCATCGCTAAGGAATATATGAATATATATATATATACATAGATAGATATACATCGGTAGATGGATAGATAGATAAGTTGATAGGTAGAATAGATCGATAGATCGATAGATAATCAAACAGACACACAGACAGATAGATAGATAGATAGACAGACAGATAGATAGATAGATTGTTAGATAGACAGATAGATATTCAACAAATGTACGCATACTTTGCATTTCAACCATGATGGCCATTGCCAAGTTGCACGGGTTTTTGTTCTCAGCTGATTCAATCGGTGCATCGGTGATCTCCTGTTGTGTTTTTTCACCGGATCAGAGAGTTTAACCAAGGCGAATCCATTTTTCATTTACTCAGAATGGATCATTTTTTTAATCTATGTGGGTATGGGTCAATTTTTTTCAGACCTGGACCACAGATGACTTAGTCCATACTATTCATATACTATTCATATTAACCATCTTATTCATACCATCCAATGATGTGGGTACCTAATCAATTGACCACTCATGCGATCCATTGATTCGATATGATCCCTTTTTAAAGCTCCAGTTCCAAGACTAAATTAGGTCTTTAGGCCCCTAGGAAACCTAGGATCACCTAGAGGCCTCGCATCAGGGGTTCCAAAAACTGTCCTTGGAGCACTGGTCACCTGAGGAGCTGACAGTGATCTGTTTACATGCGCGGCTTCCCTATGTTACTAAAGCCGCAGAAATAGAGTTTTTTTTAACAACACCTATGATTTTTGGGTTACATCATGTTGGGTCAACCGTAGGGGTTTGCCGAAGCAAACAAGGTTTCTGAGCTCGTGACCATTGGGGGGGGGGGGTGGGGGGGGGGGGGGGGGGGGGTGGGGGAGTAATAACGTTCAGGCAGCTTGCGTTCCATAGAACTCATTATCCAACATTGGAATAGCTGTCCGTGGGGTGTGGGGGGGTGGGGGGGGTTGGGGTGGGGTGAAGAGGGGCCCTAGCGTCTACTTCAAGATCAGCTAAGGCGTCTTCCCCAATGACAGCACTATTTTACTTTCAGCCTGTTGCCGGTCAGTGCTTGTCCACAGGGTTACTCTATATACCTCTTGAGCCTTGAAGGGCGCATATAAATGTGCTCAATACTCATGCATGTACCTCTATAGGTATTAGGTCGAAACAAAAACATGGGGGGGGAAATTCGAACAATAGCACCAAACATTCGAACAATTCATCGAAACTCAACATGGCTCCGAAGGAAATCTAACTATGCTGTTCCAATAAAACACACAACTTTATTTCTCTTTCCAACAAATCACAAGTTCAAAAATCCTGCTAATTTTTCCGCGGGATCCCGCGAAAAAATCTTGTTCGCAAAACATGAACCTGGTTCAAACAATCATCCCTTATCATGCAAACTTCTTGCAAATGCTAATGTGAAACCAATGAAAAAGACTGAAAATACCATGAAATTTCCTCCTACTAAACGGCTGCGGATGGACATACATGATCTTAACATATGTTACCCTTCTTGCAAACTCATTCCGACTCACGGCAACCCCCCCCGGCAAACCCATCATGTTGCATCTCCATTGTTTTTGAATATATCGTTACATTAGAACCCCATTACAGTATTTTAGATTATATGCCCTTTATTTAACATGTTTGCTGGAGAACATGATTTCCCAATTGCCTTGGCTTTGATCGTACCGTGCTCCTCATCCCCTCCTCCTTTCCTATGGATGATTCAAGTGATATCTCCATTGTTTCAGGTAACCTAACATCTCCATTTTGCATAATGACCAAAGGGCTCAATTAATACTATTATTTATATATATATTATGACTTGACAAAAACAAGACTAGTGCACCCAACAAAAGCTTGTTTATTCAGAGTTTTGACCACTTGCCAATGGTAGCCACAATCCAAAATCTAACCCACAAAAACTGAGTCATTAAGTCCATGTGAGTTGAGTCATTAGCTTCCATTGAGTCATTAAGTCCCTTGTTATTGACCCACAAGACCCTAATCCAAAATCAAAATCCAAAAATTGGGTCATTAAGTCCAATTGGGACTCATCAACTCACATCCCGTGGATTTTCCAGTTTTTTTCTAGTTCCCATGTTCTCAGCAGTTTTTTTCGGAGGCAACTTCTCGGATATCGTGAACTGCGTGGGGCGCATGGCGGTGGACGAATGTGAGCCGCAGACCCTGAAAGCCTTCTTGGCTGAGGCGCCGTGATGGTGATCCCAGTTGGACCATTTTTTGGTTGAAATTGCCAAGCGGAATGGTCAGAATAGGAATGAATAGGGTATTGAATTATATATATATACGGGGATACAATATGATACAATGGTTTTATGTTGAAAGAATTGTTTTTTTTTCTTGGGCAATTCTATGGGAGCGAAAGCATCAGGCATTCGAGACTGAATTCTCAATATCCACCATGGGACGGAATGGGGCCCCTATATAACGAGTCGTTTGGAACGAGTAGATCGGTCAAAACCTACATGAACATGAACGTGTATGTAGGAGGTCTAAAATATATAATATTTTGTTGTGTATATATATATATATGTCTAATATATGTTTATATCAAATAGTAAATTTATATATATATATATATATATATATATCATATCATATCATATCATATCATTTAATATCATATCATATGTATGTTTATTTGCCAACATGTGGGTAGAATCGAAGGGGATGGAGTTGGCACTGGACCAGAGATGATAGGTAGATATGGGTGAAAGAAATGAACAATTTGAACCAAAAAACAATGAGACATTTTGTGTGACTCCAGATGAATGAGTAGCACACAATCAAATATGATGAGATTGGCAAAACCATGATTTGTGGATATAGCCCAAGCATCCAGCTTGAAGTGGGTCAACTGGCATAAAACGTTGCTAGCCTGGGTCCCCGATACCTAAGTTAATAAACAGCCGATTAAGTTGGTTGAACCAACTAATTCAAGCGGGTTTAAGTATGGTTGATGTCAGATAAATCCGAAGACCTCCTTTTTTTAAGCAACAAACTTTGCAGAGGGGGGCACCACCCTTTGCACCCACCAGCTGGCTGCACCATACACTGCAATTGGCTACTGATTTCCTTTGCCATATTTTTTGCTATATATATAGATATAGATATCATTATCTGTAATGAGATAGATAGATAGATAGATAGAGAGATAGATAGATAGATAGATAGATAGATAGGTAGATAGATAGATAGATAGATAGTTAGATAGATAGATAGGTAGGTAGGTAGATAGATAGATATAAAGATATATTAATTAGATAGATAGATAGATATATATATATACACATATTAATTATATCTATGTGTCCCTCCAGTCATTGCTCTTGCCATGTGTCCCCAGCGCTTTGCAGCTTCGCCCCGTCAAGACACGGCAGGTCATGCGTCGCTGGCGCGAGGATGCCAGCAGTGGCAACAGCAGCGCTCGCGCCTGCCTGACGCTCGTTTCGCTCGTTGCGCTCGTTGGACGTTGGTCGACGTAAAGGTATGTAAAGGTGCCCCGTTGATTTTTAAGATGATTGGAGGTTTAATGCTATGGTTATCTATGGTTCATGGTTATAATTATGACATGCGATTTTTTTTGGGAACGACAAAAGAAGGGCTGCTAGGTTTGTTCGGAAACAAACGGAACCAACAACAAGGTGACATTTGATGTGGATAAATTGGGGTATATGGAAGCAAAAATGGGTCAGTCTCACCTGTTGAGATGGCGATGGAGAGAGAGAGAGAGAGAGACAGAGACAGAGACAGAGAGACAGAAGCAAAAATGGGATGGAATGAGGATATAGCTACATTATATGCAAGAAAATTGCTATTTGGCAGGGGTTTTAGACTAAAGCATCAAGTACATATGGATATTCCTCACAATTAGGGATCGGCAAACTGCAAGAACTGAGACGGTTAGACTGCACTACCCAATGCAGGGGCAAATCAATTTGAGCCAGAGCGATATGAGTGTTCCAAAGTGCGTGGGTCAAAAAAGACGCTGGAATACCGGCTTCCCTGAACATAGGTTACCCCAAATAATCATATTGTTCTTATTCATTTTCTTTTGGGTGACATCTACCGTTCTTAGACTCCCATTTGTGAACTGTATATGCATCTAGTCTTAATAATATCCACTAATCCTATCTAATCCTTATATGTGTTCATGATCATGAGTTTAAAGTGCCCATTTTCTTTGCTAAATCAAGCAAAAAATCATGGAAACTGCAGCTCAGGACTTGTGCCTTGACTGTGTGGGTGAAACTGCTACGACCTGGTCAGCAGGATACTTGGGTGCGGCGCCCCAGATCTGGGAGAACAACCAGGATGGGTAGTTGCGGGTAGCTGCGGGTAGCTGCTAAGTGTGTGAGTGAATCTGTTGCTGTAAATGGGGATTTACATGATATGTGTATATACCCACACTGTCCATTTATATATATATATATGTTCCCATACATGCCGACCAGCTAAAAGCATGTTGTGTTTGCAGGTACCCACGATTGACCATGCAAACAGACATTGAATGATTTCAAGGTTGTTATACACATATACAGTAGATGATTTGTTGTGTTTGTTTAGCTGACTTGTGTAGCCTACTTGTCTAGCCTGTTATTTTTGCGTTTTTAATTTTAATTCCCGGTGGTTTCAGGTGTCAACCGTTCTTTTCGTTTGATCAAAAACTGCACGTTTGCACAAGAACACATGATATATATATATATATATTGTAATTAGATCAGATACTTACATGAAACACACGCACACACACACACATATATATATCATATTCATATGCATGTTGTATTGGCATCCACATACAGCACTCATCTCTAACCCAAAACACTGCTGAAGAAGATGTTCCCCGAGGTGAAGGAAATCTCGGCCATGGAAGAGCGCCTGATGACGGAGGGAAACTTCAGCAATTTGGACCAGTTCGCCCAGGCAGGGTTAGTTAAAGCCATCCATGTCGTTTTCTGACATGAAATTAGCTGGTGGTTATGGAGGTTCATTTTTCATATAATATTTAAATAAATAAATAAATATATATATATAGATATATAGATATATGTGCTATGTGATAGGTAGTGAACTGCTAGTGACCCATCCTCAGATCATGCCAGTTGTGTTAAACATGGATTGTTCCCATGTTTACGATGTGAAAACATTCAGCACATTAATTGGTTCGAGATATTTGCCATAAACTCACGTCGTGACCGAAGCCTGGAATCATGGTGAATGTGTAGGGGCATCCAGGCAGCTGGCCCAACTTTTCATAACTTTTCAGGTTCGTGAACTATTATGATTTATCCAGATATATCACGATAAACCATCCAACTATAGATATACCCATTATATCCATTGGTGATTATCCATAAATAATGAATATCCCTAATATCCCTATCATCAAAATAAGGACTTAGTTATTAGATGGCACCTCCTTCCTGAGACATCGATGATCAGGCCTTGGCCGGATATGTGCCTGGCATAGGCCTGTCTCCTGATGATGCTGGGCGAGATCCCTCATCTGAGTGAGGCACCATTAAACAAATTGGGATTTGATGGGAGGCTAATATATAGATTAAGTGGGATAATTATATAGATATATTAATGGATATGACTACTGTAGGTGAAAAAACATTTCAATCAACATATACAAAATGATACAGTATGATATCAGCCGTACCTTTTGGACATATTCGGGGTAGGGAGATTTTGGGGAGGCTGTGTTATTTGCACTTTGGTTGTTCCAAGGGGTGGAGCCTCCAGGAAAGAGATGGAAGGATGATGACCGCTTTCCCATCGTTTTCCCGTGGCTGTTTCATCGTTAATTACATGTAATGTCAACCCTAGGATTTTTAGAAACCCCTTTACGGCTGTTTTTCATTGGGAAGGCACCATTGAAGTATCAAATCATGACTCTTGGGGGAATACCACCCTAAATCATAAAGCATGTTTTTTTTTCATGTGGTGTTGATATTACCCAATCAACTCACCAGAAAGAACTCCAAGATCTACACTCTGGTTATTTAACATAGCCATGGAAAATGGCCCATAGAAATAGATGATTTTCCCAGCTAGAAACTTCCATTTATGAGGGATTTTCCATGGCTATGTTAGTCATAACCAGATGGTATGACCTAGGAATGGGACCAGATGCTGGCGGTGCTGCGCGGGCTCTTCGTTCGTCTCCTGGACGGACCGTTCCTGGTGAACACGGAGGCCGCCGAGGACAAGAAGCCCTCCGACGAGACCTTCAAGAAGGACGCCTGGGTAGCGGAAACCGGGGATCCAGATTTCCCCTTAATGGGATAATGGGATTATATTGGGATATATATATATATATACATTACATTTATTTATTTATATAAATATATATATATATGGATTACAATCCAACTATTTGAGTCAATCTTGTTGGGGAAGCCCGTAAGAGTGCCCCCAAATGACATGAGACGACGTGGCGAATCCGGCGAAGCTGGTGGTATGTTTCAATTCCATGCGAAGAACGGAAAACCACATCGTTCACCGGAGTACCAAAAGTACCCTCTGTTAAATTAACATTGAAAATAGCCTAGTTTTAATCGAAACTAATCTTCCAAACCAGATGACTGCCAGGGTCGAACTGTTAATTTACCAGAGGGTAAATGTTATGACTGCGAGTCTTGGATGTTTAAAAGCGTTTGAAACATTTGTTTTGATGTCGCCTGGGAGGAAAATGATGCCAACCAAGATCAACCAATTTAATGTGGCAAACCCATCATCTTTGTTTTTGTAGAAGAAACAACTCACTGGTAAGATTACCCTCTGGTAATTTAACATAGCTATTGAACATGACCATTTATAGTGAGTTTTCCCATTGAAAAGGGTGATTTTCCATAGTTATGTGACAGTTTACCGGAGGGTAGGGATCAGTGATGTGTGTCGTTTGTGCGAATACATCGCATGGCAGGAGAACCAGAGTCGCGAGACCTGCCGATTGGATCTGATGGTGGATTACTGGACCAAGTTGTTATCCCATGGATGCTCCGAACAAGAGTTGCTCGCAACGCGAAGTGTTGCAAAGTTTGGGGACAGGGTTGGGGGATGTGGGGGGTGTTGGGATATGTTGGAGTATGTTGGGTTGGAGGGTGAAGGGTTTGGGGGTTGGTTCGCAAAAAATCCGAAGTGAGTTTAGAACATGCAGCAAAAAGGGAGCCTGCAATCAGTTCCCAACACTGATCTTACACAACTTGTCATCTCAGGTCCAATGAGCTCTTCAGCCGTTGTCCTGCCACTTGGCTATTGCCCACAGCCTGGTGACATGGAGATGGAGCTAGGGGGTCGAAAGCCAACTTTTTTATCTGGCGATGTGTTTGCCTGACTACTTCAGGGAGGGACTTAAAGTGCAACTAGATACAACATTCAACTTCTGTGGGGTATCCAAAGTCATCGGGTGGCTCGCAAGTAGCTCCAGTCACAGTCTTTGGCACTTCAGAGTTCAAATGGTTTTGGAATTTAATTTGAATCCGTGCTTCTCCATTTTTGTTGCTGTGTTCGAGTCCTGAATATTACTCAACTCAAGGTCAGGATCGGCAGTTTGAAATCGGAGGTTTTGCATTGAAGGGAACTATCCTCGTCAAAAAAACCAGAGTTATCCAGGGTTCCCGCCGTTGGCGCTCAGGAGAAGTGGAAGGTGCGGTTGGCTCAGAGTCTGATGCTGGGTTTGCACAGTCCCCGTCCGATGTCAGAGCCAGAAACCCAGCGAAACCATTGGAAAAATACCTTGATTTAAGCAACAAAGATATGGGATTTAATGGGTTTTCTGATTTGTAGCTGATTCATTAGCTAAGTGTACTTATAACTTATGCTTTATGCATTTGTATACGGCTATATGGTTAATGGGGGTTAGAAACCAACTCATAACTGAGGCGCCTCACGTTGTACGTCTGTCTGTGTTCAAAAAGTGTTCAAATCCTACTATCACAGGATATCACATGTATCATTTCACCCTGTTAATATAATATAATATAATAGGATATGATATAATATAATATATATATATACACAATATAATATATATGTGGTTCCGAAGCTTGTGAATGTTCCATTCCTATCTGGATGATCGAGGATTAACTCCTGGTGGAATCGGCATCAAGAAGATTCCGCGCGCGAGAGTAAACAGGCTCGGGCCGCCGGAGATTCCCATGGCTACCCCGCTTGGCATCGAGTGATTTTGGAGTCACCGGAGTGGCTTTCGTGATGGGAGCCTGGGATAGGAACTGGGATAACTATGGATAACTGGGAACCTCAACCAGTGGTGCTTCTTGCATCAACTTCTTCTACATCTTATACTCCTGGCTGAGGCGGCTTTCCAGCAGGAGCGCCCTGATGGAGGATGGCAGCACAAGGGGGGCAAGAAAGTCTCCGATATTCAGGTGGTGCTTACTCAGGGGAACTGGGTGGATTTGCTGCGCAAGACAGCGGGGCCGATTTGTTTTGTGAACATGAGTTGATAAATGTTGATAAACGCTGGATTTGAATTCATATTAGGCGCAAGTTTGGCTGACTCTCAAAGTCTCTCATGACACCGATGTCCCCTGATTTGGTGGTCGGCATTCAGATTTTTCTTCATGTGCAGTTTTTTCCTTTGCCCCTACAAATCCAAAATGACCCAGAAATCCTCGCATAGGTTGGCTCCATTGTCAGCGGCGTGGTGACCAACTCCTCCAACACCTTTGGAGTCTACGTAAACTTCGGGTGTGAGAAGGCACGTGCATCCCAGAACTGAGGCACTTCGAATTAGGTTGGTCGTTTCATCTCCGGAACGGTCTCAACATCCGCCGCTTTTCCAAGAAACAGTTGGAAACAGACGTGCAAATAACAACGCAGAACATATCCAAAACTATCAACAAAAAGGTAGCTCTTTACTGTTGGTTTGTTTTTTAGTCGCAGCAACCGCAACTTTGGAACGAGGATGGCAAGCTTTCAGTCCCAACGTCGGATTGGAAGAAGTATCGCGTGGGAGATAAGGTGGAACGCATGGTCACTTGGCCATGCCCAGGTGGGATTCAGTTCCTTTTGGTTGATTGCTGTGTACCGCGCCACCGCGCCACACATGACTAAGCCCCAATGGCCTTGTGGCCTACCCGGGCAGGGTCCCTTCAGCATCCCAGCCGTGGTCGATCTCGAAATTGGCGCTGATGGAGATCATGGATGTTCAATCCCCCCAAAATTGATTATGTATTTGATCTTCTGGGGTGTTGTTAGGCAATAGGGGTTGCAGATTGGGAATGCATATAGTTTTGGAGCCCCAAAATCATATGTAATCAAGTTTCATTGGGAGAATCATAAATCCAAGCATGGCAGTATCATATAAATGGATATCTGGATATCCTATGGATATCATATGGGAAAATCTGTGAAAATCATGGTGTATTGAGGTTGTGAACAAAGTCAACGTCGCACCTTGGCGTCAGAAATGGATCAATTTGGGCGCATCATTTATGACTGGTTGGTGGTTTGGAACCATGGAATTTTATGACTTTCCATATAGGAAGAATAATCCCAACTGACGAACTCATATTTTGCAGAGGGGTTGAAACCACCAACCAGTATGAATATGGCAATGGAAAATCTCTATCAATGCAGGTTTTTTCATGGGAAAATCATTAATGCCGGATTTTCCATGGCTGTGTTTGATTGGAGGGAAATGGACTTCTGTTTCTACTCACACCAAACGGCCATTTCCAGGCAAGATGTGCGATCCCAGTCGAGACGGTCTTGATTTGTTGAGGTTGAACTTTCAACCAATGTCTGAATTGCTGAGTGTTTCTGTTCTTTCCAGTTTTCCATAGTTTTCCAGTGGCCCATACTTTTTCTTATCTCAGTATCTCAGTTGATGATAGTTGATGCCTGATGGGGATGGAGCTAGCAGTGATCATGGTGCCCGGCTTTGGCGTTGAAACCTGCATCCTGTTTGATCCTTTTTGCTTCGCAAAAAATGGCATGGTATGAAGTGGTATGAAATTACCTGAGTCGCACTATCCCTTGGCAATCAAATATGGCTGGCCGGAAAAAATCTTTGCGATTTTCCCATTCGAACATCCATTCTAAAGTGTCGATTTCCCGGCAATGTTTGACGATACATTTGGGTATTACTTGGAGTCGAACGTAAGATTGCCACATGGTGAGTTGAGCTACAAACAACGCGAGTCACTTGTTTAAAATGGATGCCTGTGATAACAAGAACCATGAAGAACCTCCGAAGATATCATTTGGGGTAGGGAGTGGTATAATCATTCGGTTGCTAGGTCTATATCCCATTTTGGGCTTATTATTTGATATTATTTGTCATATTTCCCACGACGTATCCCGATTCATATTCCCAACCAGAACTACTATTCCCATTATATCCCGTTCTACAACCATATAAATATATATATATATCATATATCAAATATCATATATACAGTAGATTTCCCAGTATATTCCCCTGAAGTTTCCCAAATAAAATATCCCACTAGTCTTCCCATTCATATTCCCATTAATTCACCATTAACATGACTTAAATCAGCATTACATAAACCACCATTAACCAGCACGTTTTCATGGTGGAACCACTACTATATTTCCATTCTGAAAAAACAGTATTTTTGATGATTAAACTCATGATTTTTGATGGTTAAACTCTTAAACCATCGCTTTTGATGGTAAAACCCATGTTTTTCCATCGCTTTTGATGGTATAACCCATGATTTTCCTATCGTTCAAGCAGCGTTTCCCACGTCGAGGACAGGAAGTTTGTGGACCTGCTGGTGGTGGGCTCCAAGGGGCAATCCATCGGCCTTGAAGCATCCAAACAGGTGCGGAGTTTTCGAAGTCAGATCCTTGGGATACTGTGGATGCTTCAGAAATCCTGCACCACCATTTTTGGATGGTTGAAACATGTTGAAAGCCTATAAATAAATGGAAAAACTAAGAGTCAACTGGTGCAGGAGTTCGCAACCATCCGCAGTATCATTGGGAGATTATTGGGATATCATTGGGATCTTTGAATATTATTGATGAGCTTATGATGGTTCTGACAGGGTTCGAAGGAACCCGTACTTCAATGAGCCTGTGCACTCCAACTCTATCCTAAGTGTTCGAGTTCCATGTTGAGCATGTTGCATGTTGATGAGCTTATTGGATTGACGACAAGGCTATGAGGTTCGGATTGATGTAGGCTGAAGTTTGGCCCCTTTGGAATATTTTCCAAAGGAAAAATGGATGACGAACACACTGTGCCAATGGCTGATATGAAACACATCTTCCAAATTTCCTTTGTGGGGGAATTTTGGAGTAAATGCTCGTAACTTAGATAAGTGTGAAGGCAAGGCATGATCCAACTATTCTTGAGATGGAGGCTATGTCCATCATGGTTTTGATCAACCTTTGCGATCAAACATTTTTGTATCTTTCATGTGTGCCATGTGTGCTGGTATATTATATTACTACATATTACTATATATTACTACATATTACTACATATTACTACATATTACTACATATTACTACAGATTACTACATATTACTACATATTACTAGATATTACTACATATTACTACATATTGTTGGTATATTGCTGGTATAGTGTTGGTATATTGCTGGTATATTACTCCATATTGCTACCTTTCACTTCGTATCAGCTAAGATGCTGCAATAGCAATATGTAGAGCTTGGTATACATGTTGGTGCCATTGGTTTGACAGACTTGTCATTTTTCTGTTGAGATACCCGTTTGTACCAGTTGTAATCCCACAGAATTGCATATGGGGTATTTACTTGCGAAAGTACCCTCTGGTAATTTAACATAGCTATTGAAAATGGCCATTTATAGTGAGTTTTCCCATTAAAAATGATGATTTTCCATAGCTATGTTAGTTTACCAGAGGGTAGGCGGTTTGGGGTCTGTTTTAAGGTGCTGTGACTATGCTATGACCATGGATGATCCAAGAAGGAATCACCGACACCATCGAGTCAGTTGCTGTGACACCCAAAACTTGTAGTTGGTATTTAGAAATATCACATATCATTACACATATATATATGATATTGTTGATATTTATATATATATATATATATAACTATATATAAATATATTCTAGATGCCTATTTGTTGTTGATACACTTGATACACCCCTATTTGCTCCGTATCTTTAATGCCTTCCCCCTAGTCCCATGCATTTTGCGGTTTACTCTTGGTCACTGAATCCACCATTCCTTGGTGTTGATGTATCCTTTGATCATCTACGACAATCGAAGATCCGCTGACACATCACAAGAATTGTGCAAACACACATCTGAATGCATTAAACTATTGTTAACCTACATTTCTATTTTAATATGTACGGTACACATATGCAATCAGCTATGCCAATATATATATATATATATTATGTATATAGGATTTTTGAATACATGATTTTATAATTAATATCCACATGACATTGAAATTATTTCGACCCAGCTCATGGTTTTTTTGCAGGTGGCCAAGAGAGCTTTGAAGTGGATCTCCTCGAACTCTGAATTGCGGAGCACCTTCATGGTGCCACGGATGATCCGCGTTTTTGAATAAATGGAGTTCGGCTTGGGCTGGGGGCCGTAAGTGGGGTAGAACCCATATAATACCCAATATAATAATAACAATAATAATAATATGTATTTATATACATATATACATACATATACATATATATATGTGTGTCTGTGTGTATGTGTATATGTATGTAGGCTATATACCTCCCTAATAAGGAAAACGTAGCTCGGATTTTTGAACAGGGCACTCACCGATATAACGAAGAAAATGGTGGGGTACATTATAAGATTATTATAAGAATATACTATGAGCAACCATAGGGACGGAGTAGGTCATGTGATTTCAGCGGGTCGAACTCAGGTGACGTTGCAGAAGATGTTAGCCAAAGTGATCGTTGCGGCTGCTGGGACCGGTGATTTTGGACGGTTTTTCGGGATCATATCGAGGGATGAGGGATTTGATCCTGAGGAAAACGATCAAAATGGAAGGCTTGTGGATAGGTTTCATATGGTTTAATATGGTTTAATATGGTTTAATATGGTTTCCAAAATTCTGTAGGAGCCCTGATTTTAGAAAAGCAGTGAATTCCGTTGGGCAACGGCAAGTGTTTGCAAGTGTTTCTGCACAGCTGGCAGGGAATGCCCAATTCATCGGCGATGTCACATCAATGCATAAACCCAGAAAGAACCTGGTGAAATCAAAGATGGAATCCAGGGAAGGGTCGACGATTTTTCTAGAGAAACTGGTCACTTTTTTCGGCAGTTTCCTCTTGAAATCTCTTGAATTTTTGAGGTGTGCAACTCGCTGGTATTTGACAACATCATGGGCATTTGACTCCCCACTATGGGAAAGATATGGAACATAATGGAACCATATTGAAACGTACCCTCTGATTATTCAACGTAGCTTTGGAACATCAGCACTTTGAGTAGGTAAATCATCATAAATCATCATGTTTGATAGGTAAATCATCTAAAATAACAATTTTTAATAGGTAAATAATCATAAATCCTTTTGTTTATCATCCATAAACGAAGCATTTTCCATAGCAAACTGTTAAATCTACAGAGGCTAGTTCTTGTTGGCCACGGATATCCCGTTGATTCTTGGATCCGCCCAGGGGAGCAGCGAAGAGTTTGAAGCCAACCTCACTTTGTTAGGAAACTTGGCTGTTTGTTGTGGTTGGGAAAACCATGGGAAAATGGTGATTTATATAATTTATATAGTAATAATGGCTGGTTGGTGGTGACTGGAACCATTGAATTTTGAATGACTGTCCATTCAGTTGGGAAGATTATCATCCCAACTGACGAACTCATTTTTTTCAGAGGGGTAGGTATACCACCAACCAGGTATGGTTTTATTGTTTTACTCTGTTTTTTGCTATGGTTGAACTCTGGTTATAGATGAAACATACAGCGTTGACTGACCATTCAATCATGGTTCAAAGACATCACCACACATGCAAAATATTGCAGAAGACGAATTGTTTTGTGTTTGGTTCAGCCTGTGAACAGTTCGAATTTGCCTTAAATTAGTTGAATTTCAGAGAGCTAGTCTCTTTGGAATTCTCTGGCGCGGCCGTTGTATCCCAGATGTCAAGGACCAGCATTAGATGCCAAAGAGTCACTGGGCGCATTGGGGCGGTCAGGTTGTCTTTTGGTGTTGAACTTATTTCGTTTTTATTGGAGATACCGGGATACCCCTGCTTGGGATGATGTAAAACGACTCCTAGTCATGCCCAGTGGAAGTTCTCCACCGTGGAAGTTCCTAGTACGGATGAAGGGGCAGAAGTACGTTTCAGGCGGGGTTCCTGTTACCAAGGAACTGAAGTAGTGTCTTTTCAAAACATGATCCCTGGTTGGTGGTTTCAAACATTTTTTTTTATTTTCCATAATGACAATCCTTCCCATTGACTTTTATATTTTTCAAGATGGGTAAAACCACCAACCAGATCCTCATCTGTGTTTTAGTCGGTGCCTTGGGATGTTTTCGATTGGCACTTTTGGTATGGATTCAGCCGAGACCCGGTTGCAGGTGGTGTCCCTGATGACCCAGTGGCTAATCAGTCATGAACTCATGAACTTTGTGTTTGTTTCCTTATGTTTCTTTGTAAAGCCGTTAAGACATGTTTTGTTTGGTCATACCACATCAGACTATCTTCAGGTGACCTCAGGTGTTGTCATAAGACACTTTAACACAAACATGTCATGAAACATATATTTGTTAACGTCATGTAAAGGACACAATTGCTGGTGGTTTCCCACAAGACACTTAAAACATCTTTAAACAAAGATTTAAAACAAAGATGTAAAATAGAAACATCCAAAAATGGCCAACCTGTAAAAAACAACATTAGTAAAAACCACAATGTTTTAAACCAAGATTGCTGGTTGTCAACCTGCCCAACCAGCTTCCCATCACCGCCGCACCGCCGTCGCGCTCTCAGAAGCGTCGGTTTAGTGCAGCTGGTCTTGGACGAGAAGCCAACAGCCGCCTTGGTCCGCACGGTGCTCCTGTGGCTCAGCAGGACGGCAATGCCTCGAAAAATGGAGGTGTTTAGCCACCAAAAATGGAGATTCAATGAGTAAAAGCATGATCGATCCCACCATGTAAATCGCTCCAAGATGGCTGTTATATGACCATGGCACATATGGAAAAGCCCTGGGCTCGTGAAAATGATCTCCCAATTTTCCGTACGCCATGTGGAGTCAATTTCCATGTGAATTTTCAATCGGGAAATTCAGATTCCATCAGATGGGCGTGTCTGAAAATAGGGGTTGCAGTTACCACCCGAATGGAGTTGTGTTTGATGGGAAAACATGTGATTCACCATAAAAATGTTTGGGGTTTTCCATGGCTATCCCTATGCTATCCCTATATGTTCAGAAACCCACATGATATTGAATGCATTGTTGGCTCCGGTTCATGAATCATACCCGTTTGACAATCGCTATACACCGTTTGGTAATCAAACATGGCAATGAGAAAATCCTGCCACATGATTTTCCCATTGAAGCATCTAGCAATAGTTCAGGGATGTCACAGCTTGCAATGGTTGATTACCAGAAGGTATACGTGAATCATCCCATATGATCCCATATGAAGATTCATATACATATTCATATCAAAGATTAAAATATACTAAAGTTCATCCTGAAATAATTTAAATTTATCCCATTTTATCCCATGATCATCCCACAAAATAATAGCTCAATTATCCCATATTTTTTCTGTTTTATCTGTTTTATCCCATGATCATCTTATGTTCATAGCCAGCCAAAAAGTGAAATCCCACCGCCGAACAAAAATCACCAGGAGCTCCCCGGATGATGCGGTGCGTTTGTGGCCGAAGCTGATCGCCTGCGCGGGGAAAGAGGTGCAGAGCTCGGATTTCCAGCGCCGCGGCGGAGATTTTTGGTCGGAGATTCTGGGTTAATCACCATTTTTTATTATGTAAATCATCATAAATCATAATGTTTAATAGGTGAGTCATCTAAAATAATAATGATATTGAATATAATAAAGTTAACCCAGATAATATCAATATGGGTTAATAATGATATCTCAATGGATTGGTTTTAAGGGAAAATCTACAGGAAATAACCATAGATTTTCCCATTACATATGGAGCTTTCCTGTAAATTTTCCCTTCAACCAATCCATTGAGATATTGAATATAATATAGTTAACCCAGATAATATCAATATGATATATTATATGTTTTAATATGATCTATGATGATCTATAATATAGTTATTGAAGATGATAAATCAATGTAAATCATCATAGATCATCATGTTTAATTACGGTAAATCATCGAAAAAATCTTGCCCATTTTTTTAATAGGTAAATCATCAAACAACATCTGATTAACCATGGCTATTTTCCATGAAAATCATGAAATCACCATTTTTTTGATAACTGGTTTGATGATAAACCATGGTTATTATAACCAAGTTATTATATTACATGATATTACATGATGATGGTTAATAATGGGATAGTAGTGAGATGAAAATATTGGATATTATATATAATTATTGAAGATTATTGAATGGTATACGGGTATACCCCCTAAGATTGCACTTCAGTAGGAAACATTATGATCATGATGGTAAATGAGGAGAATATCAGCAATTTTCATAGTGATGAATATAGTGATGAATAGTGATTAATAGTGGGGAATGGGTTCGGAATGGGTGGGTGAATACGATGAGAACATCACTGATGAATGCTGCTTAAGAGTGATTGATAGATATTATAATAGATATTATATAACAGTGTTTAATAGTGATTCAATACATATTTAGAGTTATTAATGAGTAATGGGATGATTGGAATGGCGATTCTATGACTAATTATATAGTGACCTCACGTCGTGACCGGACCCTGAAATCGGATCGGTTGGGGGGATCATCCCCATAGCTGGCCTTTATCACATCACTAAAGTAGATTAATTCATGTGGTTTGGTGATATCTAAGTAGATTAATTCATCCGGTTTGTGATATTTAGTGATGTTTTTCTTTATTTACCAAGATGGATCAAAGTCACCATGAGCCTTTCACTTGGTGAGCTTATGGGATTTCATGGGGTTATTGTTGCCAGAAGTGGGATTTGATGAGATTGACTAAGATTTCATGGGATTCAATGGGGTCTCACGGGATTTAATGAGACTTATATAACCAACCCAAATGGTGATTGGGAATATCGGATATATCATTGGCAAGTACCTAAAATGATTAGAAACCAAAGATTGATATCCCAGGTTTGGGGCTCATGGGCCAGAACTTGCTTGGTAGTTTAGGGGCTGAACCACGTAGTCGCGGGGGGTCATTGGGTCGTGGTTGGCATTTTCTAGGAGTTCAACCAATCTTAAATCACCAAATTTGCTGTGGTTATTTTTCATGTTGAACCATATAGACGATGTGCCAGATCGGATCTGAAGGATTTTGGGCCAGATCGAATCATGTGAGGTACGGTATGATACGTGTACCTGGCAGATCCAATGTTGGTTATTTAACATAGCCATGGAAAGTCCCCATTTTTTTAATAGGTAAACCATCTACAAATGGGCCATTGTCCATGGCTATGTTAAATAACCAAAGGGTAATTGTTATTCATTCCAGAACCCATTTTTTTGTGGATGTAAAGAATGGGGATCTCAGATGGTCCCCGTCGTTTCAAACTTATGTCAGTGTGTTTTGTTTAATGCTTATTGCCAACCTTACCATAGACATATTAAATGACGCATCTCTTGGTTTCAAAAGGGTAATGTCATGTTATATTCCGTTGATGATCCCCAACTCATCTACATGATTAATTGATCTTATATCATAACAACAGGTATTATATCTCCCATCATTTACCACTATAAACTTATATATATAATTATATATGTATATATCACATTACTATATAATGATATATATTTATATATACATAGTATTACACTATACCATCAGTAAGTCGTCCCCATTTGAAAAAGATGCTAAAGCGGCCCAGGACTGTGCTGAGTCTATGCGACTTGGGACACCGGAAATGGGATCAACGTGATGGGAAAATCCACCCAAAACTGGTTGGTGGTGACTGGAACCATGGCCTTTCAAGACTTCCCATATTAATTTGAACTGGAAAATCATCCCAACTGACGTTCGCGTATATTTTTCAGAGGGATAGGTCAACCACCAACCAGATCACTATTATGATTAATCACTACTAACCACCACTAACCACTTTTGTTTATCCCACAATTATGTCATTTTTCAGATGGGTTAGCAGCAACCACCAACCAGATATGTTTCTATCATTAATAACCATTAATAACCATTAACCATTAGTAATCATCCATTTCTATTGAAACCTCCATTTCTTGGGATGGCGTCCCATCCCCGAGGTGAAAAACACAACTTGGAGCTGCCAAAGTTCACGCAGGAGACATCCCAGACTCGGAAATGGAATCGCTAATGCCATCTATTTCGTGAGAATATAATAGGATTCAATGGGATATATATATATATACATAATTACATATATATATATTATAGTAATAATAGTTTTGATGGGATGTAGTAGGATTTATTGGGATATAATTAGTATTCCTCCGGGCAAACAAAATCGTATCGTTTTTGGTGTTTCTGTTCTGGGGGAATCATCTCTGATTCTAAGGGATCAGCCGATCAGCCTGTTAATTTTCCTGAAGATGTTCCGGCTGACAGTCTATTGCTTTATATTTTTTCATATGTCCACGATGTTTCATGATTTTGTTAAAAAATAATTATCATGATGAATGATGGATTATGCGTTTTCTTTTGTCATATTTCAATGTGTCAACTATGTTTCATCATGTTTTGTTTTTTCCATGTTTCAACTAACGTGATGTTTCAACGATGGTTTTAAACTAATAGTTTTCATACGTTATCATGATGGTTTATATGTGCTTTGGTCATGTTTCAACGATGTGTCATGATTTTTCTTCAGATTTTCTGGTTGGTCGCAGCCATGTCCCGCCAGCGTCGTTGATCGCCGTCCACGGTGTCCACGGCCAGGCCGTGTCCAAAGCCATGCCCCGCGAAGCGCTCAGCAGCTTGTGCGCTTCCACCCTGGCGGAGGTGCCCAGTGGTTGTAAGAAAAGATGGTGATTATCTGCAATGGATATAAAAGTAGGATTATATATATATGGATATATATATATATATATGTGGATTATGGAGATATAGTTACGGGCACATGGTTAGATCCTTTTTTGGAAATGTTAACATAAATTTCTATAGAGTAAAAATCGCAATGAGAACCCGAAAAAACCCTTGCACTTAGAACCTCTCCATATCATGAGTATCTTTAATGATATGAGTTAACATCTACATATGTTTATAACCATGTAGATAGTTGGGGAGATTCGCACTTAGAACCTCTGAGCATGATAGTTATGTTGAACATATGATGCTATATATTTTTGCCAGGTTATAGGAATGATAGGCTATGAGGTAGATGGTTGGGGGACTTCACACTTAGACCCCCCTAACATAGCCGGACTCGCACTTAGAACCTGGGGAGGTTCTAAGTGCGCGAAAAAATCCATACCCGAGCGTTTTGGAAGATTTCCACAGGTTCTAAGCATTTGTCCGGCACTCTATCTATCTATATATATATATATATGGGATATTATGAGATATCAATGGGTATAAATAGGATATACCCTGGCTTGGTTTTTGGGAAATTTGACATGCTTTTTCTACTCGTTTCTATGATGTTTTTATCGATTCACTTGCGGCAATACAAGTTGTGGTTCACCGTGACGGGTTATCCCCTGGGCGTTGGGGTTGCCATGGCTACCTTGGTGAACTAAGCCTCCATGGTTGCTGGGATATAAGCCGTATATATAACAAAAAGGTTGCATATTATATATCCAGTCCAAGTGTAGAACAGATTGATTCCAATGGATGAATTCATGCTTAAAAAATGGTAGAACATAGGTTATTGACCTATTTTAACCCATCCCGCCCATCCCCATTTTTTGATGGTTACCCTTTGGGAATCTAACTTTTTTTTCACCGATGGCCATGTTTAATGGGCAAAGCATCTACAGATTGATCATGTTCCAATGCTATGTTAAGCTACCAGAGGGTACATGTACGGTTTACCCCATAGGTTTTGCTACCATTTTTTTTCAATCATCCTTTTACCATGATGGGTGTTGCCAAAAAAAGGAAACCATTCCGTGAAAGATGAAGAAAGGTCTATAAAGGTCTTCATTTTTCCCATCTACCACCAAGATTCTAGTAGTGGATTGGAATATCTTGCATCTCTTTGGGGCATGGCCAGATGACAATTCATCCCTAGAATGGTATAGTCTTAAATCAGCTTGAGAATTACAATAGTTGTGGACAATTATCGCGGCAATCGCATTTTGGGGTTTGGATAGTGTAGTGATTTGCCCAGGTGCAATGGACACTTCAAAACATTCGAATGGCTTCGTCGAACATGGGCTACAGAATCAGGGTTGATCATCAATTTCCCCACTGAACATGGAGAATTTTGATGAATTTTGCGAACACCCCAAGAACATCTTGCTGTTTGAAGGTGGATTCAAGTTTTGGCTTCCATCTTTTCCAGAATCGATTGAGATAATTTCCAGGTTTCAGCGATTTCAGCGTTTCACCCCTTTATATTTGCGATTTAAAACCACACATGGTTTCAATGTGTTAGATTTCCCATGAACCAATCCATTGAACTCTGAATTTCCAGTCGTTGGCTTACTAAATCCATTTTTTCTGGTTCAATCTCCAACAAATCCATTGGTCCATGCATTGGGCGATTAATGTTTAATCCCTCTTATTTGGTTGCCTCTGGTGAATGTATGATTTCATGTCAGATGACACCCTCTCTTGGTCGCATCCTCTGGTCAATCTCCAATGTTTATCATTGGTTAAATCCATTAATTTCTCCAATCATAAATCCATTTAAATCCTAATTTTGGGTGGTTCAATCTCCAGTGTTTATTTGTTGAATCCCTTATAAGTTCGCCAGCACAGGCGCGCTTGGCCGCCATCCACGTACTGCGTGAACAGTACAAGAGCTGCTTGGTGGCTTCAAGTGGCACCTGGTGGTTGGGTTTACTTAATCTCAATGGTGCGTAAATGATATAACTGGTCAAACCATGGGTATGGATAGGTACTCTAAGCATCTCTAAGCTCCGGGCACCGAGGATAGGAGACAGCAAGAACTAGGCCTGTAGAGGAAGTAGAGCGACACCTGCAAAAAAACAGTAATTCTGTACCGATATAGCACCAGCAGAAGAATCTTTCGAACCAAGTTTTTTTGTTGCAGTCTTTCGAACCGGTGTTTTCTGCCACCGGTGGCGTCAACTGCCATGCCACCTGCGAGTCGTGTGCCGGTTGCCGGTCACCCATGGATTTTTTTTCGCTGGGACCTGGCCGAATCCTAGTAACACACTGGCACTATCCAAAACCCAAGAAATTTCACTTTGAAAAGTCCTATAATTTGTGTTATCCTATAAGGTATCACCATTAGCCATTAATGTTACCATTAATCCAGTTGTTTTGAAAAACCATTCACAACCATTAATGATAGTATGGTACCATTACTGTTTGGTGGCTTGGAACCATGGAAATTTATGACTTTCCATAAGTTGGGAATGTATAATCATCCCAACTGACTTTCGCATATTTTTCAGAGGGGTAGGTAACCATACCGCCAACCAGCAAAACCCTGGCCCGCGGGAAACTAATTCCACTAAAATCATGATGTCAAAATCCCCTTGAAAATCCACATGTTTCATCCATTGGTCTATCCCCAAGTGCTCGTGCCTTTAGGTGGTACTCCACCGGAGGACTTGCGGAAGCTCTGTATGGACACCGTGCCGGTGGTCAAAGCCGCGGCGCGCGATCACTGGGTAGCGCTGGGAGGCGATGCTGGGGATGGGACAGGGGTGAAAATCCAATGTATAATTCCTAGTAGAAACATGTAGAAACCGGTTTCCGGATGTTTTCTGCTGGTGCTGGTTTTCCGGCATGAAGCTTTGAGGCGGCACATCTCCACATCAATATCATCAATCAAGACACCAAAACTTAACGGTTGGGTTGGCGAATGACAGGAAAGGATGAAGGCTGGCAGAAGAAGAAGGAAGCGCAAGACGACGAGGACGAAACTTGACGCCAAACAGCTGGGGAAAGGTGGCTGGCAAGGGGTGAGAATTCTCTTTTTCGGGAGGTTGCACCTCTGGATTTTTGAGTTGTTTATTGAGTTCCGGATGCCTTTGGAGTTTTTCCACATTGAAATTGCAAAGTGATTGTATCATATTTCAGCCCAGCTTTGTAATACCCATTTGGACCCATTCAGATATAGCCCCTTCGCTGAGGACGACGATGATGCCTGAAGGCCTGAAGTCCTTCTCCCATCCACTGCGGAGGACAGAGGACAGGCAGTGGACTCGGTCAGGGCTGCAAGTGCCCCAAGGGAAATCCGGGCCTAAATCCCCAGCAGGGCTTGCAACATGTTATGTCAGTTTTTGGGGGATCTGCCCTATTTTTGGAAGTCTTATGGTGGTCATGATCAAGATTGGGTGTGGAAAGGGGGCTGTGGATTTTCCGAGATGAGATTCCTTGATTTACACTGCCCATTTTGATACGCGATGTCCCTGATGATGTGTGGCTCCATGGCCGTCCTGACATCATGTCCTCTTACATGTCCTGAACTGATGTTTGTGCCAGTGCGAATGACTTAAAACAACTTATGCATGTTACATACATACATGAAATAATATATATATATATATATGTATATGATATATATATATATTATATATATATGATATATATATATATATGATATATATATATGATATATATATATATATGTGTGATATATATATATATATATGATATATATATATATAGAGATGATATATATATATATATATATATGATATGTTTATATATGATATATATATATATATATATATATATCATATTTATATATATATATATATCATATGTATATATATATATATATCATATGTATATATATCATATATATATCTCTATATCATATATATATATATATATGTATATCATATATATATAAGTGATATATTTATATATATATATATATATATATATATGTGATATAATTATATATATAGTTTTATGTGATATAAATATATCTATATACATATGATATATACATATATACATATATATATATATACATCATATATGTATTGTATATATGATACCTACTATGTACATCTCTATCTAATATCTATGTGTATCAGCTTATCTATTAATTTGTTTTTCTACGGCATCAACATTGTATACCGACTCATTTAGATAGGTAGATATCAGTAGACAGATGAACAACAGACACATAGGTTGTTTGACGGCAGGTATGTGTACATATGTGCACGTGCATGGCATATTTCGATTTGCGTTTATGAACACCCACACACACATACGTATGCACGGAATATATATATATATATACACACATATGATTGCACCTAAATGCTTTGTTGCTTTGTATAATTACATCTAAATGCATATTTGCTACCAGTAGTATCGCGCAAGGCGGTGGCGGAAGTTTCAAAAATAGGAGACCTATAGGAGAGGTTGGTGGTTGTGAATCAGGGATGGCAGGCGAAGCCACTGATGGACCGAAAGGTGCTTGAGGTCTCCTCTCTTTCTCTCTCTTTCTCTGACTATCTATCTATGTATGTATCTATCTATCTATCTACCTATCTACCTATCTACCTATCTATCTATCTATCTACCTACCTACCTATGTATCTGTCTAGCCATCTACCTATCTACCTATCTACCTATCTATCTATCTATCTACCTACCTATGTATCTGTCTAGCCATCTATCTATCTATCTCATCTGCCCAGCTGGCCTCTCTCTCTCTCTCTTTCATCTAATTACCTATCTATCTATCTATCTATCTACCTACCTATCTATCTATCTCTCTCTTTCATCTGTCTAGCTGTCTACCTGTCTATCGGTGTTGCAGTGTCATTCAGTGTAATGCAGTGTGGTGTGGTGTAATTTAGTGTAGTGGAGTGTACTGGAGTGTAGTGTAGTGTAATGTAGTGTACTGGATTGTAGTGTAGTGTAATGTCCTGTAATGTAGTGTAGCGAAGCGAAGCGACATCTGAACCTCCAAAAGTGGTCCGAACCCCTAGTGTTTTGAACATTTTTACTTCGAAATGTCCTTCGCGCCACAACGGCATGCACTTTTTCGACATCCGAACCTCCAAAAGTGGTCCGAACCCCTAGTGTTTTTAACATTTTGACTTCGAAATGTGCTTCGCGCCACAACGGCGTGCACTTTTTCGACATCTCAACTTCCAAAAGTGGTCCGAAATGGTGTGTTTTGCACATTTTGACTTCGAAATGTGCTTCGCGCCACAACGGCGTGCACTTTTTCGACATCTCAACTTCCAAAAGTGGTCCGAGAATGGTGTGTTTTGTACATTTTGACTTCGAAATGTGCTTCGCGCCACAACGGCGTGCACTTTTTCGACATCTCAACTTCCAAAAGTGGTCCGACCATGGTGTGCTTTGTACATTTTGACTTCGAAATGTGCTTCGCGCCACAACGGCGTGCACTTTTTCGACATCTCAACTTCCAAAATGGTCCGAGAATGGTGTTTTGTACCTTTTCACTTGGAAATGTGCTTCGCGCGACAACGGCGTGCAATTTTTCATCTCTCATCTGGCCAGCTGGCTCCGCACCCGCCGCTTTAGCGAGCCTACTTTTCGACCCTCCGGAGCCACAAATCATTGGAAAAAACACAGTGTTTCGCGACTTTCCTACCTTTTCACGCATCTGCATCTTCTTTCTTCTTACTCTTTCTCTTCTACTCTTCTTTCTTCTAATCTTTCTCTTCTCTCTGCCTCTTCCCTGCTCTGCTTTTCATCTGTCCATATTGTCGGAAGTTTGACTTCTAAACTTCCTTCGATAATTTTTACACATACATAGTTTTTTACATGTCTGTGTGATATGTGTTAATTGTATGTCAATTTGTGCAATGAATTTTGACACAATTTGTGTATCCAGCTGGTTCATTAGAGCCTTCCATCAGTGACATCGTAGAGCACATCATGGGCTTAGCGCTGGATTGGTGGCTCCAAATGCCGTTGAGTCAAGCAGTGCTTCATCATCGGGGTCGACTCAACACTGAACATCAAGTAATCATTGTATACATGAACAAGCACTAATAATCACTAGATATTACTATCCTCTGGTTATGACTAATATTACTATCCTCTGGTTATGACTAACAGTTTGCCATGGAAAATTGCCATGGAAAATCCACCCATTTTATAGGTAGGTAAACCATCTATGTCTATGGGCCATTTTCCATGGCTATGTTAAATAACAAGAGGGTAAAAATCACTAGATATCACTAGTATATAAGGGCTTATTAACCAACAAAAACGAAGTATTGGGGGGTCACCGGTGGCGGAGAGGTGTTGGGTGAATTCTCATGAATGACACCCCAGCTGGATGCTGGGCCTTCTGTTTAGGCCGTCTTGTGGTGTTGGGAAGACATGAAAAAGACCCCTTCCAAAAATACACAGTTGAAATTAATTGAAACAGAGTTGCTGCATACATGTTCTTGAAAATGCTTTGGCGTGATTTCTGGCCCCCAACGTGGCCCTCTGGAATTCCCATTCCAGTTTTAGGGGCAGGGTCACCGTCCAAGTGAGCCGAGCTTGACGATTGGTGATGATAACATGACCCACCAGTAAAGATAGAGCAGATTCAATTTGCTATAACCATTGGTTGATGGAGATAATAATTTGCTACAACCGATGGAGATTCAATTTGCTAACTACATTAAGTTGAAGTTTACGATCTCATTTGTTTTGAAGGGTTGCTAGAACCGGTGGAGATAATATTGATCCAGAGACTGAAAACCCTATAATTTTCAGATCTCATGCCCATGCTCTGCAATTAGGCACGTTTCAAATGTCAGATATAATTGCGGAGTTTGTGTTGCGAACTTCTGGGTAAACATGCATGTTGATCTATTTTTTTGTGAAAAGATGTGAGAAGTAAAGACTAACTTGAAGATTGATCTATTTTGTGCGTGAAAAAATAAAAACTAACTTGAAGAGTAGCCATGATTGGTTGCTCCTGAATTTTGAGCCGCCTAGTTGTGCCATCATCGTTTAAAGCAGTGACTCCTGTGGCTGTCGGATGCAGCTAGCAAATCGCTAGCAGTCACTGGAGGGAAACGAATCAACTACCCACCCTCCAAAGATGGCACACAAGATATGGGGGGGTTCCATAAATGCGGGTACTCCCATAGCTGGATGGTTTATTTCATGGAAAATACCATTAAAATGGATGATGACTGGGGGTACCACTATTTCAGGAAACCACCAAATATGTATGAATATGACTCCAACATGGGCCAGTGAAAAACGGACATCAATGGGCCCATAGTTCGTTGTTCATTCCTAAACCACCAAGGCATCAAATTTTAGGGATTTGGGGAGTACGACTCAGCATAATTATGGACAACTAGGTCAATAGATTGGGTTACATTTGCAGCAGACACGAGGAATCCGAGGAATACATAGGCTAAAGTTGACCATCACTGCGAGTCTTATGCTTGTGGACCGCCTGTGTAGCAACATCAAAATGCCACTGGAACTAACAAGAACGACGGGAAAGACAAAGAAGAACAATGATATTTTTCACAAGCAACCGGAGGACTATGAACTGTGAAAGCAGGAGAGTGGGTGGCGGGCATTTGGTAGGTTTTCAATGCACCATTTGCTGAACGATGCCCATTCGATGAGAAAAAAAGGCGACTGCGGACTGCGGCGACCAACTCCGGGCATATGCATCTCCTGCAACTTCCCTAACAGAAATGCAGCAAACCTGAAACCACGGTTTCAACATGGTTTCAACCATAAAAGCCATGGTTTCAAGTGTAAGATCTCCAAAACCAGCACTTTGATGCCAGGCTCATAGCGACTTTTTGCCACGCCTCGCCACACGCCTCGTCGCCTCGTCCCTTGCCTCGCTTGCCTCGCCATGATGGACCTCGAGGGTCAACGCTTCGCCGAGCTCCAGGGCATCGGGGAGAAACGCGTGCGCGCGGGATTCATCCAAAAGGCCGCGGCCGCTGGTTGTTGGGGTCGAGGGGAGCACATCTATCATGATGTTGATGTGCATAGTTCATGACATCATAACGGGTTCGAAGAAAGATGCATATATACATATAATATATATATATATATGTGAAAAGGCTGTCTTCAGATGGTTGTGTACCCTACTGTGAGTGCTGAGTGCTTCTCAGAGGACATCACAAAACCATTCAAAACCGTGGTTCAGCTTGGTAGAATAAATCACCAGGTTGATTGTGGTAAAGCTGCGGGAAGGAAAGCAAAAACCTTCTGACCACATGTACTCATCAAGTCATCAAGTTCAGCAAGAAAAGTTCTTAACGTCATGGGTTGTAATTTATGATCAATACCATCATGATTCCCCTAATTATTATTGCACACGTTCTTCTTCTGAACGCTGCTGGTGCCACTATGTACAGTGATTCATCTAAATACAATATGCTCCCCTTTCTATCATCATTATATGGAGGTTTCCTAAGTCATAGGGGTAGCCCCAGTCATCATCCATTTTTAGATTGGGATTTTTCCAATGAAATAAACCATCCAACGGGGTAACCCCATTTAGGAATCCATATGAACCTGGAGGATCATCCCCAGGGGAAAATTTTCCGGAAAAGACCGGAACTTCTACCCATGTCTTGACGACCGTGCCGGTAAAACCACCAAATGCCATAGATATCCATAGATTCAATGCAATGATTCCCATAGAATTCACAGTTTCTTTGTAAAACCAACTTTCAACTCCAACGTGAAACTGTGAAACCAGCCTATTTTCGAAGTAGGAACCAGCAAATCCGGCAAACCGAGACAATTTCATAATCCGAATTTTGGCGCAAAACCACGAAACCATATAAAATTTAAAGTCATATGGAAGGGAACAAAAACAATTCTTGGGGAAAAGATTGTGTCCTGCACATGTTCTCTTTTTATCAACACATTGACTCGATTGAGTGAGCCATGACTACCCATGAATCCCATTATGATCATCATGATTCCTCATGATTCCCATCATTTGCATCCCAAATAGATGATGGGTATTCCCATTTGCTTTTGAACTATTGAATTGGAGTTGGCCCACTTGAGTGTGCGCAGTTTCCCTTAAACCAACGCATGTTGCCAAAATGAGTTCTTGACAAAAGATTACAAAAGACTCTAAGTTAGTTCCAAGGAACCGCCTATGATTCTTGGCAAAGACATGTGTGTTCTACCACATTTTTATCCCAATATCCCATGATATGTTCTTTCTATTCCCACTAAATCACCATTCTGAATGGTTAAATTCAAATCATAGGCTAGATTGCAATATCACAGAATGAACATCGTTTGGCCCCATTATAATAAATCACCGTGTTTCATTTCAATTCCCATTGAAGCACCATTTTTTGAAGCTTCAATCGCCATTCTGAATGCTTAAATCACTGAAATCAGAGAAACAAATGTTGGTTTCGCCATTTTCCCATGTTTTTTCCATGATTTTCCCATGTTTTTCCCATGTTTTCCCATTTTTCACCATGGAATTCCCATGGACGCCACGGCGTCGCCAGGTCTATGGCATCGTCTGCACCCAGGTACTGGCCACCGCCGCGGTGGCCGCCCTGTGCTGCGGCCCCCTGCAGCCGGCCGTGATGGCCCTGGCCATGCGCCCTGGCGAACTGGAAAAAATATGTAGAAAATGAAAGGGAAAATGGATGAAAATGGGAAGATTCAGAATTGGGTTAGGATGGTGAAAATATGGTGAAAACTGGATGTGATAAAGATTGAAACGGGAGAGTTTTCCCGAAAGCTGGCAAGAAACGTTACTTTCTAGTCTAGTATAAAATATTGCAGATAATTGGGGATTTCAGGGCGATTTGCACGAGGAGGTGATTGCGTAAAGCTAGATTGCCTTGAGTAGTCGAACGTTCAGTTCTGAAAAGTATATAGTTCTATCTCGCTATAACTGCGCAAACCCTGGCAACCCGTTGGTCATTTTCGTTCGTTTTGAAGACTTACTGATTGATTTTCATATGTTCATGGCAAATTTGCCAACCAAGACAAAACTTAGTAATTTTATGTAATAACTCTGAAGTTATCCCATCTTTTCCTTTGTTTTTCTGGAGGTTTCCCAGGTGTCCCGTGGGGTCCCATGGGTCCCTTGGGTAGCCGAGGAACCATCCCAGTGCCTATCGCTGGGGGTCCCTGATCGCCTTGTTAGTGGCCATTGGACTGTGCCATGCAGGAAAGAAGAGCTCCTCGGACGATGAAAGTCTTACTGGTGCGTTTGCTAAACATAGGGTTGCTGGATGGGTTGCTGGGGGTTGCTGGGGGTTGCTGGGATGATGACATTACTAGTGGTGGATTGGATCATTCCCGAAAATTCCCTGCTAAGCACCAGTAAGAAGTTATAGTCTGTTTTTTTTGGACGTTAATTTAGTGGGATTATTAGATTATTTTTACAATATGTATATAGAAAATATTTATTAGTTGTATTACTGTAGTATAATATGTAGTATTCTATAGTTATGTTGGGATTTAATGGGATTAATTGTTCATATTTATCATCTATAGTTATGTCATTTGTTGGTGAATTTCGGGACTTATGTCATTTGACTTATGATTAAAAAAGGGGATTATTAAATCACCCATAAGGAAACTTATCCCAAGTTGGCGGATCATCCGGGGTTGGCAATAACCCAAAGTGATGAAAATTGAGGTTGCTCAATTTGATGCCCTGGTATAGCTTCATGTAAAGTATTGAAATCTGTGGCCTGGGAATGAAATTGTGATTTAATTTGAACCTCCAAATGAGTTTGGGAGGATTAAGGTTCATCCAGATTTCTCCAGAAACAGTATATAACCAATGATTTTCCCAGTTACCATCTGGTTATTTAACATAGCCATGGAAAATCACCATTTTTAATAGGTAAACCATCTATAAATGGGCCATTTTCCATGGCTATGTTAAATAACCAGAGGGTATAAACTGTTAAACCTCCATTTTTTGATTTCTGTAGGATCCGCTTAAAGCACTCTTTTGGACCGTGGTTGGGGTGGTTACCGCAGTGGCAGCTGGGACGCCTTCGGTACATCAGAACACCAACAAAGTTTTTTTTTTTGGGTATAGCATTATATAATAGTTATATATTACATAGTCTACAGTATATATATATATATATATGTATGCATCACTTATACATATATCCACAGATAGTGCTGCACGAGTACACGGCACAAGATCATAGAACATCAAACTCAACATGGAACAAATCCAACTCAACAGTAGGTTGTTGTGGTTACATCGCCGCGCTCAGAGGATGCCAGAGTGGATTCCATCCACCGCTGAGGCTATCCACTGAACTTCTTCGGCTTGTGCTTTCTCACAGCTGCAGCTCGGCGCAATGGGATGAAAAATCCATTACAATGTGAGGCCCCGAAGTGATGTTGGTTGGTTAAACAAGTGCCTATAACCCCCATGAGCTATATTTATATCCCCACAAACTCTAGTTAACCAAGTTTTAAGTCACCTACCTATTAAGGGGGCCTCACCTTTTAACAATGGAAAATAAGTTAAGTGGGTGTGTATTTATGATGGGAATATTATGGAAATACAACTCACCAACAATATAGATTTGCTATGGTGTGGTTGTAACATGTTATGTTTGCTAGATATATTGATCGAACTGCACTTGGTGAAAAGAAACGGATTTCAACAAACAACACGATCATATACTAGACCATTTCATGGGGAGTTGACCAAAGATGATAAGGCATTACGTGCCACTACTCGGCTGTAACCAGCCAAACCCGAGGTTTGACTTGGACTTGATTATCTAAGATTGTAACGCAATTTGTAAGCATTTGGGGGCTACCATGTCTGCACATGGCATTCAGCCCTGGCCTTGGGTTCAGAGTCTTCCCATTTCTGGTACAGCTTTGCCAAGACAGACACTGGCAGAATCTGACCGTTCGATCCCCAGTGACTCCATGTGTTTTTGGGCAGCTGTTACCGCAGCGGTGCGGTCGAGAAGCAATTAGCCGCTAGACCCAGCAATTTCTAAACTGCACCGGTTGATGATCCCCACTATGTCAGAGTTGAATCGACCAAGCAGTTAAGTTTCTGATTGGCTTTGCCCAAATTTGGCTATAAAAAGCATATGGCTAATACCACCATGATCCGCCATGAAAAAACAAAATGCAGAAACGAACCAATAACCTGAAAACCAACCACAAAACCAACACAATATAAAAAAAACACCCAACAAATACACACACATATATATATATAGATACAACTTATACTAAGCGCAAAAAATGGGTGGTTTTTCAAAAGATTGCTAACCTTATTCTAACCCCAGATGATCAAAAAATACTGGATCCAATTCCACATCTTGTTGAGGTCATGGCGCTGAACGTGGGCGTCATTTGTGGTATGGTGGCCGCCGCCGGGCTGGGCGCGTTGGTGGTGCAGGCGGCGCTCATCACAGGCACGGCGCTCATCATGGGAATGTCATGGGAATGTCATGGGACATGGATGGAGATTGTGATATTAACATGTTTTAGCCTCTGGTAAACTAACCATCTAGAAAATAGGTAAATCAACTATTTCTATGGGCCATTTTCTATGTCGCTATGTATCCTATGTAACACATTACCAGAGGGTAACATGTTCACATGTTTTAACCATTGAAAACATGGAGATTCATGGAGACTTCATGGGTTGTTAGCATGGAGTATCATGAGAATATGATGGACACCTGGGACATTGTGATTTTCTGGGATTTAATTATGCTTTAACCAATGCCTTAAGCATGAAAGCTGGTGACTTCATGGGTTGTATCTCTGGTGACTTGATCGTAATTAATGGAATGAGAATGTGATGGGCCATTTTGTTTTACAATGTTTTACCATTAAGAGTGGAGATTTAATGTGATATGAATGGGATATATACCTTTTGGTAGTTTAACCATTTGCTATTGAAAAACACCACTTTTTATGGGTCAATCATCGAACCAAATGGGTAATTTTCCATATCTATGTTAAATAAACATATGGTATATGAAATGCAAAATATGGCAGGTATATTGTGAAAATAAGGCCCTAAACGTTTAGATTAGCCATGGGGTTCTTTACTGTGCTATACAGTGCTGCCGTTCCAGTTTTTCACGGAGAATCGGAAATTGAAACCGTGCTGGCTCTACTGGCCACATGCATGGAGGCACTTGGAGGTTGAACCAGGTTGATACCCATATGCTCCATGTATGGTATATTTACCTACAAAACTGGGTGATTTTTAGGGCAAATGTGGTAAATATTACAGCACCATGGAGCATACGGGATATAGATGATCCATGAAAGAAATGCTCTCCGCACATTGACCCTAGAAGGGAGCATAGGAACCAGGGGAGTCCATAGGGAAGCGAAGGATCTACTTAGAGTTTCCCAACCACATGGTAGCAATGCCAAGGCCCCAGTTACTCAGTTGGCTCATTTGAAGGACCATCCATGGACTATAGTGACTTGTCCCATTTTGGGACCCCGAGTTGAGGACATTTGATGCCATCTGATGGCCCAATACTATCCAATGCCGGTCTGTATCTCGCGGTCAACGAACAGAACCTTCTGAAGACCGGTTAAATCGACACATGCTCAGCCCTTGCAGCTGCGATGATTTGGACCTGAGTAGTACACGGATTTTCTCACCTGAAGCAGCCACTAGTGCTTTGGACCCCATCCGCTTACCTTGCTAGGCGGCAGTTTGTCTGGCTGGTTGCATCACCATTTTCCCATGGTATTCCCATGATTCCATTAGAATTACCATCCCATGGTAATCCCAGCAACTTGCCATTATACATATTCTGTTTATACAACCCATGAAGTCACATTTTTTATGGTTGGGCATAATTTACAGCACCCGACAGAATTATGGAAAAAAAAACGTTTCAATTTACAGGCGCCGCCTGTCTATGATAGAAAAGTTACGAACCTTTTTTTTCCATAATTATTTTTTCCATAATTATTTTTTTCCATAATTCTGTCGGTGACTGTATGTCCATCGATTCGCAATTTGAATGCATTTTAAGGGGGAATATTGAATTATAGAAAATATGTGTCTAAAGATCTGGTATATGCCCCTAAGTCTTCCATTGATATACTACATACTTGCACTTGCATACATATTTCCATAACCCCCAAAAAAAAGGGGTTTGAATTGTGGATCCATGACATGTCCAACAGGTGGAGCCCCAAACATTAATTATGGAAAAAATAATTATGGAAAAAAAAAATTATGGAAAAACCGGTCAATCTGCCCTAGCCCCCTGATTTTACAGGAAAAATCAATTATGGAAATAATGGCCACCTCCAAGAATTATGGAAAAAAAAAGGTTCGGATCACTTCCGGGATATTTTGAACCCTTATGGGGAAAAACCTAATTATGGAAAAATCGGACGCAGGCGCCGCCTGTCTAAGTTGAACGTTTTTTTTTCCATAATTCTGTCGGTTACCATAATCCAACTAAATCCAAGTGAATAAACATTTGTTGTTGCTTAAAGCTCAGTTGTCATTGGTTAAGTTCCTCAAAATCCCATGGCATCATTATACATCCCATCATGTATGTATCCCAGCGTGCGTATCATATCCCATTAATGTATATCCCACTATATTCCGATAGTCTCCAAATTCAGTCATAATTATATGTGGATATATGATATATGGACACTATAGGAATATCATGGGATATTGCAAATCACATAGTTTCCCATAGTTTCCACATTAGTTAAGTCCCACGATATTCCCATTGCAAATCCCAGCGCAGGTTCACTGGTGCTGGGTTTGACCATCTACACCTTCCGTAGCTTGGTGGGTCAGAGGAGTGGCCCGTTGTGGTTCAATGGATTGGTTTTCTTGGGAAAATTACAGGAAACTGGAAACCATCGATTTTCCCATGAAACATAGGGCTTTCCTGTATTTTTTCCCCTTAAACCAATCCAATGATTCACGATGGAAAATTCTGGCATGACTTGTTGATGGCAGGTGGGTTTTCTTACATGCAGTCAGAATTAAGAACCATATCAACTTCAGATGTGGTGGAGGCAACCCATGGACACCAATGAAATACGATTGATTCAACTTTGACTGTAGATCTGTTTCAGTTGGCACTGGAAAAGTTCGCTTCTTTTGAAAATTTGGCCGGTGGCATTTGGCAATTTGGTACCTCCAAACACCGGCACATCATATGTGTAATATGCAGATAGACAGACAGATTAGATTTGATTTTAGATGAGATTTGATTTGATAGAACATACAAATATGTTAAAATACATAGATGCATAGATACATATTATAGACATACACATGAGGCTGATATGGCTACCTCTAGCGACTAGTGTAGTGGTCACAGATATGGTTTTGCTATGTTCAACTTTTGTTTCCTGGTCAAACACCATGGTACCCTGATGAAAATCAAAAAGGCTAGCAAATGCATCCTCATTGTTTCCAATCTTCATTTCACAAGATTTTCCAGGCCAATGGACGGCTCCTTAGTCACCATGGACAGCAGTCCTGATGAGTAAGATTCGGCAACTCTTCCAGTTTCGGGTAATCTACTGACTTCCCCATTGATGGGGCCAACATGTTTCCCAACATTTACTGACCTGAAACACAGTTTTCGTGTTGATGAAACAGGTGATTCTTTATGATTCTTTGGGCCTTAAAACGTTTAAGAAACCTATATTTCTTACATGTTACCATCCGCATTTTGTATCATTGCCAGGGTGACCCTTTGTTGGGTCCGGGTCATCGAAGTCATCTCTGTTCGCTGGAGGTTCTAAGAGGGACTTCTCTTTCTTGGGCGCTGTGCTCTACCCGAAGCTTGCTCGGCTGTTTGGTTTCGGAAGAGCAGCTGATCAGCTGCTTTTTTTTATGTCCGTTGAAGTTTAAGAGTATGACCTAATATCAATCGTCATAGTCATAAATATCATATCTAATAAGATTCATAATATCTATAGGAGGTGTTTGTTTCCTAACAGTTGGCGGGTTTTACCAAACACTCGTTCATCTCTTGGGATTCTTGGGTCCTTGGGGAATAGGGATAGATTCCATGATGGGGAGATGAAGCAGGGAATACTTCCCAAATGGCCATATGATAAGAGCTATTTTCAGGGTGGTGAATCGTTCTAATTCAACCAGAATGTTTTACCCTCTGGGAAACTAACATAGCTATGGAAAATGGCACATTTATAGTGAATTTACCGATTTACCCATTGAAAATGATGATTTTCCATAGTTATGTTAGTTTACCAGAGGGTAACCTTGCTGAATACTGCCCCGCTTTCAGAGTTGGAGGCAAGAGGTTGGAAGTGAATACTGCCACGCAGAGGATTTTTTTTAAAGAAAGAACGGTAATTTCATAATTCATTGTGTTTCCTTGTGATTTTTGGGGTTAAACACATGATCTTTTTTTCGAACTCAGGAGGTTAGACCTTCCACAAGTCTCAGATCTCTAATTAGGGAGAACAGATGCACTTAGTGTCACTCCGGTTTGGTTTAGACAGAGGTTTGGTTGCTTGGGAACAAGATCCATGTATTTATTTATTCTACTTTGCTTGCCCCCCTCCACGCACCCCGCCCCTTCAAAAAAAGCACAACAAAACAAAGACATGTTTCAACACATCTCCAGGTCACAACAAGCATCAACTCCAATTTTTTGCCGATGGATCTGATCCAGGCGGGTTTGTTCCACCCCAATCATACATGATGTCGTCATGTTTTTTCTCCCCCTTTTCTTGTCCTTTTTATTTAACCCAGCTCCTTGAAGATAAACCCCTGACGTTTGCATTTGGTCAGCGCGTGTTGTTTATGTGTTTTGACAATTGAACTGTGAGGAAAATGACTGACCACGTAGATTTTTTGGCTTCTTGCGCTAAGCTATCCTGGCAGGGGAAATCTCTATATAAATTGAAATCGCCGAAGGGTTTGCCCCGTGATTTTCACATTCTGGGGAGGGGATTCTATCCTCATGATATCCACTCAATGGGAAACCCGGCGATTTCTTCGGAAGTTACATAAAATCATGCAACTATCATAGGAACTCAACCACGGGGCTTATTGGCCACCAACAACCATCGCTGGATATCCTATACTGTATACTGTTTACTGTATATATATATATATGTTTAATTATCATTGAGGAGATTTCGTTGTATTCAGGTGTTGTTGCTTCGGATTCAGGGGTCGGGTTGTTGGTTCCTTCGCCGCCCGCTGATTTATTTTCATTTTTGGATCAAGCTTGTGACAATATCCAAAGGGGCATACGAGGCCCTGCCTCTTTGCTGGAGCTTGGATATGGTCACAGGCTTGACAGAAAATGTGGAGAGACTGGCATGGCCTTCGTTGTTGTGCTGACAGTTGCCTACCTCAATTGGACATCAAGTGGATCTTGTCTGAGACATCACTCCTTAACCTGGCATAGTTTGATGATGGATGTTGATGTACGGAAGTTTTGGGATCAAGGGCGGCATCTTTGGCAGCCATGAAGCAGCCGGCAAGCTCATCAGCAGATGCTAAGGACAAGCCTGTGAAGGTGAAGAAAACACTCGAGAATGAATTTCGGAACCTTGGGTTAGGCTTGGTTCAAGTGACCAAATTCCCATTTTCAAGCCTTTGTAATTATCGAGGGTGCCGGTTTGTTTCTGCATCCTTCTCTTCCCTACATCTTGGTGGCCACAGGGAAGCGCCTCAGTGAAAAAGACCCAACCACGTTCTTTGCCAGCAAGCTCGAGCTGAAAGACTGGTCGGTCAATGTTTTTGAGGACAAGCTGAAGTTGTGACATGGCTGATTTTTTATTTCCTTCAATGTGGGCGATTACTTGCAATGACGTCTTCGCCCATGATTCAATGCATTGAAATTGTAAATTCACACCACTGGAAATCCTAGTGGCTACGCTGCCTCTGGGGACCCGCTGAATCTTGACTCTTGACTATCAGAGGCGTAGACCTGGGTTCACACTGGTTCCTAGCCCATCCAGTTCCACCCCAGGATTATAATAGCATGGTGGGCCATGTTGCCGTCCGTTTGAATTACTGAACGCAGACACGGGGGATGTCAAGAAACGTCGCAGGGTGGGGAGTCTAGCTGAGGAAGAGAGCATGAACGTGATGAGAAGAGCTTGTGCGGTGCTTCAGGTTCCGGCGTTCAATCAAGACACAGTCGCTACGTCGTACATTTAGGGCCCTCCAAGCTCTGACATAGTGTTGGTTCTGGATGAAGGGAGTGACATGGCTGAAGAGCCACAACATTCACATAGTGACAGTCTCTTTGTGCACCAATGCAGAAGGGGAAGGAAACGACCAACATGCACATTGAGAAGGCGGCAGTAACAGAGCCCAAGAACAACGCCTGGATTTAGAAACTGGTACAAAGAGTTAGAGAGGCTTATTCATGAGACATTTGAGCTGAACTCCTAGTCATGGCAAAGCTGCTGGAAGATTTCTCAAGCTCAAAGCACTGCCAGTGCGGCATCTTTTTTTTACACCATGTCCCCAACGCAGCCAAGCTGATGCATGATGCCTACACCCTTGTAAGGGCAAGCAGTCCGTTTGGAGAACCAGCTTTGATGGTTTGTCGAATGTTGAAGTAGTTAAAGGATCGTGCTGGGGTTGCATGTGGGAACAAAAAGGGCCTGTCAGGCTTTTGCATTCACACGAGCCACTACTGTTGCGGCACAGCCATGAAACTGGGCTGATTGATTCCAAGTGTTTGCTGTGCAGCTGCAGTGCGTGGAAGCATCGTTTTTGCTAGAGGACATTGGTTGTCAAGAATATTTCTTTGGTCTCTTCACTGGCCCCACTGCTTTGAGATCCGCATTGGCCATGGCAGGTGAAGTCACTGAGTGATGAAGCTTTCTGATCATGATGTCACCAAACACCGTCGATTAACTATATAATATGAACATATATGTACCCACAACTTCCCACAGCATTCGTCAGTCAAAGTTTGGGCATGATTTGTCAGAATGATGGTTTTGTGCTCTGAACCAGACGGAGCGCAACGGAGCGCAGCGTGTGCACAACATCATTGCTTTGCGAAAAAGAACCAGATGTACTGCAGCAGTGTTGCTGCGCATTGTCTTGAAGCACGCCAATCGATACCGCTTTTGCTTGGGGATTGGGCCAGACAACGTTTTATTGAGAACCAGTTGTCCTTATATAACCCCTCAATGTACCGCAGCAAACCCTCAATGTAGCGAAATCGCCTTCATTATTTTTTTTTGTTTTCATTGTTGTCATCATCCCGGTCTGTATTCGCCAACAAATACCTGCTTTGACTACCTAGTGTTTTTTAGCCATCACAATTCCCTTGGGCCTTTATCATCCGACCAGCCCATCTCAGGATGACCTTCGGCCTGCTGATCTTTGGATTGCTCAGCATCTTCTTCCCCGCCCTGCGCACAGGTTGGCTCCACCTGGGAGTTCCTCGGCAAATGTTGGGGCTTTGGTCTTGGGGAGCTGGCTAATTGCGGGCGATTTCTTGGCAAAAAGATCGTACATGTGCAGGAATGTAATTGTGGATTTCTTTCGTGTTTGCAAAACCAAGACTTTACCAACAGTGCTTAGGAGAATTTGACTTTTGAAATCCTGGAGTTATGAGTTGCCCGAAGCGCTTTGGTGATGTAAAGCGAGATAGGCATGCAGATCATCGTTCTGGGGAAACGTTAGATATTTTGTAGTAACCAAGTTGTAGGGTTAATGAGCATCATCCCATTGCTACGGGCATACCCAATTTCCCAAACCTCAATCTTTTGGATGATTTGTTCTAGTTATCCCCTAATTAGCCCGTTGCTATCCCATTATTATCATATTCTTATCCCGGTATCACCCAATGGTTATCCTAGTATTATCCCGATATTGCTTTATTGTTATACCCTATCATTTTCCACATGGTCACTATATCGAAAAGATATTGATTACCACGCCTGATGGCATGGGCTCCCATCACTCTTATAAAATAGCAAAATCTTATTATTTCCATATTATCCCATGATAATATATGACCCATCCCATTATCATTCTGTTGTATAACCAACAAAAACAGATTATCCCAGCATTTCCCGTATCATCACCTTATAGAAAAAATGCATTATCCAATTTCTCCCAACATTCTATCTGTAAGCCTTTCGGTGTTCTATACACTCATTGCGATAGAGAACAAATGCCACCAGGTGCCATAATCCATAAGATCATATATCTGTTGATCATTGGGTTTAATGTTGGTAAAACAATATAGACCACCCCCCAGCCGTCACATTTGTTATAGGTGGTGCTAACCATGGCCCATGGCAACCCCATGGTGACCACGGCCGTGGCTCAGATGTCCTTCCTGGGTGCCGGGATCTTCTGCGCCTACCTGGTCTTCGATACCTGGCGCATCGCCACGGTGCTGAAGGTGGACGACTACGTGGAGGGCGCCATCCAGTGCCTTTCCTGCGACCAGGGGCCAGGGATGGGTTTTCCCTAGGAAAAGTGGATGAAAGGTATGGAATTGATAATTGATATGATTTTCTAGTGGAACATATGGAAAATTATATAGTTTATACATGTTTATATAGTATATATTGGTGATTTCCATTGATTTCCGTGATTTTTTGTGATGAAGAATTCGGATGCGGATATGTGTATCAAGTGAAATTGCATTTGCCGAACATGTTCACTTTAAAAAATGATGCATGGGACACTGAATAATAGACAATGGAAAATTTCACCAAATGATGGTCTTAAACCTGTTTTTTTTCGGAGTTGGGAAAAACTTAAGATGCACAGACTTCGGGTTGATCATAGACCTGGTTGGGAGGTGGGCATGATTTTTCAATCAGTAAAACCATTGAATTGGTTGAAACTGACATGGTCTTTGGAGGTGTGGAATTTAACATGACTTAACAACATTTAACGACCTGGGTTCGCGGGTGTGGAGACAAGCTTAGTTGGGAGTCTACAGGAAACTGTTTTCATCCACCCAGGGAAGAGCATGAGAACAGTCAAGGGACATGAATTCCTGCCAAGAACAGATGGAGACGGAGCAGGATGTGGATAACAAAACAGGTGGAGGCTGGCACGGCTCGCCCAAACTGTTGAAGTGAAGCAACTAAGCTAAGGTTCCCTCCTTCTGAGTGCACACACCCAAAGTTCCTATTATAGAAACCCTCACCTGGCATTGGATCGTCCGGCAGTTTGTATGTGTCACCATTGTTTACCCGGATGTACTTTTTAAAAATGTACTTCAAATGATATTTCCCATGTGCAGGTTGCAAACATTTCCCAAGGCGATTTAACACTTTCAATTAGAGGTTTTTGAATTATTTCCCTGGAAAACACAAGGAACATTTACAATGACCTCACTGGAATGATGGGAAGCACAAGGGGTAGCTGTTCCAACATCGCCAAACTTTTCAGGTTAGTGAAATGTTTTAATTTACCAAGAGCAATGCTCAGGTTGTACATGGACATTGTGAACATTTTTTTGTACATCTTGGACATCCTCCTGACCCTGAGCAAGGACCGACGATGATGTAGCGATCCATCGTTCCGCGATGGAGGCCACCATTTTCCCTACACATGAACAGAAGGGAAAAGGTGGAAAGTGATCTGAAACATGGCCCATTTTAAAGCAATGTGTCAAAATGGCATAAGGGAAATGCATGGAAATGAAGCATGTCACTCAGAATATATGTGTCTATGTTTGTAGTGTTGCTGCATGTTTTATCTGTTCATCGGGTAACCCTTGGGCCGTGGTACAACTGCGCCAGAATTGTGGCGGAAATTCTTTCAAACATCTTTAAAAGGCATGCCTGGCACCTGCCTAGAAACTGAACAGCCGTGCGTCCGTGCCAACAGTGCGATGTGGGCAGTGTGGGGGCCTCTAAAACTTGGATTGTGCATCTGGTGCAAAGCGCGCACTGAGCATGTCTTTTGTTTAGGGTATTTCTATTGAATTCTATTGATATGTTTGTTCCTGATAAGTCTTAAACTTGCCCAATGTGAAAAGCTCTACCTTGCAGGGTGCTATAGGGTGCTGGCATATCTACCGCCAATACTGGGGTGATATTTTCTGGGTCCATGAGTTGAACTGGTTCTCTGGCTGTGCAACAACACGAATACTGCGCATTTAGCTAAAGAGGAGCATGGAATTTGCAAGAATGGAGGTCTGAAGATGATGTTCCATATTTTTTGCAGGATATTCCAATGTTCAGTTTCTCCATGTTTTACATTTTGTTTCATCTGAATCCCATGATTTATCAGTTGTCTCATCAAAATAGCCTTGAATCGAAGGTGAAAAAGTGCTTATTTTGTTGAGACAACCCAATTTTTTCTACTGGAAGTGACATGTTCACATTTTACCTTCTGGTAAACGAACATAGATATGGAGAATCAGCATGTGCAACAGGTACATCAACTATAAATGACCCTTTTTGATAACTAGGTTAAAGTACAGGAGGGTACGCTGTATGTTCATTCATTGGACACGTTTGTTTCTCCGCCCCGCCAGTCGTCTCACGTTGTTCGCGCGCAAAGGGCCGTTTGGGCCGTTTTTCGGCGTCATGACGCGATCCTGTTCCAAGGTGAGGATAGCATGGGGAATATGGGATTCATCGGTAATTTACTGGTGATTTAAGGATAAAACATGGTGATTATATGGTGGTTTAATGGTATATTATTAGGAAGATCATGAGGAATTTCAGACGCATTTATTCTGGGATTCATCCAATAATGAACAGCTACTATGTGGGGATATGTCGGGGGTAATTTTTACAATCCATTTCTCATTATATCGGGGATAATAACATACGGGATTATGTTTTATTGGGTTTACGGTTTGCTACAGTCGTCTCTTTTCTGGATGAACAAGTCTCGATCTCAGACCGATCATGTACATATGAGCCACGGTCAAAATGGTTAAAGACTACTTTAGTATTGCAGGAGTTTTTTGTCAGAGATGTGAACGAAACACTGTAAAGCGATAGGCCCCCCCAAAAGCGATAACCTGGGACCATACACGACAGTCCATTAAACTTGACGTAAACCAAGCAAATGCTGTTGTGCACATTCAGAACGGGCCGGGCAAAACCGATGAGGGAAATTCAACCTGTGGTGCCCTGTTTCCTGCAGTTACCATAGCATTTGGCATCCAACTCGCTCGCTCGCTCTCTTTCTTTCTTTCTTTCGTTCTTTCTTTCTTTCTTTCTTTATTTCTTTCTTTCTTTCTTTCTCTCCCTCTCTCTATCTCTGTGTCGTTTTGTGGCAAATTTCCTTCGAACAATGTGATGTGTTGGAGGGACGGGTTATTTAGCGATAATAACTTAGCGATTAACCATTTGTTGCACTCGGTTCCCTGGCCAAGCCATGGAGCCATTTCCATATTTTTAGAAAGGAAATGAAAAGAACATGAATGGACATGAATACTAATGAAAGAAACACGAAAGGACAATGAAAGGAAGATGCATGCAAATGAAAGGAACATGAAGGAAAATGCATCCAAATAAATGCAACACGAAAGGAACATGAAGTGTTGCCGAAGCACTTGAAACCAACAAAACAACCGCTCGATCCATTTCCGAGCCTGTTTAGAAATGCTTTTGGCTTCATGTTGGATCTCGAAGATGCTGATTTCCACAAAACCCTGGAAAGCGATAGGCCCCCCCCCAAAAGCGATAACCATAACAAGAGCAACTACTGAGATGTAAAGGATTTTGACGGGAGCTTGTATACGTTTTGAGACCGTGCTAAAGTTGATTTTACCCGCAGGTAATGAAACATGGCAACGAAACGTCCACCATTCGAGTTGATGTTTCCATTAACACTTTCATCTATAGCGGATTTCCTATTGCTAATTACGTTTGATTACTTGAGGGTAATAGAGGTGTAACCCGAAGCACTAACCAATAGGTAGACGATAGATGGTAAGACTCAAACCCGGTATGTTGGAATATCCACATCTAAAACTTTTATGTTTTTGTTGGCATCCAAGCTATTGACACCAACTGGAGGGATTTCATGTCCGGATTGCATGGGTCAGTGAGTTTGGAATGGCCTGTCACCCTATCTAATCAAGTTGTTTTTGAAAAAGATGAAGACATATTTTTTGCGTAGCCTTTGTATTTGTCCCACTTTGCTTGGACCAGCTGAAGAAGTAAAAAATGACTGTTTGAACATGACTTTCATCTGGGAAATTGGTTTCTACTTCCATGATCGTTTCCGGCAGGGTCTATCCCAAAATTATTTGTCTGGTTGGTGGTTTGGAACATGTTTTTTTCCATGTCATATATGGGATGTCATCCTTCCCATTGACGAACTCATATTTTTCAGAGGGGTAGGTATACCACCAACCAGTTGTGGTTCCCATTGCTTGAATATGTGGTTTATCAACTTGTGCATGTTGGTTTTGGTGAATGTCTCCTTTCCTCCTGCTTGGGATGATCGCAGCTTAGCGCATATTTTTGGAGTGGCTCAGCCACCAACCGGCTTTAAGTCACTAAGTTGTTTCTATTTATATATACATATATATTTATATTTATATCCCGTTCTATCCTCTTAAATTACCATGAATTGATGTTTTGTTAATTGCTCCAGTACGACAAACATGTATATATGTGTGTCTATGTTCGCTACATGAATTAGCTATTAGTCCGATATGTCTACCATGAACTGTAGCCTCTACGTACTAGTAGTGAACTGTTTACCAACTTATCTCTCGTAGATTTGGAATGTCCAATTTATCTGGTTAAGTCATGTAACCCCAACTTTTCGTTGTTAAAATCGTTATTTCACGGGGCCCTTGGGGCCCAAACAATCTCTGGTCGGCTCCGCTTCGCGCTTCAGATGCTGGCCCAAGACTTGCAAGGCGGAACTGGACGCCGGAAGATGGGGTCGGGGGAGAAGTGGCTGTTGCGTTTCTAAGGGGACATAGTACTCTCTGGTAAACTAACAGTTTGCTATTGAAAATGTCCATTTATAGTTGATTTACCCATCAAAAATTGTGATTTTCCATAGCTATGTTTGTTTACCAGAGGGTAAATGGCTAGATTAGTTCTATTAAGGGGAATGAATATTATCATGGATAATTGCAGATATGAAGGGACCATTCCTCATCACTGTCGTTCTATTATTTGTTCATAATTATCATAACTTACCATGATACTGATGGGACACAATAATGCATAATAACTATGATGGATATAGTAAATGGGTAGGTTACCGTCTAGTTATTTGTTATGTAGCTATGATGCAGGTTGCAATTTAGTTTGATGATGTATGATGGTTTGCATATAGATAGATGGTTTGTGATGTTTCTAACGGTTCATGATCACATCATGATTTTCCATAGTACTAATGGTGCATAATACTGTGTTTAGATGATGTTGAGGGGCAACTTTAGTTATGGGTAGCTTTTCGGAGACAATGCCAGACAAAAGCATCTAAGTTTCTCTGGAAACAAACAATGGATCCAGGGTTTACCCTAGTTTTGGGTACTTGTTTAAATATATGGTTTGTATATATGCAGTTATTCTTTCTTGATCTATTTACTTATTAGTTATTATTGTGTTGTTTGTACTTACTTTATGTTTATATGTTTATCATTTGACACCAATGGGTATATAATTATATATATATCATATATAAAATATATATTAAGCAACAATTTTAGGGTAGATTCCTGTAATACTTGAATGTTTTAACCCTAGATGGTGGTGCAGTATACTACCCCGCGGGGCAAAAATGCCCATGCCAAGGAGTGAGATTCTACGACGCGGTTCAACCACGCGAATCTTCCCAAGTCTCCGGGGTTGAACAATGCATGCAAAACGCAGAGCTGCCCTAGGCCCCATGGGCCTGACATTCGTGAAGTCCTTTGAAATGCCTTAGCAAAAAGGAGTTTCAGGTTCCGGGCAGGTCCACGGATTGGCCGAAACACATCCAACAGGGAAAAAGTGACCAGCATTGCGAGGCGAAGGAAGGGTATCCTTGGGGAACGCCTCCATTGGAACATCCCTGAAGGACTTATCCAGCTGTGGACACCGCAGGGTCTTTCGTTGCAATGCGACATCTGACGCCGCGCTGGCGGAGACAACGGAGGGTCAGAGCCAGTGCAAACAACGGTCATGGTTGCCCAGTGTGTTTCTGCTGTATGCAGATATGATGGCAGTGGCTGTATTTAGATTTCTGTTCACCTCAACACACCAGCCCGCTCCCTATACATCATGGCCTTCTCCAAAGCTGCAAGTTTGTGGCGCCTGCGGCGCCAAGCTCTCCCAAGCGTGGTGGGAGCAGGGCAGAACCCATACCGAGAAACAAACTTCGCGGATCAGCAGATCAGCCCACGGAGTTCCTGTGGTGCTTCCAAGAAACTGGCATGCCACACGGAGCCTCTGAAGACAGTACACTGGCACCAAGCCGCACCTGAAACATCTCAACCGTGGCAAAGGCCAAGACGGAAGCAAGGAGCCGACCAGCGCCCATTTTGCAACCACAACCCCATGTAGACTGAAATGTACAAGTATACATGTGATACATGTGTTTAGGGTTTAGGGTTTCAGGACTTTAGGGTTTATTGTTATGGACAGTAAAAGAAAAAACACTAGCCCTACACCGGGGTTTGAGCATGTCACAGAATATGTCGGATGGGTAGTGGGCAAACGTAGGGGTTTGCTGCGAACAAGTTTAAACCGATGAGCTGAACACATTTCCTCACTTATTATTCAATATTTCTCACTTACACTTGGATGTGCATCCCAGTTACTAAGGGGGTAAGAACAACTTGTTATCCTCTTATGTAGCGGCTATTCCCAGTTTATACCCCACACTTTGTTCCGTGTTATTCCCACTTATGATGGGATGCACATCGAAGTATCCATTTGTTTTTTCCCAAGTAATGTTAGCACCTGATTCGTAGCATGGTACCCTATTGTGGCAAAAAAAAACCTCCTTATTCAGTTCCATGCTGTTTGGGGGGGGGCCTCTATTGTGGCATGTTTTCCAGATTTGTTTTTAGTTTTGTTTGATTATTTTTTTAAATTGTTCCTAATTATTTTTTGAATTTATATATTTTAAAATTAATTAATTAAAATTGTTTTTCTGTTTTTTTTAATTTTTTATATTAAAGCTTTCAAATGCAAGGTTTCCAAATAATTAGATGCCTTATTAAACCCTTATTTAAAAAACAGCATCCAAACAATTTTTCAAGGGTGTACCTCATGAGTGGCTCAGTTATTCAATAATATGAATGTTTGGATGGTACTCTATTGTGTCCAACAACTTTTGGGGTTGAAAAAAATCAAAAACCTTCTCCACCTTTCTTTGAGTAAAGCTGGTCCATTTACTTTAGGAAACCATATTTGTGATAAAGCTTTAAAATGCAAAGTTTTCCAAATAATCAGATGCCTTATTAAACCCTTATTAAAAAACAGCATCCAGACAATTTTTCAAGGGGGTACCTCATGAGTGGCCCAGTTACTCAATAATATGAATGTTTGGATGGTACTCTATTGCCCAACAACTTTTGGTGTTGAAAAATATCAAAAACCTTCTCCTCCTTTCTTTGAGTAAAGCTGGTCCATTTACTGTAGGAAACCATATTTGTGATAAAGCTTTAAAATGCAAGGTTTTCCAAATAATTAGATGCCGTATTAAACCCTTATTAAAAACAGCATCCAAACAATTTTTCAAGGGTGTACCTCATGAGTGGCCCAGTTACTCAATAATATGAATGTTTGGATGGTACTCTATTGTGCCCAACAACTTTTGGTGTTGAAAAAAAATCAAAAACCTTCCCCACATTTCTTTGAGTAAAGCTGGTCCATATACTTTAGGAAACCATATTTGTGATAAAGCTTTAAAATGCAAAGTTTTCCAAATAATCAGATGCCTTATTAAACCCTTATTTAAAAACAGCATCCAGACAATTTTTCAAGGTGATACCTCATGAGTGGCTGAGTTACTCAATAATATGAATGTTTGGATGGTACTCTTTTGTGCCCAACAACTTTTGGGGTTGAAAAAAACAAAACCCTTGAAAGTAAATTGAAATCAATTGAGAATAAATTGAAAGTAAATTCAAATCAATTAAAGTAAATTGAAGTAAATCAATCAGAAGTAAATTGAAATCAATTGAAAGTAAATTGAAATCAATTGAAAGTAAATTGAAATCAGTTGAAAATCAATTGATTTCAGTTGAAAGTAAATTGAAATCAATTGAAAGTAAATTGATTTCAATTGAAAGTAAATTGAAATCAATTGGACGTAAATTGAAATCAATTGAAAGTAAATTGAAATCAATTGAAAGTAAATTGAAATCAATTGAAAGTAAATTGAAATCAATTGAAAGTAAATTGAAATCAATTGAAAGTAAATTGAAATCAATTGAAAGTAAATTGAAAGTAAATTGAAATAAATTGAAATCAATTGAAAGTAAATTGAAATCAATTGAAAGTAAATTGAAATCAATTGAAAATCAATTGATTTTAATTGAAACTAAATTGGTTTCTATTGAAAGTAATTAAATTGAAATCAATTGAAAGTAAATTGAAATCAATTAAAAATAAATATTCAAAAAAAATGTTGAGGGGGGGGCGCAAAAAAATGGTCAGTTATTGAGTAAACTAAAATTGTTTAGGGGGGGGGCCTCACACTAGTCAGTCGACAACATTAATTTGCATCATTCATAGATCTTAGCGATCTTAGAGTCCATCTGTTCAGCTGATTTTATCAATAGTTGATCCGATTTTCCAAAATTGCCACCTCGTTGGCAGCTGCGCAGACCCAGGCCACAGGCGCAACACCCAGAGTCCAGAAGACGTAGCCTGGGACCTTGGATTCACAGCAGGTTTCCCATTGAGTGGGGCTCAGACTGGGGGTTAACCCGCAAAAAGTGCGCTTCAGCCATCAAACATGTAGGGGCCCGGTTAACTATCAAAAATGGCGGTCAATTTGGTGCTGTAATATATTATAGTAGCCAATTTCAATATCGTATTCAATAACACCTAAAATCATGGATGCCAAAATAAATAGACCCAATACATTCAAACAGGGTTTGGTTCGGGTGATATTGTATTTCAAGGAAAGGGATTGCTAGGGCAAACAATTCAAGAATTGATGCGCACGCGGACTAAATGTTAAACTTAGTCATTTGCAATAATACCGTTTGTAATGCTGATTGACAGGTATCCAAGATAGAAAACATATACGTATATTCGTCAAAAATGGATAGTTTTAGCCCAGAAAATGATTAAAAACCAACGTTTTGCGGGGCCATTGGTATGTCAATAATATGGACCCATTCCTATGTGAATGCCCCTCCAGTAGTAGCTAACTGATCTCCATATCATTGAACTGATTTGACTCTTTAATACAAAGCATGTTTCTCCCAAGAAAGCCTGGAGGTCTTTTGCAAATTCTCCTTCAAAAGGTTATCGAGCAATATTTCATCAAAAGGTTATCCAACAAAATTTCTGTAGTTTATCCAACAATATTTCATCCACTTACTAGTTGAGTATCGGTTCAAATCGTCCCCGAGAAAATAGCTGAGCCGGCAACTTGCTAAGTCACCAGTTCCAAGCTGCTTCTCTCATAGCTGCGTGATGAGTATCCCCAGTTATTAACACCAGTTGCTCAGTTCCCATGTCTCAGTCTTATTACCAAACATTTTCAAAGATGTTGAGGATGCCATGAAGCCATGATATAACTGATCATCAATCGTCAAGAACTGCTCCTTGTCACTGGGTTTGGCTCGCCTTTAGCCTTTGGCTAGACTCCTGGAGATGGCAATGGCAAAAAAAATCGATCTTATTACATCTGATTCCCAAGCATTTTCGAGGATGCCATGAAGCCATGATAATTCCCATTTCATCAAATAATCATGTTCCTATATTTTCCACCATAATCCCACCATAGTCCCATTTCATCCCACCGTTTTTCCACCATTTTTTCCCACCTCCCAAATCCTGGACTGATCCTTCCTGCGTCGTGACACCAGCAGCGAAGGTGCGCATGCTCCTTCTGGCCGCTCCAGATGCTGGCCGACCGCCACCGGAGATTGTGGGGGCGGCGCTGAAGGCGAAAAAACAATGGCTTACTTCGAAAGTGGTGAGGCTATCTAAGTAGCCAAGTGGATTTTTAATATTTCGGAGATGCAACTTAACATGCTGCAAAACCAACTTGTAGTTTATATATAATTTATAACTCGATGCAACGGGGTAGGTATAAGATTATTTGAACCTACTTTTGAAAAATAATGAAATCTATGGTCAATCATGTGGCAGAGACAACAGTAATGGATGAATAATGGATCGTGGATGATAGTGGAATATACCATCTGTTAGTTTGTTAAAGTTTGCGGACTGGAGCAGGGAGAATATGAACAACAAGGAAAAACACATGTTGTTGAAATTAACAGGGCTAATACTAACACATCAAAAGATAAGAACATAATTTATCACAGTTTGTCTAGGCAGTTACTTTTTTTCGGGGGGGGGGACGGTGCTATAAATCAACAACTGGGAGTCAAGATAGCCAGCCTGGCTGGTGTTTCCCAAAAGATGTGGCTGGCTTTGGACTGTTTTTTTTCTTCTCCTATTTAAGAGCTAAAAAACAATCAAACAACCAACAGTTGCATGTACCTGCACTTAGCGATGAATGAATAGATAGCTGATAGCTCGTGATACACCCCATTGAAATTTCCTTGAAAGTATCGCGTGTTTGGATGTCCATTGGCATGCATACACACTGAATAGTGCCACTGTCCATTCGGGCTCGAGTCGTGATCGAACATATTGGATGCTGACAGGCTGCTGGTGTGCCCATCAATGATCAGCCGTGCCCTCAGAGTGATGGGCATGGCTACTGCTTGCTACCGTAGTATAACTTGGAGAACCATGGACAAAACCCCCATGAGAACTGGACCCCGAAATGCTCCGTTGAGGGAACCTTTTCATAAATGGGTTTACTATGTTTTATTCAACGCAGATGAACAAAACCAGGGAGATGATGAGATCAGTTTGTTTATTTCCTGTTCATGACAGTTAAGTTGTCCATTCTCCAACCAGGTAACCACCAAACGCTAAGATGACTGTGTGACATGTTCTGTTGATTGCTCCCCAGTGGATATGGTTCAAAGCCCGCTTTCCCGTTTGTTTCACTGAAAAATTCAACTAAAACCATCTGAGCACGGCGGATGTGCCACTTCCAAGTTAGTTAGCAAGAGGGTACGCAGCATTTTGTTCGAAATCGAGCCCCTCCCCCGAAAAAAAAGGTTTATCCTTAGGTTCCCACTAAAATTGCCGTTTTGCTGAGTACTAAGTACCCTTGTTTGACAAACCCAGATAGCCAACTACCCAGCTACTGTGGGTGTAATTCCCCCACTGCTGTGTCAAATCCAAACCGTCCCAAACCCATATCAGATACATATAATTATACTATCGTATACTATCATATACTATCATATACTATCATATACTATCGTATACTATCATATACTATCATATACTATCATATACTACCATATACTATCATATACTATCATATGCTATCATTTACTATCATATACTATCATATACTATCATATACTATCATATACTATCATATACTATATATATTATATTATATATATAATATATATATAAATATATTATAATAAATATATTATAATAAATATATATCCCCAAATCTGGTGTTTTGAATCCATGTTTCATCTCTGTTGGGTAAATATATATATATATATATATGCAATGTACGTATATTTATAACTACGGCGTACATTGCATATCTGTCTCTCTGTCTGTCTATCTTTCGTTATTACCAATATTTATGAATATATCAGATCTGTGATGGGTCTCAGATACACATACATATATATATATATAAATAACCCTGATAAATAACATATAGATATGGGTAAATGGTGCCATTTATTTTATATATATATATCATATACATATACACATCTGTTTGTGGGTTTCAGACCGAGGAACTTGATCAGAGCCTTAGAGGAGGCGGGGTTTGAAACAACCGCGCTGCACAGCGCGGTTGTTTCAGCTGGAATGTATTGGAATGTATTAGCAACGTGAAGACAATGCGGGTGTCTGAACATGTATGGGAAACCTTTGGGTTTGCAGATTATACAATCATGGTTCATCGTGATGTTCCCTATAGTAAACTATTTGGTGGGCATACCATTTGTTCGAGACTTTTGGACTATCCTAAATTAGACTTGCTGTAAGTTGTAAGTTAGCTAGTGTATGAGGAGCACGTTAACCAAGGTCAATGCGCATTATTGTATTGTCCGTGGTTAAATAATCTGGGGCCTATCCCTGGCGAAGTTGGATCCCAGTGATCTCAAGCTGCACAAAAAGTGATGGACAAGTTGCAAGGAAAATATCTGACATAGTGCCATCATATTCCATTCACTGGTTTTCTTCAAGATGTCGCACCAGAAGCAAACATGAACAAGCACAAGACCAATTCCTGTATCCAATCAACTCTTTTACTTGTACTTGCCTCAACTCCAGGGTACTTCTCGATTATTCTAGGTTTTGATTTAAAAAAAATGGCACGCAACCCTGGAGAACATATGGAGGAACAAAAACACATTAAAAAAAAACAGGCCATCCTAGAGATTAAAAACCTCGAAACATTATAACATGCTCTAAACTGTACGTTTGTTTCATGTTTTTTTCAGGGAAATCCCCGAAGCAGCCAGGCGGCCGGCGCACGAGGTGGCAATCCGAGCCGCGAGGCGAAGCGGCGAAGTTCCCCAGAAGCGGTGGTTTCTTGAAATGGGGGTGTTGAGATATCATATTATACCACTAAAAAAAAATGTATATGTATATATATATATATACCTGGATCCTCTTGATCGTGGAAATTTCCACACCAAAGCCAAAATCGATCAATTTTGCGAAGCTCCAAGTATATATATATATATTCCAGTATTGGGAAGCTCCAGTTATATATATATATAATGGGGATGTTGATATCCTAACCCATCTGCGAACCATGGAACCATGGTGCTGGAATATTTACCTACAAAACTGGGTGATTTATGTTGGGTAAATGTTGGTAAATATTCCATACATGGAGCATATGGGTACAGTAATGGTATAATGATTAGAATGAACCCTTTTTTACGGTAGTTATAATGATATAATGTTATTATAATGAGATTATAATGACGTTGTGAAATCATGTTGCAACCTTTGCGTTTGTGTATCGGAATGGCACATCAAGCAGAGTTGATTCCTCTCAGATGGTAATGTCAATAGGAAGAGATTAATCAACCCTTCCTGGGGGTGACCTCGCTGATGGATCAACCAGGGTTTATTCGTTTGGGGTTAACATTTCTTCAGCGACCTAGGTTCATGTGTTAACTAAGTGAGCCAACGCGTGCTTGGGATGCAGGTCCAGCTGTGAGTGACACATCATAAGCATAGTTGTAGATATATGGTATAGGGTTTAGATTCTAATTTAATCATATTTAATTTAGGGGGATTATAAACGGATTTGAAGCAGTCTTATATCATTCATCACGGAAACTGCTCCCTCAAGGGTCATGTCACCTGCAAGGATGTGGTCCGTGCACGTTCTGGGGCGCACGACTACAAGGTGGCACCACGGCCGGCAGGGAAACCCAAGGACATGATATCGACCAAGAACCGTGAAATTTGTTGGATAGTAGGCTTCCCCATGGTTCCAACTCTTTTTTTTTCGCACCTCCAAGTTTAAAGTTCGAAGAGGAATTTGCCAATAATTGATATAACATGATGTAACACTTTGTTTGTAGGATGTTTTTTGTTTCGGGTTGCCACAGTGCCACTCATCAAATTTTGGTGGATTTCTGAGCGTAGAACCTCCCAAGGATTCCGACGGCGGAAGCAGTGGCTCCGAGGATAGCGCGTCCGGGGTCTCGGGGATGCAGGATGAGTAGATTTTGTGGTTCACCCCAGGTCGGAAGTGGGTTATGACTTGGAAGCCCAGCTACATCAGTTGCACCCCTAGGCTTGGCTTAGTCCAGTCATCTCACTGGGGTGAAGTACTGAAATTCACAATTACTGGGCGGAGCCAACAAGTGTGTCCAGCAAGAATTTGAAAAGTGAAACAAACCAAACATAGGGTCAAATGAGCCAACAGAAATTTGTAGTTTGGTTAGATTGCTAGGTAACCCTTGAATACATCTCACAACCGAATCGAACATGAACACCCATCTAAAACGGGTTGTATTCGCTTTTGCCAATTCCTCCCCTCTGATATGGCCCCCCGTAGACACCATGGATTTGCACTGGGATTCCCAACCCAGATCTTTACAGATTTTGTCTCTGAGGCGCCCCAGGGAGCCACGACAGCAGGACGCTCTTCAGCGGCGACGTCGGATTTGATGGGTTCATGCGCCAACGGTTTGAACTACTTCGGGTTTTCGACTTAAAAACTAGGAACTTTGGAAGTTGAGTAATGTTGGGTCAAGGGTTGTTTGGTGGGTGATTGCCAGAAGGAAATGGCACATCTAAGATTGGCCATGATTGGCCATTGACCGTTAAATTGACGGGCACAAACTTACTATTCATCGTATCGAAGTGTTTTCAATGTGTCTGTTCCTATCCTTGCGGCCCTTGCCATGCATTGACCACGGGTGGGTGGTTACGTTATGATATAGTCACAGCATGTCACAGCTACGTACTGTTGAAGGCCTCCCTCTCTAGATGTCCCTCATCCTGAAAATATAGGTGTTTGCGGAATTTGACCTATATCGATTGGTTTTAGCCGAAATACCTAGATGATTACTTAGGTTTTTTGGACTTAGGACTTTGTTTGGGCTGTTCTGCATGATTTTGAGCCTAATGAGGAAAGGCAAACAAATGCTTGCAGCCCCGCAAAGACCCGCACAACTCCCACAAAAAACGCAAATCCTGAAATTTCCTTGTTTGTGTGGTTTTCGATTTTTTTCGATTTCAGACACTCCTCACCTTGTGTATATTTGTGTATGGCGCAGTGCTGAGATTTCCTCGGAACATACACGTTTGGCACCAACGTGATGTTATTTTTCGGTTGTTTGGCCGCTTGGCCCATCTTCTTGGAACGACATGTTTTTCGCAGAGGGTCGAGGTCGATAGGCACCCCAGTGATCAAGCCTCATCGAATTTGGCAGATCGGGTTGAAGATTTGCCGCATCCGTAGCAAATCCTTGTTGATTACTTCGATGGGTTGCCACCAAAGAATGATATGGTTCATATTGATTCATGGTTCCCCCTTATCAAACAGCCCAGTGGCAAATGAACATTTGCAGTTCACATTTTGCCGGTTGGTGTTGTTGTCATTTCTTTCCATCTGTACCTTTGGCCGACGCTTACCATCCCCCAAACTAATATAGACACTGCCACGAGCTGAGGGTTTGATTTTATGCTACCTTGGTTTTTGTTCACCCTTCATTACAAGCCACCAGTTGCCCTCCCAAACATTTTGGCGATTTTCAGAGTTACGGCTCGAGGATATCCCGTTTTTTTTGCTCATTGAGTTGTTCGTAGATATTGGCTACATCATTAGTTGGTTAATCCCATTGTTGCTTCAGTCATTTTTTTGCTGTTGAAATTAAAATTCTGGATAAACCGCTTAAAACCCAATACCATGATAAACTATGATAAACTTTCTTGGAATTTTTGAAATTCCCATGTTGGTTGCCGTTTGTTCACAAGACCCGGGAATGATCTGAGTCAGAGTGACGAGAACGGCAGGAGATCAAACCTCAGACAGCTGTCCTGACCTCAAGCACCGCACCACTGGGATTTGTCCAAACATTGTATTCTTGGGTAAGCGGTAAGCATACACAAAATGTGGAAATTCTTGGTTTCCCCAGGAGTATGATCTACAAGTGGTGGGTTTTCCATTGTCTAAACGGTTACAGGAGGGTTTGTACTGCAACTTTGATGGAGAGAATTAACGAAAAATCGCTAGACTTGGCCCTCCCATTTTCAAGTAAAAACTAGGCAGAAGGGTTGCCTCAGCTAGGTTTTAGGAAACAACATGTGGAAATGGAACACCTTTATTTTTGGATTTCTTTAGGCAATGACAGAGCGCAGGGGTATGTTATTTCTATATTTTAAAACTTACTAGATTGCCAGGACTTGTTGCTCACCTATTTCTGTACGGATCTGCTCACTTATTGGGTAAGTTTTCAAACTTTTCGAGTGATTCGTGACCGCTCAGTTGGTAGAACAATGACATCCATGGAATCTTCCAGGTTGCGTCCATCACCTTCAACAGTGCATTGGCGCAGATGAACAAGAAACCCATTCAGGCTGTCGGTCTTCAGCAATGAGTGTGAAAAAAACACGGGATATCCAGGACTCTAGGATAATATTAATATATTATATATATATACAAGATATATAGATATAATTAATATATAAATATAAATATATATATATATGACTTATATATGTTTAGACAGTCACATGACTCACGTTCACGGCTGAGCTGAGCCGTTCACGGCTGGCGCTTTGCGCGTCTCGTCAGGCCATGCGCGTTCTGGAAAGCATGCGCGTCAGCATGCCCGATGTGGCCGCCCTGCAGCGCATGGATCAGTTGCGCAATGGCGGCAGGCGCTGGAGCGCCTGCTGTGCCATTCATGGAATCTCATCAATGCGGGGTGTGGTAAACTAACATAGCTATGAACAATCATCCTTTTGAAGGGGTAAATCAACGAACTAAATGGCAATTTCCAATAGCTATGTTAAATTAAATTACCAGAGGGTAAAGAATTTGTGTGGGATAACCGGGTTCAATTACTGCAGGCTATGGGATATATAGTGAGATATCATTCATACTATATTGGGATATTATTGGATGCCATAATACTTTAATATAGCATTTTACTTTATCACTATTTGCATATTATATCAATACTATGTATATCAGGCTAGTGGTTTTAGCCTTAATATTTGGATGCACAATGACCTCACGTCGAGACCGAAGCCTGAGATCAATGCTACCTGGGATCATGAGATTGAATGTACCTTATAATATTATAGGCTATAGGGATAACTAATGTATGTATTAATGGGATTATATGGGATTGCTGGGATTAACATTTCAAAACTAATGGGAGAATCAATGGCATAATTCATGATCATTGGATATACCCTCTGGTGTCATCAAATGTGGCCAGCTGGAAAAATCCGCAAACTAAATGGTTGGGAAAATCATCTATGAACCTATGATCTATGCATGAGCGATTTCCCATTGCCACATGTGATTATGGGTGGGGTAGCTTTTTCTTGAGGATTATGTCAGGATGATGGTTTGTAGGACCTCAAACTGGTTCGTTGGGGACGGTAGATCAAGTTTTATTATTTGATGATTGGCTTGGCCGATTTGAAACCAGCAGTGGCACCGTGCCAGTTTTACTTTGCCAAAGGAGCCGGAGGACTGGCTGGGCATGGGCAAAGTGCTTTTCAACGGGCCCCAAAAATCCTTGAAGAAGCCATACTGGAAGTCTGCAAAAGTCACCAGAGATGATGGTTAGATATGGTCGGGAACATTGGAACAAAACCTCTTTTTCTTGGATTTGTTCAATACCTTCTTGGTAAACTGCCCCATAACTATGGAATATGACAATTTTTAATGGGTAAATCCACTATAAATGGCCATTTTCAATAGCAAACTGTTAGTTTTCCAGAGGGTACTGATTAGAACCTTGCTTTTTCGCCGGTGATGCGACTGAAATTTCCACCATCGCTGGTTGAACCATCCCGAAGGATGATGGGGTATTCAGATGCTGCTTTCAACAGTAACTTGAGTAATTATATAAATGGGAAATTATAAATGGGAAAGATAATTAACCATAATATGGGTAAATTATTCATAAATATGGGTACAGTTATCCATTATTAATATATATCTGGATAAATATACTGGCTGGTGGTTTCAAATATTTTTTTTATGACTTTCCATCATATTGGGAATGTCATCATCCCAACTGACTTTCGCATATTTTTCAGAGGGGTAGGTCAACCACCAACCAGTATATCATCAATTCAGTAGTCTTGTTTTCGCAAAACCGATTCCTTTGCTGCGTTCCTCCTAGTTAGCAAACTGGTTGCCAGTTTGAAATCATCAGTTAACAGAACATTTGATGGTTTAGCAGGGTCTTATCATCATGTTCTCCCAAAAAAAAGCATGTCAAGCCCCAAGATATGTTGGTTTAGCATGGTTTAGCCGGTTTAGCATATATATATATATATATTGTCCCATATATTTTCGCGGTTTTCTCCAGACGACATGGCAATTCTATGCAGTTCTATGGTGTCCATCCCCCAAAATTCCCCGCGTTCAGGAAGTGGTGCGAACGCTGTGTCAGGTGGCACCGGACGCTGGGCGCCCACCCCCTGAGGCGCCGGACAGGATGTTTCATGATTTTTCGATTCTCAGAGTCTCAGATCTTTGGGGAGAGACTAATACATGGAGGTTTCCATAAATGGGGGTACCCCGAAATGGATGATTTGTAAGGGAACATCCTATTAAAATTGATGATTTACGGGTACCCACATTTTAGGAAACAACCATATATATATATATAGATCACATGAAATCTATAAAAATCTTTAGTTAATGATTCCATGAGTCTTGAGGGAATATTTCAATCTTTAGTCTAGTCAAAATGAATAGACACGAAAGATTTTGATCCTTCATTATGAATCCCTCGGGGTCGAGCATGCCCATTGCTTGATGGTGTGATATGGTGTGATGATCAAGCATCCTATTTGGGGCTACCAAATGCCAAATGATGATTTATACCCTGGTAATATAATCTTCACACAATTTCATGTTATGTGATGTGTGTTGATACCAAGATGTATTCACCAAGAAACCCGCCCAGTAATTTTAGATGGATCTTCGAGGTAATTTGAACTGTGTGATGTGAAAGTTTGCCCAGTCATAACGTGGTAAAGCCTGGCTGCCGTAGTCACCATCCCCAAGTCACCAATTTTTGATGGGATTCCAACCTCCAAATGGGCCGGTTCAAGCCTCAAATGTTCCCTTCCCAGCAGTTGGTGATTTGCTGGGGATGGTTACCGACCTGGTTACCCCATTTTTTGGAAAATACGAAGTGTTGCTCTGCTCCAAGCGGTTTTCAGGTGGTTGGTGCTGCCTTGAAGGCTGCAGGTTTGCCGGCCACAGAAGAGAACCTGGAGAAGGCGGTGGTTTACCATGGTTTACCTATGTTTACCTATGTTTACCAATTAAAGATTAAGATGTTCCAGCTTAAATTATCAGAGGCTACCATCTGGTTATTTGTTACATAGCCATGGAAAATCACAATTTCTAATGGGTAAACCATCTATAAATGGGCCATTTCCCATGGCTATGTTAAATAACCAGATGGTATATAATTGGAAGTAAAGTTATCAAACCTAACTGGGCTGCACCACTTTTTTTTGGATCATATCGCCTCGACCAGCATGCAGAGCCATTGGCCCCATTCCCCCATGGATACTGAGTACTGGATCGATGAAGCACATATTTTTGGCGATAGGCAAACTTAAGGTAGGCCCAGCTTCAGTTAGGCACCCGGCCATGCTGCCACTCAGTTCAATCACAATTCCTGGGCACATGGCCGGTGTCAAATGATTTCATCTCCATACTTCGTAAGAGGAATCCTCTAGGTCACTCTAGGCACGACTTAGCTTTGCTGTATTTGCAAGCTGTCCGCATGGGGGTGGCCACTTGGTTTGTCCCTGTTTGCTGTTTCCGAAAGGACTTGCTCACTGAGTAACGCTTGCATTGCTTTGTTTGGTTCACAGGCAGATTCACCCCTGTGTACTGGTTTCTTCTGAGGGGTTTGATTGGTGCACCAGATAGATCAGAAAAACGTGTGCATATGATTGTATATGTATGTGCATATATATATTAAACATAAAGAACCGCAAAAAAGCAATGTAAGCATAGAATAAATTATCCCATGACTTATCACATTGGTCCCTGGTCGGACGCCACTTCAGGCGCTTCATGAGGCTCTAGGGCATCGACCCAGCTCAGAGGACATGGTCATTTCATGGGATTTAACCAGCAGAAATATGATAAGTCAATATGATGGAAACCAATGTATGGGGATTTGATGAACTCACCAATTCACCAGCAACAAATCGCCATTTTACTCTCTGCAGCTTCCATGTTACATGTTAGTCTCTTGGGAGGGACAGATGAAACAGACCGTTAGGCAGAGCATGCAGAGCCCACTTCCACGTTAACCGGGGGGAGTGTAATGGGATTAATGGCGTTTGACCAACAGAAATGGTGATTTCATTGGATTTAATCAATAATAATATGGGGCGTTGATGAATTAACAATGTTTTTTGTTTGGTCACATGTGTTTCTTAAATGTCTTGAACCATAGAAATTGGGTGATGCTCGATGATCGTTTCGATGTCTTTGCGGGTGAATGGGATGGTGGTCATCGTGAATGCGAATGGCAGGGTGTCATAGAACCTGATGAGAAACTTGATGGAAAATCACTATGTTTAATGGGTAAATCAACTATAAATTACAATTTTCAATAGCAAACTGTTTGTTTACCAGAGGTTACGCTGCAGCACTAAACCATACTAAAGCCATCGCCATCGCAGTTTGGCTCACACTTTTTACAGGGCAACACAAAGCGGAATTCCATGGGCAATCCTCTTTAAGGTGAGACATTGTGGGATTGTCAGATATATGGAGGTTTCCTGAAATGGGGTTATCCCTATAGTCAACATCCATTTCTTCATATTATCCATTCTAAACCATCTATTTGGGGGTACCCATTTATGGAAACCCTCCAAAAATGATCAATTTTGATCCATCTTGGGATGAAAACATACACCACAGCCATGACATTTCTCTGGCTTTGGCTTCTCATTGGCTGGGCACAAAGTACCACGCGACTTGGCGGAATCCATGGCGACCAGAAGACGGTGTTTTAGATTGTTTTAGGCTATAGAAATCTATAGAAGATAAAACTGAACATGCTGGGGTAAAGTACTAAACATCATTTTTCTGTGCTGTGTTCATGATTATCCTGACTCTATGATAGGGATTTGAAACCACCAGTCATGGCGGTTTTTTTTTCCGGTGGAATGCTGCCGCCTGTAGTATTGGTTGTGTGCTAAGTGAATGGTGTGAAATCTCCATTGATCTGGAAATTCTGACTGTCCAATGTCCCCTTGATCCATAAGGAAACGTGCGAAGAAGTCAAATATGTGCCACCATTTTCGTCTAGAGTCATTGTTTTTCATGGTTTCAATGTCGAATTCTACATGGTCCCTTTCTTTGGGGAGGGTTGCTATTCATACAATATAGTAATAGTAGTAATAATTTACATTACATATATATATATATATTGAAACTGTATATTTATATATATATATACACACACATATATATATATCCCAATATATCCCAATAATTCGACCCCTTGGCCTCGAGGTTGATCCCCTCACGTCCTTTGCCCCACGCTGGTGGCCACTTCGAGTCCTGCGCGGGGCAACCTGCTGCGCTGCAGGAGGGTGGATCCTGTGTAGGAAATTCGCAGGGATCTTTACAGTGAATGCAGGGGAAAAAACATGCCATTTCTGTTGGGTTCCCAAATTTGCCAAACATTGCCAAACCATCCCTAATTACAAAAACCTGAGCCAATCCAGAACAAGCACGAACAAGAATTACACACACCAAGGTATGTGTATTTTCGGTCATGTCACCTCCTCATCCAAGTATACTCTGCTGGAAAGCATTGCTGGCTGGTGGTTTCAAACAGCCGTGCATGCCCAAACCCCTGTCAGTGGTGCGGCTACGCTGGCAGATCGCTGGGCCGATTAGTTTCTCCATTTGCGCCATGGCTTCTGGCGGTTACCCCACGGAAATCTCTGATGTTGGCACTGGAAATGACATTTCTGTGGTTGGTAGGCTCTTGTCCTTTGATCCCTCCCACGAAGCCCACATGATGAAGGATGTCCACAAGGGTATGACCTTTTACTACTGTGGCCTCTTGGAAGCTGGATTTGAGACGTACACTGATTTGGATGGAAACTTGACCTCCCAATTTCCAGTTCCTAGGATTTCTGCAGGTAAGACCACGAAGATTCTTTGCCATGCAGTCCCTTCCTGGGATGACTTTCACAAGTTGATCGATACGTGTTCAGGGTTGGGTGGGGTCTCTCATAGAGCTCAGTCGGTTGGGTTCTATACAACAGTGGCAGTGGATGCCAATCCAAAGATGACGGATCTGCACAGGGTTCACTCAGATGCAGAAGTTGTGACAAGTGATATCGGTTCTCACTCTGTCATTCATGAGACATGGATTAAAGCTGAGGGTGCTGCCACCGTGGCCGGAGGATTTAGTTGCCAGCCCTTCAGTCTCCTTGGTGCTCGTCGTGGGGGAAGTGATCCACGAGCTTCCTCACCCCCCAGTTTGTTGCAAGCTGCGTACCTTCTCCAAGTGAAGGCTGTCATGCTTGAGTGTGTGTTGCCAGCGAAACAGGACCCATTCGTGAATGCTTCCGCTGACCATTTCATTGCTGTCACTGGATTCAACAAGGGTCAGGTCGATTTGAGGTTGGAAAATGTTTGGCCATATAGAAGGGGTAGGAGCTGGTGGCTTCTCACGTCACCAGTTTTGGGTGTGATTGATGTCACTTCATGGCCAAAGATAGATTCAATCCCAACAATTGGTCATATCATTCCAGAACTCTGTAGATGGGATCCGCGTGATGGGCTTGCTTTGAAGTTGGATCCAGTTGAGAATGAGGCCTTTGGCATTGAGTCAGGGCTGTACTCCCGATACTTCATGTGCCTATGGGTCGCAAACCCCAGCCTTGCCCTTGTGGCTGCAGAAGCGCGCCAGCCAGATTTGCCCAGCAGTCCCTTTTGGGATGTTAGTGCGTGCAAAGGTTGACGCAGACCCGGAACCATTTGTCAGGCACATTCGCCCAAACGAATGTCTTGCACTTAATGCGATGGATCCCACATTGGATTTTGGGATCGACGTCCGTCTCACACTCTCAGGAGGGCAGATAGCAAGTCCAGGCGGCATGGATGTTCAGTTTCCTTGCCATGAGGCTTGATTCAATGGGGTTTGGCAGCAGCCAATTTGATGCTCTGGCGCAACTCACTGCACTGAGGTCGTGGATGGTCATGAAGTGTCAGCAAGTTTGGCCAAACCCAAGCCCTGCATTTGCACAAAACATGAATTGCCTCGTTTCTTTCTGGGAAGAATACCAGGACTTTGCAAGGTGCCAGTTGATGCATCCGCCACACTGGGAGAATCTCCTTGATCGTAATCTTAGTATTGCAGTAGTCCTTGACTGCATCTGACATGTCCAGAGTGAATCGGTGCCCATGCCCATGCCAGAACATCA